GTGAGGGTTAGTCCTAGGTAAGCAATATAATACTTTAGCATTCTTGCACGAATCTTTCCTGGGGAGGGGGCATTACTCTTATTCTTTTCCAGATAAAGGCCCACTTTGCGAATTTTCAATATTTCGGGGCAAAATTAAAAAAAATTATTTTAATTCTATAGAATGTTCAATGTATTGATAAGAACCATATCTTTCACTTGACACCAAAAACAGGTCAAACGAACCACATCACAAATGGTTTTTACTATGTGTGTTATTTTTTCTTAGTTCAATATTAAAGCAAATCGAACTTTGTGTCATATTTGAGCCAGTGTGTGAGTAATATGTTTCAATGATCATTTTTTCTTTTTTATTCTATATTAATTATAGTGGGGCTTTAAAAATGTTTTATGGCCAACATTTTCAAGATGGCGCCATATTTTCTTGATATCAAGTATGGTGGTCTGTCTAATTCTGGCTGCCCTGACATATCCTAGACCGTTTGACCTTGTGGCCCCATACTCAGTCAACATATAAAGTGGTTCATTGGGCATTTTACGAAGGTCAAGGTTATTCCAAGGTAAAAAGTCAATATCTAATTGTTTGGCTTTATAAGACCCTTGGTCTATGCTGGAACCCTTGACAACCCTTGACAACCCGTGATTAGCTGATCTAATATCAGGTCAACCTTTGGTTCAAGGTCATTCTAAAAGCCAATATCTTGGTATTTGATAATTTAATGTAATTGGGGCTGTTGTTATTAGGTCATCTTAGGCCAATGGTCATTCCTAGGTCAACGGTCAATATCCAGGTATTTGGTGATAGAAGGTTCTTGGTGACCAATGAAAATGTAACCTGAGGTCAAGGTCAATGTTTGTGTTTGTCCCGTGACCTTTGGCGACCCATAATTAGGTGACCTGAGGTCAAGGTCATCCCGAGGTCAATATCTAGGCATTTGGTGATTTAAGGTCTCTGTGATGCTGTGACCCATAGCGAGAATGATCAGGTGACCTCGGGTCAAGGTCAATGTTTACGGGTCAAGGTAAAAGGTCAATATCTACGTATTTGGGATTTTATAAAAAATAGTGGACATTTTTTTGCATCTCAAGCAGAGGTTCTACACCCATAACATAAGGCATTAAGCCTATCAAATCTAATTAAATCCATTAATAGGTATGTGAGTTATTGCCTGGACATCTTGTAATATGGATGGACGGACAGACTGACGAACAAAAGGCATGATGCAGAAAGATTGGGTATCGATATGGCGAACTTTTTGAACACACGTTTCTCTTAAACCAGTCATCAAAAATTTCTGAAAATCTTACAAATTGTCAATTGAATGGCCATCTTTTGAATGGTAACAATATAATTTGAAATAGATGTACATACTTTCATCTATATTGTTTTAAAAAGCACATCAAACACTTGTTTTGTTCTTGGTATCATGTTTCCAGAGTGAAATGAAACATCTTTCCGAACCTCATTGGAACAAAACGACATAAACACAACATGTTTAGGTCTCTCAATATTTTAATTGTACAAAGGAAATTTTGGTTCATTTTAAAAAAGTATCTTGTTAATGAAATAAAAGTTTTTTTTGATTTTTATCTATTTTGGGGGGATTTTGTTTTAATTTTTTGAATACTTTTTTAAAATGAACCAAAAATTCCTTTGTATAACTTTAATATTGAGAGGTCCAAAAACATGTTGTATATGGTATTTTGTTCCAACAAGGTTCGGAAAGACATTTTATTTCATTCTCAAGAATTGGTAGAAAGGAGCAAAAACAATTGCACTAAAAAAACAAAAAATGTTAACAAATACAGTTATATCAAATATTTCTAAATAATTTTCGCATTAAATTGTTGTTAATCAGTCAACATTACATAAAATACCATGTTTTTTACAGAATGTTTTCAATGATTGGTTTAAGAGAAAAACATTGTTGAATTCAGTTCTCCATATCGATACCTATCCTTTATTTATTCAAGTAAAAATCACATTTCCAATATTATGATGATATTGCGATTGGATAGACAAGCCCCTCTTATTAATAGTGTCAGGCTGTCTTTTATCTGGCTTTTGATTAAAAATGGGCAGTTTTGACAGCTTGGATGAGGTCAATTTAGCGAGGTAACACTGATTTCTACAATTTAAATTTCATCAACCAGCACCATCTAATCATTCTGAGAAAGAAACATCAAATATGTACACGTATACTCAGTATACTAGAGTATAGTGACAGATAAGAACCAAAAGGTGACTAAAGAGAAAAAAACTGATCAAATGAGACTGACTGATGAACTCATTCCTTAAAGAGATACAAAAATAGAAAAATATATCCGCAACACTAAAGACTTCTCAGGAGTATGAAAAAAGTGAAAAGCCTCACCACCTCAATACTTTGAGAATATCAAAAATGCTAAAGTATAATATTATTTACCAAGGCCTAATTGGAAGTGGTTATATTTTATTGTCAATACACTGAATGAGTTACCCATACAATTGAAGGTTAATCAGGTAGCCGACATTCGTTAGTTGCATTCGGGAATACAAGCTCAGTTTCTGAGCACTCCCGGTGCTACTGTTACAAAATTTATTTATACACTTGGTCGTGTAGATACTGAGAGCGAGAGAGATACTGAGAGTATTCGATCTATTATGAAATGTTTTGTAAATGGAAGGTATGATAAAGAACTATTAACAAATAGTGGTGGTTGCAAAGTTTACATGCAGATTGAAGCAAACATGTACCTGTGTCTAACAGATAACTATTCTTGTATATTCAGACACGATCACCTCTGTCACTCAGACCTCATCATCTTATTCGTATAAGAAACATCATGGGAAAAGTATGGTGTATGTAAAGGCCTGTAAGAAAAAAAAAACATGGTCTGTATTAATAATTCATCACAAACATATGTTGTTTCTGTTTTTAATGAGTTTTAAAACTCTAAATGAATGATCAAATTATAGTGAGTGGAGAGGTTTTTTATTATGGTATTGAAAGTATACATGTATATTTTGCAGCAAGAAATATATTTGTTGTTATATAAATGAGAACATTTATAGATTTCGATTATGATTAAAGGTGTATTGCTGACACCTTAAAATATGAATTTGAGTATATATAGCATTAATATGATAGTTAGAACTTAGATTGAATGCTCAGGTGACTTTTACATACCGTGTTCCTTTTAATGAGTCAATCTTGATATACGCGTCACACATACACTAATCCCTGTCTCAAAGACGGATTCAGTTCTCATCATTATGAAGACCTTGGTATGGTACATGTCTCTCTTGTTGAGGAAGTGAAGATGAACTTCATGACAGCCTTAAAAAAATAGGAGTAATTATGTTATTTATTTTTAATTGAATTTAGTAGATTTAAATAGACTGAGAAAATAATGATTGAAGTTCCAAAATGGCATATTGTGCTCTAATACTTTGTGCTCAAATAATTTTTCACCCATTGGGGATTGAAGGTTAGTCTACTGTATTAATTTAAATAAATCTATAAACTTGGATTATGTTGTATAGTATAATAATTAAAATAGAAGTAAACATTATAGAAATATTGTTTCTTACCTTTTCTGAGATGAGACCTTTGTGAATACAATAATCAGTCCAAAATGTTGCTTTTGCAGAAATAATATTAAAATTAGAGTTCCATTTCATATTTGCCTCTTTGACATCATCAGTGACATCATTTGTGACATCATAATCAGAATCAGAATCAGAATCAGCAGCATCATGCATTTTAAAAGAAAATTAATCTGTCAATATATTGAAATATCATATTATATTTCCAGTTGACTTTGAAGTTAAAACTGACATTTCAGGGATACTGATAGTTGAATGTGTATATAAAAGTAGTGAATAGTTTCCAAAAAAAGTTGAACATGTCTGCAAATATGAGAGGTAATTACAGTTATTAACATCTTGGTTGTAAATATACCAAATAATAAGGTTGTGGTGTCAAAATCAGTATGCAAATAAGCTAATTTACATAATCATAATTTAGCAAATACGAGTTTTTCATTCTCTTAAATGAAATACCAATCACAATTGAAGTAATATTAGAAGTTAGAGTTTTGCATACTCTGCTTATTAACACCTTGTTTTTTCAGTTACTATGGAAAATATTCAACCCTCTTTTCATAATTACTATTAGGAAAATCTCAAAACTAGGAATCATGAGCTTTCTAACCGTACCAAATTCATGAATATGTTGATACTGTACATTACCATACTGAAATAAATATACTCATTTATCTATAAATATGCAAAATAATGCAGTTATGACGTCACAATCAATATGCAAATGAGCTTATTTGCATAAATGTAATTTCCAAAAATTGAACTTTTAATTCTCTTCAATTTGATACCAATTTCATTAAAATCGGGGCAATTTCAGCAAAGTTATGCATAAAAATATTTTCTGATTATTAACACTTTAATTTTGTGGTTACTATGGAAACGGGCGTTTTAGACACATTTTGCCCACTTTTTGTAATTACTTTCAAGTGAATCTCAAAAGTAGACACTACAAACTTTCACACAGTACCAAATGCATGAATATGTTGTAACTGTACATTACTGTACTAAAATAAATATACTCATTTATCAAAAAATACGCAAAATAATGCAGTGATGACGTCACAATCAATATGCAAATGAGCTAATTTGCATAAATGTGATTTTCAAAAATGGAACTTTCAATTCTCTTCAATTTGATACCAATTTCATTAAAATCGGAGCAATATTAGTAAAGCTATGCATAAAAACAATTTTCTGCTTATTAACACCCTATTTTTGTGGTTACCATGGAAACGGGCGTTTTAGAGACATTCGGCCCACATTTCGTAATTGCTAACAAGTGGATCTCAAATCTAGGTACCACAAGCTTTCCAACGGTACCAAATTCGAGAATATGTTGCAACTGTACATTAAAAAGTACTTTCCTGGCACTTTTGAGCCATCATTCCGACTACCTAGAACGGCATATGTTTGCGTTCGTAGTTTCAACCGACTAAAATGGCGGCCGGGAAAAACTTTAAATCCTAATCACTGAATAAGTAGATTACAACCACTTTATTCAGCGTTTTCGAAATCATAAGTAATGTACAGATATCTTATTATATAAAACAACTCTGCTGACAGCGTGAAAGTGTAAGTATGAGTATAATATCGATTTACACGATATCACAAATTATTTGATTTTTCAATTTTTTTCATTGATTTCTGAATAATTTCAATTGAATGATTACCAAGCCCTCCGATGAGTGTGTACTGCTTATTAAGAGTAACGGGCTTGCCCGACGCCTCGAGACAAGCCCCTGTGGCTGGTATGAAGCCTTGGAGACACTCATTTTGGTAAATATGATTTACGGTGTATAGCCTACAGTGCTGGTATATATTAATTGATCAGTCGTTTAATTAGCATATTTTCTTGAATTTTAACATTTAATGTCCCAAACTCCCACAAACTGCAGAAAAGTATACACCATAAATCATATTTACCAAAATTAGTGTCTCAAAGGCTTCACACCAGCGTATGCATTATGCATTTGTCACGAGTTTGAGCTGAAATTTCCCCAAAATGAAGTAGGCTAAGGGTAGTCTCTGCCAGGTTTGTTTATTGTGGTAAGCTTGTAAGTGCTCAGAAGCAAATAATTCACGTGCGCAAAAAAATCAAATAATATGATTGGTTTAAACTTCGCTGCACATGCGCAAAATGTGTGCCATATTTTTTCTAGTGATTTCGTTTCGTTTCATGGAGTTTCCGTTTCAGTGTAACTTCCGCAAAAATGGCTGACCATGGACAGAATTAACAGGTAAAATCACTTCGAAATTTCAAGAGAACTTTTTACCTATAATAGCAAAACTTTTGTTTTATTTGTGCATTCTATCTATCAGATAAGAGTCTCAGGGGTATGTAGGCAAATTCATTTTGGTAGGAGCACTCTGTTTAGTTTGAAAACGCACCCTTTATTATTATATATCAGCACTGTACTTTTCCGCAGTTTGGGGCAGTTCGGGACATGTTTAATTTCAAGAAAATATGTCAACTACAGGGTGTTCAGGAAATAAAGATAATAATGTCATAACTTTTTTATTTATTCATGGATTTCAATAAAATGTGTAGGGATTATAGTTTCAACATATTTACACTTACTTTTGGAGTTTCAGCTTCAAACGATTTAATTTTGTCATTTCTGTGGTTGGCATAGCAACGCGAGTAGCGCTAAGGCGGGGCATATGGAATAACTGCGGTAGTTTCTGTGTTACATTTAGCATGGCAAACCGATTTTGACTCCATATTTAAAGCTTTCTTGGTGCATCTACATGATAAAATTCTTCTATTGTTTTGTTCTATGATATAAAAGTCAAATAAATGGTTTTTAATGATATTCAATGGGATTTTCTTAATGCAGGCATTACATAGAAAGCGACCCGGGATGCAATTTCTCTTCCACTTGGACAATTCCCCCTCCCATACTGCTGCCATAATCACTAAAGAAATTGAGCAGCTGGGATTAGAGCAACTCAAGCATCCACCTTATTCACCCAACCTAGCACCAAATGATTTATACTTCTTCGCTGAATCAAAACGGGACTTAAGAGGACATGCATTTGAGAATACTCATGCCATACGTTCACATGTGTTAAACAGACTTCAGGAAATGAGTCAAGAAGAATTCTGTGAAGTATCTAAAGAAGGTTCAAGAGGCAAAGAGTTTGTGTCTAAAATGGAGGAAATTATGTAGAATAAATTGATAAATTAGCAAAGAATTTCAGGCTCGTAGTTATAACTATCTTTAAGCATCCATTTTAAGTCATAAACATGATAGAATCTCTTTTTAAAACATTTAAAACATGCAAATATACTGCAGTTATTCCACCTGCCCCGCCTTAGCGCTACTCGTGTTGCTATGACAACCACAGAATCAACAAATCAAATCACCTGAAGCTGAAACTCCAACAATAAGGTAAAATATGTTAAAACTATAATCTCTGAAACTTTCAATGCAATCCATGAACAAATAAAAAAGTTATGACATTATTATCTTTATTTCCTGAACACCCTGTATACGACTTATCAATTAATTTGTATCAGCACTGTAGCTCACAGTGTCTCACAAAAGGCGACACTTATAGATATTGACTCATTTTTTACAGGTAAAAGTTATAAAGTAACTGAGGCAACACATACACAATGACTTTCGGAGAAGCCAATGAAAGCACAAATAATGCAATTATGATGGACACCACTACATACAAACAGCGTGAAAAAGCCAAGATCCACTCGGCTGTAGATGCTCCCATGTGCGACACTTGTCGGGGGCTAGACTTTGCATTTTTCGATCCTGGCTGCCAAGGCTGTCATGATTTGTTAACTGACCCAGGAACAAGTATTGCTGAAATTTTTGCAGTCATAAGACAGTGGACTCCTCAGACACAACAGAATATTGATCTGTTTACAAGTGAAGTAAGTACATGTACATACCAGTATCTGCTGCATTGTTATAAGCAAAACATACCTGAGATTTTAGTCTCTTCTTGGGGAATCTTCCTCAACTCAATGCAAAATATTTTTACCAGACCACTTTTATATATCTAAAATTGGTAAAAATATCACAGATTGTAGCTATTTATCAATTTTTGTCCAGCATCTAATAGTATGATAATTTCAAAGTTTGAACCTAGTGTGCAATGGCCTACACGTCTTTATATATTTACGATCATCATCCCTGGCCCTGTCATCTGTATAAACTGTTTAATTAGCTCCTTCAATTGAATCTTATAAAACTAATCTTGAACTAATTCTCAGACTTCTAGAAATGTGATCTCTCGAGATGAGACTAGTGTGAAAGTACTGCCAAACTGTATTATAAAAATTATATGTACATGTAAGGGTCAATATTTCATTTTTAGATTCTGAAAAGAGGAGCTAATGTTAATGACCGTGATAGCCTGACAGACATGACATTGCTACACTATGCATGTAAATCAGGGGCTCATGGGATAGGTGATGTCACAAAAGCTTGTGAGATTGTCGAGATGCTCATTTCGATTGGGGCTGATGTTTTCACACGCTGCCGCTGGACAAATATGTCACCCCTTCACTATGCAGTATTTTTTGATGTAACAGACATTGTAAAAATCCTTTTGAAAACTACTAAATGCTTAGGTTGGTTCATATAAAATGTAAAACTTGAAAACTATAAATTTTTGGGTGCATCCTCGAAATCCTAATACTTGTACAGTGAACTTGAAAGTATATACATACATGTAGTTAGAAAATATGTGTAAAATTTCTGTATACATGCAAAAGCAGAAGCAATTGATAAAATTAGTCTCTTACCTTACTTTCCAATCTCATTGTGAGCACAAGACAACATTATTCCAACCAACCTGTTTTGTGCATTTTTTGATTTGGATCTTAACGATTTTCAAAGTACCCTTCCAAGGTAGATAAATGTTAATCATTTAAGTGTGCATTTCAGATATTGACAGCAGATGTTCAGATGTTGACCATGGTACATCTCTCCATATCTCAGCCTCTAACCTTGCTTTCGACACAATGAAATGTCTGCTTCAGAATGGAGCTGACCCTTCCATTAGAGATGACCTTGGCAGAACAGCTTTCGGTAGGTATACACCTTTAATCGATAAAGCACACCCATAGTGCAATACATTATACAATTTATGATAAATACAAAGCTATAATAAAATAACCACATGACTTGGACAATAGATGCACCAACTCTGGCATCTAAGAAATCACCTTGCTAAAGTTGTAATATTTGTACATTTTTCCAGAATGCATACCTGAACCAGGGTTATTTGAGAGTAATTCAGATATGAACAAACTAGTGTTTAAGATGAGGAAAGCTCTATCAGAAGCCGAATCTCAATGTTCTTCTTCCAACAATGATTATGTGGCCAACTATGATAATGTACCTGGCAAAGTAACATTACAGTCTCTTGGTGTACATATTGGTGAACGAATCATGGTTGGAGGAGTGAAGGTTAGTTAAGTAATTTGATCTATTTTCTTTGCTGTATTTGTTATCTGCATCTATCTCAAATTGTTACATCTTTCAAGGTGATGCCATTTTTTTAATTCCTAATAGGTTTTTGTCTTTAGTCTCAATCATATCAGTGAGGATATGCCTCTCTAAAATACCCCAAGTTTGTTTTGTTTTAGTGTGGAATCCTGAAGTTCTGTGGTCCAACAGAGTTTGCCCCAGGTATGTGGGCAGGTATTGAATTGGACGAACCAGAAGGAAAGAATGACGGCACAGTCAATGAGATCTCATACTTCAAATGTCCTCCAAAACATGGTAAGTTTGAACATTGAACCAACTCTCATACAGGTTTCCTTTATTGTAGCATCTATAGATAGATTTTCAAATTGAATCATTTACAATGAAATTTTAACCCTGGGGCCTAGAACTATTTAGTTACTAGTACAATGTATAACTTTAGATCAATAGTGAAACCTGTATATCCAAACATCTGGCTAATCAGAATACCTTCTAATCTAAACACTTTTTTGGTCCCATTTTTTCCTTCCATTGACTCCCATTTTTAAGAAACCTTGAAATGTGAACACCTCCCAATTTGAAAAATTAACCTGTCAAATCTGAACACTTTTCACAAAATATCACAAACTGTATTCTCTGTGATTAGCACCTGGGGTGTTTAGGTATCTTAAAAAAATGCTTAAATATTTTCAATTTAACATTGATTTGTTATGATATCAAAACTTTCATTTTATAAGTATTTCTACAAAATCCATAATCCTGTGGATGCCAATGCAAGATCATGGTATAACTTTGACATATCTGCATTAGATAAGAAAGGTGTTTCACACTGCATATTGTACTATTGTCAACCATTTCCAGGTATCTTTGCACCAGTCAGTAAGATCTGTAAGCCAGGTCAGAGCCCTAGAAGACGAAGCAGCGTCAACCTCACCCCTAACAAAGGCAAGATTGATGTATCACACGTTACAAAGAGAGTTGACACAGGTAATCAATCATTTCATTAAGTTCAACTACAATTAAGAATTTAGCTCTTTCATATATTTCTTGTCAAAACGTGAATGATCGATATACTTAAGGATATATCAAACAGGTTTTGTAATAGAAAAGGGTTTTATATCTCATTCTTAGTTTCATTGAAAATTAGCGAGAACTTACACGAAACTATGTAAGTTTGAAAGAAGTTCTTGAGTTTTATCAGAGAACATCTCCAAGGAAAGCAAAATATAGGATGTAGCAACTATTCTTTTATATGTGTCAGCATGAGATTAGCAACTATCCTTTTATATGTGTCAGCATAAGATTAGCAACTCTTCTTTATCTTTATATGTGTCACTAGACCTTAGGCCATAATTTCATTTCTCATTACAAGAGAAAAGGTTTGAAAAGTAATTGATTTGCATGTCATATTATAATTTATATTCAGTTCTTGCATTTAGATTTTTTAGAACCATATTGTATTTATTACATACATGAGACCTGAAACAGTACTGTAAATAGTACAAGAGATGTGATCAGGTTAATTTTGAATGGTCCCTATTCTCGGGTTATGAGTCGGAAATGTGTAGTGGTTGTCAACCAGTGGGGAAATTGAAGGCCGAATTTAGCTCGGATTATAATTCAACCCATTTTTAACTCAATCCAGGAAAATTTACCAGTTTGACATCAGGAATTAGGTTAAGCACCTCTAGTACATGTGTAGCTATCCTCATAGACTTTGCATGATTTGTGTATTTCTTCTTTTAATTTCACACAAATTCAACTCAGTTATTGTAGTGATTGGTAAAATACCAAGGTCCAATACTTGTGATTATTTCTCTTTGTAGCTCTACCACTGATCATAGTCACAGACCCATTTGGTGAAAGAACATTCTTTTTCAATGATATTTTTATTGAGAAACTTGATCTCTCTGATTTACCTTTACTCCAAAACAAAAAATCAGAACGTTCAGGTCATAACATTTCTGAGAACACACTCAATAATCAGTCTTCATACGAGAAACATTTTAAATCTGCCAATGAAAATATTTCGAAATACAATAATGAGATTGAGAATGAACCTTCTGACGATGGTCATAGCCAGTTAAATGATTCAAGTGATACTGAAGATGAAGTTGTAATGATAATGTCCAAAGCTCCCAGGGCTGGATGTCTAAGAAAATTTAAACTGACAGACAGTTTCGAGTACAACAGTTTACCACGGAATCACAAACATGTCATGTTTCAACTGGTAGATCAAGATGAAGTTCAACGCAATGAAGGTTAGGCATTGAGTTTTGGCGTCATTGCATATGTTACAAGATGAATGGCTTTTTGATTGAATATTGGATTGTGTTACTCTCGGACTTAAGTGTTATTTAATCCCCATTTTAGATTTAGTTAAGAAACCATCTGCATGCATCTTTATTTGTATTTTATGCATTTTTAGCCTAATTAATTTTGTTATATTACATTCAAACCTAATACTAGAATTATGTACAATCACCATCAAGTGGAAGAGTAACTAAAAGTGTTCATGTTGGGTTTTAAGTTTAGGCTTCATGATGAGTGATAGAGTTGAGTGTTCAAACCAGGAATTCAAGTTGAGAGGTCATTGCATAGACTGTTGACTAGGTATAACATTTAATTTTTCTGTGGTTGTTACCCACTTTCTATTTGTAACAAGCATTTGACACCTGTGTCTGTCACTGAGTTTCAGCTTTCAACATCTGCAACAAATTGTTCCACAAGTTTGGGGAATCTTATCATATGTACGCCTTGTTTATGTTATACCTTTTACTTGGCGGAGTCATCATTATCCCATCGAACAAAGTTCGGAGGGATATAGGGAACGTCTCCGTTCGTCTGTACGTCTGTGGCTGTTCAATGGAATTTGCTACGCTTTGGCGTTGCTGTTTTCTAGTTAACATGTTCAGGAATCTTCACGAAACTTCATGAAAGTCCTATTGATCCATTATACCTGTGTAGTAATAATTCATCCATATTTTACATTGAAAATAGGAACTGATATCTGCTTTGTTAGTGTGTCTTCTGGAATCCTGAATTTATTATCAAACATGCATCTTTATTGGCTGCTTGTTACTCTTAAGTATCAGGTTTATGCCCGACATACTACATATTTGTATGCTTACGTTACATATTCATGCATGCAGTCTATTACATAAACCACCATAGAGTAAATTAGGGTCAATCTTCTAACCAGTTTAGTAGACTAAGAGGCATGATGTTGTTATTAGTTAAAATCTGAGATTCTAAATAACTATTAACTATTTTTTAAACCAGAGTAGAATTATATTATTACATTATTTGCTCTTTTCAGATTACTTTGACTCATACTAGTTACTAGATATAGTATTTGTTTTAATGTAAAACACATAAACTTGTTATTTACGTCTTATTTTTTACTTAATGATGATTGTTCTGTATACAACAATGCAAAACAATTGGGTTAATTAATATTGATGGATCAAAATTATGCATTCTCATGTCTCGTGTTACAAAAGACGGTAATTGAATAAGATACAACACCATTTCTGGGACTGGGGTTTAGTAAAGAGTATAACACCATTGATGGGGGTTGGGGAGGGGTGGGGATGAGTCTCTAACTCATTGTTAATTTAGTTTGTAATCATAGAATCGCGGAAGCAGTAGTCGTTTAAAGAATGTTGATGTCATGTGCATGCATAGTCAATATTCATAAGGATTACCTGTTATTCTTAGGACTTGGTACCCCTCGTAGTGGGAGAACAACTCCAGTGAGACGTCAATCTTCCAGCACAATCTCCCATGGCACACCAGATGTATCAAAAGTAGGCGCAAAAGTCGACACAGGTAATTCTAAACTTCTAAAAGTTCTTTTAGTTTAGAAAATAGACTGTTCAATGCTCAAATAAAATGGTAAACTTAAATAGTGTCAAATGATGCGTGGGGAAATTTTAAGACACTTGTATTAGTCTGAATAGCAGGGTGGGCCAAAAATGAGATTGTTTATAGGCACCCAATCTCAAATATTGCCCATTGGCAACTAAAGCTGGCAATATTAAGACAAGTTGAAACCTAGCAAACATTTCATTGATTCTGCCAAATTGGGATGGCAACTAAGACTAATTGCTATCATCAAAGAGGGTGGCGGACCAATTGAACTCCTCTTTTAGATCAAATACAATCCAATTAAAAAATTGTTGTATTTGGCCCACCTTGTATATTATTTTGTCACCACATTCTGTTAAAGCCTCTATTTGGTATCTATCACAAATTCTTTAACTTTTGTAATACAGTGAGCAGCTAGCAGAATAGCAGATTACATGAATTGCACAGAATTGCATTACTTTTATTTGTTGTAGGACTACGATCAAGATCTCACACTCCTTCAGGTGAACAGAACTTGGAAGTAGGGGACCGGGTGGTAGTGGCTGGCCAGAGAAAGGGAACCATCAGATATGCTGGTGAAACTAAATTTGCTCCAGGTATGTATGTACATGCTCATCACATTTTCAAAAAGAGTTGAAAAACCAAATTTTAAATGTATGTCAGATATTGGAGATCACTTTGACTGAACTGTAAATATTTGATCATTTGAATCTATATTATTTCTGCTGGTGGCAGAACAAACATATCTATCCATCCATCTATTCATTGTGAGCAGTTTTCCCCATTTTCAACTTGGAGAATTGTTGCCTTTAACTTTGCTTGGATAACCAGCCAGTGCTGGCAAGTTGGCAACAGTCTGCAACTGTGCAGAAATAAAAATTCACTTTATTTTTGTGAAAAAGAATCTTGTTACAAATAAAGTTAATGCTGTGAAGGAAATATGATTGTAAAATTGTTTCTAGGTCTGTGGTTTGGTATAGAACTAGATAGGTCAGTTGGAAAAAATGATGGTGCAGTGAATGGAGAGAGATATTTCAAATGCCGTCCAAAACATGGAGTGTTTGCTCCACCCAGTAGAGTACAGAGGTATGCTTATTATCGATCCTATATGCTTCCCAAGTTTCATATATGAGTTTCATGTAATTCTTCTACATTTTTGGTGAAATATAGATCAAAACAAATGGAGTATGAATATGAATATGATGAGAACATGTATGTATCATTTTTATTTAATTCAAAAAACAATTTAAAATATAGCTTCTCTCAGATCCCTCCTGTTAATTCATATTACAGAACTAAACTTTCATACCCACTTTAAAGTGAACATTAGCAAAAATATGTAGTTGCAAAATTTTTATTTTTCTAACAAAGAGTAATAAATACATGTAACCCAACATTTATAAAATTCAATAAAAAGATTTGATTTATGCATACCTCTATTGATTTTGTTTATAGATTTTTTGGTTCAATGCGAAGCTTAGCTGGATCCAGAGATTCTCTAGACTCAGTTGGGTTAGGCACTACACCAAGGAGTCTTAGTGGCAGCCAGTCGAATATCTCTTCAACTCCAAGATCCAAAACCCCTGTGTCTTCCAGGTAATGTTCTTGTTCAATATTTTTAATATCTCCAGTAATAAGAGCACTTGATGGATAGCTAGGTGTCATAGGTTTGATTCCACTTGGAAACTGACTTGATCACATCAGCCCTTGCACAGAATTTGATTCTTTGTTTTTATGTCACCACCACAAGAAGTGACATATTGTTACAAGTCTCAACTTTTTTTGTGGACCTTGTTTGGCATTCAGTGTCTGGCGGTCAGTGTTCAGAAAACAAATGGCAGGTGGTGAAATTTTGCATGTTAATGCCTTGTTTAATAACTGCTAAGATAAAATTTTAAACATATGAAAATTGCAAATACATAATGTAATATTCCATTACTCACTGGTTCATGTTAGATGTATTAGCATGGAATTAACTTGAGTAAGTCTGATCCAAAATGGTTGACAAAATTCATTCAATACCAATGAACCTTCGATTCAGCAAAATTAAGATTCCATTGATTTCGCTGGAGTATTTCTTAGTGATTATTTATAAATGGAATTCTATGATTTTGCATGCAAAATAGTTCAAATCCAGATTTCACTTGGTTTAGCTGAAATCTTCAGTTGATCAACATCAAACAAATTTTGTCAACCATGTTGAATGTAAGTTTTATCCTGCTGTGAATCATTGATTACTGACCAGCCTGCAATATTTGAATCACCCATGATAAAAACACATGTTTGGTACTTTTCAGACAAACCTCAAGTGCCAGAAAATCTCTATCTAGTTCCTTTGACTTCAAGTTGACCTGTGGAATGAGTGTGTTCTGCAATAATGAACTAGGTAAGAAAGAATACACACTTCTCTCTAGACATTCCAGCTGCAAATATACTAGTTTATACCTCTGCATATTACCAATACAATAAAACTTGTAAAATAGAACACTTTTCAGATTTGTTACCATTTACTTCATGCAAAAGGATCCCCTGTAAGTAGAACACCTCCCAAGTGAAACACTATTTTGAGGTATTTCACAAAGTTAAACAGAGGTTTTGCCGTATATATTTTCAAATCAGCCTTCTTTTGGAATAAATCTTTAGTCATGTACATTGTGCATCTCTTCAGGTGTAGTGAGGTACATTGGTCCTACAGATTTCGCTGAAGGGACTTGGCTTGGAGTTGAACTGAGGACTCCAAAGGGTAAAAATGATGGATCAGTGAATGACAGACAATATTTTACATGTAAACCAGATCATGGACTCCTAGTACGGCCCAGTAAAGTGACTGTGCGTGGTATTAATGGTGCTAAACTCTTAGGAGAAAGAGATTGAGGGGACCATAGAATTTATAATCTACATTATACACTTCAGAGACTTAAGATTTTTAATATGAACACCTGAATATTGCCAACACCTCAGTCATGTAAACACATGTGAGACATCCATATATCAAGATATGTACAGTGTATGTACAGTGTATGTAAATGATACAGTGTTTTATGTTTTGAGGGAGTCAAAGATATATGCAATCCTTGATCTACTCTCAGCTTAATTAATTAACTAAATTATTGACATTATAAGTATGTTGTTATTGGCATTATTGCATAACTCAATTATGCGTATGTTATAATCCGATTATTACTCTATAATGGGCAGTAGCCTGAGTTGACCAGTCAAGACGCTTACTGATGTTGGATTACAGACCATAAGTACAGTTACCAATTTATATCATACCTGAATTTTGTTTTTCATGTATTAATAAAGCTCTCTAGTTTTGGAACCTCTAAAATGCAGAAATCATTCACCATGTTAAATGCTGCCATATCTTGGATTATTTTATGTTATGTAGTTTTAAGCGATACTAGAGTAAAATGTCCTGGTTCCATTATAAACCATTTCTGGTATATCCCAGTATTTATTAAAGACCATTGATGTTTTTATTTTTGCCACAATTCATCTCCGTGTAATGACATCTCTTTGATCAATAAATCAAAAGCATAGATCCAGTCAAGGTCTTTGCTCTGATGTTTATTCATTCATTACTTCTAGCACATGATAAGCAGAACTATTGTTTATGACACTCCTTTTTCATAATTTTTTATCTCATAGCCATGTACTCAACTTAAACAAATTAATTTATAGGCCATTTTATTTGAACAAACCAAACTATTATTTATAGCAGATGAAAGCATGGATTATGCTAATACATAATATACTTTCAATAAAAATCATTTATGTAAATATTGACGCATCATCTGATGTTACTAGTTTCATAATATCTGCATACAGACATGCCATCTTTTAAGACAAAGGAGGTATTTTCCCTAGGGTCTCGTTCAAACAGTCTTACTTGCTTGTTATACCACCGACTGAAATTAGGAAGGGATATAGAATACAGTAGCCAGGCATCCATCTGTTCGTTCATCCATTTTTCAGTCTGGGTAATAATTGAAATATTAATTGATGGATTTAATTAAGCTTTTAGAGGGTGATGCCTTCTGATCATTGTATCTCTGCTTGGAAGTAAATATTCAATACTACTGTAATTTCCATCACATAATGTAATAAGTAAGTGATTCGATAAAATATGTTTTGTTATGTGGGATTAGCTGATCTGGGGAGTTGCTGTGTTCTAGTTGATAATCAAGAGATACTGATATTATTTTGTGTACTTATTTTCTTGTTGTGCCCTCTCACTGCCCATTCTCAATCAAATACAGGCTCAGATAATAATCAAGTGGACTTGGTAATCAGAAACCTTGCATTTTAGCCTCAAAAGGATGAGCCCAATATAAATTGATAATTGAATTATTAAGCAGGAAGCAAGGTTTCAGGGCATCAGATCTCCAATATATATTGTGCCTTTCTGCTTCCTCATTGACTTGCTAATAGCTGGCTTATACCCTAGCTAATACTTCCAAAATTGGTTAAAGGTAGTCCCTAAATAACATTATTATTGATTTATGAAATGGTCCCTGTCTGTCTAGCCAGCTAAAGATCGTTTAATAAATTGACAGTAGTCTGAATCCAGTGTTGTAACAGGAGATCCATTGCATATTGATCATCAGTTCTCAATTAACTCAGCGCTGATTAACTTAAGCAACATTTAAGCTACATTGACCCCCAGGGCTCTCCCAAGTTTCGTTCTGACTGTCAAAATGATTCTGTCTGAAAAAATAATTATTTAAAATGCTTTCTCAAAAATGTCAACCAATTCCCCTGAAAAATTCTGACATTTGGTACATGTACATGACATTTTGCATATTGTTAATGGTTTGTAGGCAGACAAGTTTTATTTTAATGTGTTCAACTACAGTAAAACCTGTCTTCCTGAACACCAGTGTCAGATGAACACCCCTTCTCAGCACATAATCCACTGGCATCTGTATGAAATGTCCTCTGTATAGTGAACACCTACCTTCGGTGAACGAATTTCACTGTACATAGATTTAACTGTAGTATTAATGTGAAAATAAGATTGATCAAGGACATGTATTTAAATACATATTTTCATAAGAGTATATGATTGAATTTCTATGGTGTACCATACAAATATGGTATAGATTGAGTTATTTATTATATGATTTGTAATGTTGACCTTTGTTTTTTCATGGGATTTCTGCAATTAGGGTAGAAACCCCAATTGCGCTATTGTCTGAATGGCTTAACATCTACAAAGCCAATCTTATATTGGACACTAGGGAAATCACACCAGGGATGTTTTTGTTTAGATACTTTATATACTTATTATTATACCTAGTCAAGAGGTGTGTTGTTGAGGCCAAGATAAGCTATTAAAACCTCAGTCATAATTGCTCTACGGTACGGCAACCATAGAAAATCTACATCATACTGCTTATCCCTATATTTTATGCTGCATATTTCTCTCGAATGGTTGCTGTAGATCAAATGTGACTGCTGCATAAATGTGAAATAAATAGAACTGTAATAGGTATTAGAAATATATTTTAATTATTTATGCTCTTCTATCTGTTCAGTATAAATGTGATATACATATAAACTACTCAATAAATTATTTATTACAGTAGCTATATGGAGTAAATTTTGACTTTGATCTCTTAGAATGAGGTCGATTCAGTAAATGGCATCTAAATGAACGTGAAAATAAGTGACAATGGGTGTTCAAATTTTTGTTCTTTGTTCTTTATAACAACAAAGACACTTTGGAATAAAGTATAGAAGAATGATATGAAATCACAATGCTAAATTACTTTTCAACTTCATGTAAGAGGTTGTTTTAATACTCAGTCTATTGCCCATCCAGATAAAGCATAACAGAGCTTTCCGATTAATAAACCCTGCTGCCCTTTGCTACATCAAGAATTTAGTAGATCCTATTTTTTGAAAATAGGTATTACTTTAAACTTGTTGCATTTCAATCCACTGAGTCAATCTCACTCTACCCCTTTCAAAATGCAAAGCATAGGTGTCCGTTTATCCAATCGATAATGCAGTGGTCAGAAAAGTTGAACTTTTGGGGCTTCTCACCTTTTCTCAAAATAAAACCTAATTCAATGATGCTTTTGTTCAAATCTCTGTGAGATATTTCCATAAAGTACACAATAGTGGTTCCAAAAATTAAACAAAAAACTGAACACAATTTTATTTTGAACAATCACTTAGATTTTTATATTCATGTACAACAGTTTGTGACCCATCCCTCTTATGAGGAATGGTAATTTTGATAATAAATAACATTTTACACATATGTTTAAATTAAACATGCTATTTACACATTTGTCAGTATAGTACAGCAGACATGTACACACTGCAGATAGGCCCATATTTTAAATACTCTCATAATTAAAAATCACCAATTATCCTTTTTGACGATTTCATATTTTCTCTGTTTTTTACCCCCTCCCCTTTTATATCTATTTTCCTTTATTCACGAATGGAGGAAGAGGGGGTCAGATTCTAACATGCAAGACTTGATTTGATTTTATGGAATTGTTCAACTTTTTGACTGATCTACAAGGCAAAATAATTTATTACCTATTTAAAATGTCTCCTTGGCCATGCTTGCTCACTTTATGCAAACAGGTATCTGCTTTGAATGCAGTCAGTATATCTCAGTATATAGAGAGCCTCAAGTGAGGTCATTAATGATTAATAATATAAAGAACTCCAGAATATATCAATGAAGATTTAAAAGTGTGCTGTTTCCACATCTTGAATGTTAAACATCCAAACCTGAGGAATCACAATCAGTATTTGTTAGAGATCATTTACTTAACAATTAAGAGTGGTTTTGGAAATAGTTCCAAATACATTGTATAGAGACTAAAATCATGAACATGCATATTTTGATCATTACAAGTTTAAAGTGACACATCTAGTTATTAAAGATGCTTACTTAAAGTAAGTTCCTTGAGGAAAGTATTCCATATAAATAATAGACAAGTGCCTTGAAATAATCATGTAATATCATGAACTGGTATTGGAAATAGGTTCATATAAATTATACAATTAGTAGACATGTCGAGAAATAGTAAAAACAGATATAATCATTATTATCCTAGGTAAAGTTAATTGGATTTGAAATGCGTTCATATTGGAGCATTTTTAGTTGGCGTAGATTAAAAAAAATCATTAAACGTACAGTTGTTAAGAAAGACCACTGTATGTATTGGAATTGGATATATATTGGAATAAACAGTACCTGTAATGAATACAGTATGTCTCCTTATTGATTCTGAGTTCCCATGTTTATCAATAATTTTTTGCATTAGCATATTTTTTCCAAAATGGAAATAAATAAAAATGGCAGTTCAGAGAATAGATGACAGATGATGGGGCTCCTGATGGGTAAATTACAACTATAAATTCAACTTTTAGATTTTTATAAAATAAACATATTGGGTGGCTTAAATGATGTACTATAATACATCAATCCAGGAGAGGTACAATTGTGTTACGACTACTGCACATTTGGTATTGACATGCAATCACTGATAAATACAGATCAAACGTTTTAATTTATAAAAAAAATTAAATCCATATTGAATGATTCTAGAGTGAAAAAAGCATTGACTCTTCAAAATGATAGATCAGACATGAAAAGCCCTTGCTGTATGTTTATCTCAGAAAAGATAAATAAAAATAGGTAAAAGTGTGCATGTCACATTTTTCCTTCGGGAGCCCCATTATGCATTTTATGTCATGTTTTCTCCAAATTGCCAATAAAAAGAACCGTTTTCAGAGTTTGCTCTCTATCATGATTTAAAAATCTTCATCCATGCATTCTGGTCTTAAAAACATTTGAAATGCATACTTTAAAAACATTTACAGTTGAAATATAATTTGACATATCATGTTTGATTTAGTTCCCCATTTTTGTTCAGATAGCACTGGCACCTTATAGCTCTGGGTCTTATATATTGGATATATAGATCTCTTTTACTTTATTTGTCATACTAAATCCTGTTTTATATACCTATACCTTGTAACGTCCACATTAGCTCTTGATTTGTAAATTTTTCAGAATTATAATGTGCCAGAACAATTAGATTAACCAACCACCAGACAATCTCTCATACATGTAGTAAGTAAGTGGAAAGTTGGAATTCTCACATGTACATATAATGTTGCTCAGCTATCGGATACCATACAAAGTATTTACAATCATCATTCTTCAACTTATGTTTCACTGTAATATAGGGATGTTGTCAAAATGTTGACAGTTGCGAAAAAGTTAATTTCATATTTACGTAGTTCGACCACCCATTCCCATATAATTTGAATATAAATCTCATTTGATTTGCATTTTGAAAATTTCAAAAATTGCCAATTTTTTCATCAAAAATGAACATTTTAACTAAATAAATCACCTACCCCCATTATATTATTCCACAACTGTTGGAATTTGGACAACTTCCCCCTGGTAACTTGGAATCTCATAATTTGGGCTGATGGGGCTGATGTCATTTCTTTAGTATACACTATAGATGACTTTTCCTGAATAATCCATAACCATAAATACTTTTTATGATGATAGTAGAATTATATGAGGCACACCACTGACTTATGTATTCACTGAAACAAATGCATTGGGAGCGCCAGCTGTTGGTGAACTGTTGCGTTCAATTGGTTTATGCTGGGCAGTTGGGGTATTCTGAGGTGTTCCTATTTTCACATCTGCATTAGCAGCATCTGAAAGCAAGCAAACAATAAACAATGAAGATATTTCATTTGTTGACATATTGATTAATCTAGTTATTACAACAGATAGCCACTTGTAGGTATAAAACCCCTAGATGGTGAAGCTGTATTTGTAGTTGATGTCACCATGAAAGCCCATAATGTCACGAGCCTAGGAAATCAACCAATGCAATCTCTTTAACATGAGTGCTCTTGTGGACAATGCAAAACTGTTTTGCTACAAAACCTTTGTATCTACTTTCCACATTACTTTGTAAAATCAACTATAAATAAAATTATTTGGTACAGTATTTGGTGGCATCATCCACCTGAGTAGATGTGCCAAAATAATTTATATAAAGGTATTCATTAGAGGTTACAGGGATCATTTGACATTCAAACCTACTATTAGCTTGTTTTTTTAATCATTTATTTCATAAATAAGTTTAGGGTAAGTTATACATGTTATACCGCCTAGGTTTGAACATAAACATTGTTGGCAGTAGGTTATAAGTAAGTACATAATATCATATAGGATATGAAATTTAATGACGTTACACCATATCTAAAGAATCAGGAATATATGAGTGGACATTTAATAGTGAAAAGTACATACATGGATAAAGGGCTAAGCAAGGGCTATCGTTTCCATACTTTTGGTGATGAACTTTGCAGTTAGATGAAGAATTTGGTTATTGGATTTTGAGTCATAGTTTTTATGACCTTAAAGTAAGAACTCTATCTTACCTTGTTGGTTAAGCTTTAGGTAAATTTCAATCAATTGCAAATGTGAAAGTTGAGCAATCAAATCTATCCTTTCATTTTCATTTAAGTTGCAGTGATGGAAGACATGTTTAGTTGTTTGAGGATTGCCACATTTACATAAATTATTTTCGACACCACTAAAGTTATGAGCATATTTATGTGCTTTAAAAAGAGATTTGCTCTCAGCTAGTTATTAAGTGGAATTTCAAGACTTCTATCTAAATTAAGGGTTTTAAATTAAGGGTTTAGCTTGTTTGGAAGTCACAATAACAATCCACTTGAAGTACTTGACAATGCAAATCAATCAAACCTTCATTTGTGAAAGTTTGGAATTTTTAAGAATAGTTAAGGACTAAAAATATTCAATCACCCAGAAACACAAGGTCAATGGGAAGATACCTGCTTAGAAATGTATGCATTCGCCACTGGGTAAAACACTCCACTTTTGAACATGATGACACTAGGTAACACTCAACTATCAAACCTACCTGAGTTGCCTTTGACAATAGTTAACACTTCAATATTAAAAAAAACTATCTGAGCTATTTTTTACTATTGGTAAAACTGCACTATTAAACCTACATGAGTTGTGTTTGACAAAAGGGAACACTCAAGTATCCCTACTTGTGTTATGTTTGATGATAGGTAGCACTCAACTATCAAACCTACTTGAGTTCTGTTTGATGAAAGGTAGCACTCAACTATCAAACCAACCTGAGTTCTGTTTGATGAAAGGTAGCACTCAACTATCAAACCTACTTGAGTTCTGTTTGATGAAAGGTAATACTCAACTATTAAACCTACTTGAGTTATGTTTGATGAAAGGTAGCACTCAACTATCAAAACTACTTGAGTTATATTTGACAATGGGTAGCACTCAACTATCAAACCTACTTGAGTTATATTTGACTTTAGGTAGCACTCAACTATCAAACCTACTTGAGTTCTGTTTGATGAAAGGTAGCACTCAACTATCAAACCTACTTGAGTTATGTTTGATGAAAGGTAGCACTCAACTATCAAACCTACTTGAGTTCTGTTTGATGAAAGGTAATACTCAACTATTAAACCTACTTGAGTTATGTTTGATGAAAGGTAGCACTCAACTATCAAAACTACTTGAGTTATATTTGACAATGGGTAGCACTCAACTATCAAACCTACTTGAGTTATATTTGACTTTAGGTAGCACTCAACTATCAAACCTACTTGAGTTCTGTTTGATGAAAGGTAGCACTCAACTATCAAACCTACTTGAGTTATGTTTGATGAAAGGTAGCACTCAACTATCAAACATACTTGAGTTATGTTTGATAATAGGTAGCACGTAAAACATCAAACCTACTTGATTTATGCTTTACATTAGATAGCATTCAACTATGAAACCTCCCTGAGTTCTGTTTGATATAAGGTAGCACTCAGCTATCAAACCTACCTGGGTCCTGTTTGATATAAGGTAGCACTCGACTATAATACCTACTCGATTTATGTTTGACAATACATAGCATTAATCTATCAAACCTACTTGAGTTCTGTTTGATGAAAGGTAGCTCTCAACTATCAACCAACCTTAGTTCTGTTTGATGAAAGGTAGCACTCAACAATCAAACCTACTTGAGTTATATTTGACTTTAGGTAGCACTCAACTATCAAACCTACTTGAGTTCTGTTTAATGAAAGGTAGCACTCCAACTATCAAACCAACCTGAGTTATGTTTGATGAAAGGTAGCACTCAACTATCAAACATACTTGAGTTATGTTTGATAATAGGTAGCACGTAAAACATCAAACCTACTTGATTTATGCTTTACATTAGATAGCATTCAACTATGAAACCTACCTGAGTTCTGTTTGATATAAGGTAGCACTCAGCTATCAAACCTACCTGGGTCCTGTTTGATATAAGGTAGCACTCAACTATCAAGCCTACTTGAGCTATGTTTGTCATTAAGTACTAACACTAAAGGATCAAACCTACTTGAGTTATGTTTGACATTTTTTGACATTAGGAACTAGCTCACATGTTTAAACCTACCTGAGTTATGTTTGACATTAGGTGGCATTCAACTATCAAACCTACCTGAGTTATGTTTGACATTAGGTGGCATTCAACTATCAAACCTACTTGAGTTATGTTTGACATAATTGGTAACCTATTGGTAACACTTTTAAATCTATCTGAGTTTTGTTTGTGAATGGTTAAAATTCCACCATTAAACCTTTGTAAGTTTTGCTAGATAATGAGTAACTCTTCACTATTAAACCTACCTGAGTTATGTTTGACAATGGGTAGCATTCCACCCTGTCCAGATGGACTTGTGTTGGCATTTGCAGTAAAACCAACTGACGTCATAGTTGTATTAGCTGTTTGACCATCTACAATGGAAATAATCAATCATTCGCACTCTACAATTAAACCTACCCAAGTTCTCTCTGACAATGGGTAACATTCCACAATTAAACCTATTCAAGCTCTGTGTGACACTATTAAACCTACCTGAGTTCTGTTTGAGAATGAGTAAAATTCCACTATTAAACCTATGGCCCATAGTATGGGAACCTGCATGAGTTTTGCTTAATAAGGGGTAATACTTCACTATTAAACCTATCAGTGCTCTGTCCGACAATGGGTAACACTCCACTGTTAAACCTACCTGAGTTTATTTGAAATTTGGTACCGCTCAACTTTCAAACCTACCTGAGTTTTGTTTGACAATTGTTAACACTCCACTGTTTAAACTGTCTGAGTTGTGTTTGATATTTGGTAGCACTCAGCTATCAAACCTACTTGTGCCATGTTTGACATAAGGTAACACTCAACTATCAAACCTACCTGAGTTGTGTTTGACAATAGGTAACACTCCACCATGACCAGATGGACTTGTGTTGGTATTTGCAGTAAAACCAACTGACGTCATGGTTGTATTAGTTGTTTGACCATCTACAATGGAAATAATCAATCATATTATCATTACAATAGTGACAGTTGAATATATTAGTATAATAATATGCTGTATTTATGTCATAAAAGGCCACATTGTTATTGCTTTTGATATTACTTGTCTTTGGCGTTCAGATGAATGTAAAGGTTGACCGCTCTGGTCTTAATTTTGTGTCAGAAGATTCAATGCACGTTCCTGATTTCTTTTTGCAATTTTCTCATTTCGTGAATTTATGAATAGCGTAGTAGCCTGCAACAACGACACGAACAGATGTGTCTGTCATTTTGGCAACCGCCTTTGAAACCATTGCTGCTAATGTGAATGGCATTTCCGTTGATTTCAGAATCGACTTCGGTTAGACAGGCAATAAGATACTGATAATAAGGTAATTGATGTTTCAATCAAAATAATATGATTACTGTTCGTGTTGAAGCTCTTGAAGTATAGACAAAACCAAGGATGCATGTAAACATGCTAATCACGTTAACGAATGTGGACTACTATAAAAGAGAAATTCAAACACAATGTCGGGTGTTGTTGGTCAACTTCATGACAATACAATATAAGATCAGTGATGCCACTCATATAGCGGATGTTCTCATAATGACGTGCCGGGCGTTTAAATGAATGTAAGAATTTGTAGACATGGTGTTCCCCTCTTAACAACGCACATGGGCGTTATTTTGAACTGTACTTTCGAAATAACATATATTAGGGGTGATATAACGACAGAAGGGGCGTCATTACTAGAAACTCCGGTATGATGATTGGTATGTTATATTGAGGAACCGAATCCATCTTTTAGTTGAGTATGATGTACACATTGAATGTGTCTGTTCAAATCTGGTGTGGCTCGTCAACGTGTGGGGTGATATCGCAAAGGAAGGGGTGGGGTACTGAGGAAGGGATGACTGGATCTCAGTCTGATTGCAAATTAAAGGAATGGTAGCGGGTATGAGGCAATAAGGCAAATTATTCTACAATACACATGCATTCAGCAGTTCAGTCCTTGTTTTGGGGTTTCTGGTCACACATTGTCATAAGCAAAATGGTATGAGCTACACATGATTTACGAAGCCAATGCATAAGGGAACAACAAATACATGCACAGTATACCACCACTTCTATCCCGACTAAAACGAACATGTACATGTAGCTAGATATAGTAAGTTCTTATAGTGGATCAGTAAAACGACGTTGAAATGTCGTATCTGAATATATTGAGGGTGATATGTCTTGTTTGCTGTTATGTATATGCACATACGTTAAATTCATTTATTGGAAAAACGTTGAATCAAGGGTACTCAAAAATACGTTTTTTCATTTTGTTTATGGCTACAAATGGTACGGTAATGGTAATGGTAATCTGAATGAATAACGTAACTGGGCCTATTGATGTCACACAAAATGGCAGAGAAATAAATTGAAAAAGTGGGTTTGATAAAGCATAAGACTGTTTTAGATAACGTCTCCAAAGAGTAATATCCAATATGCCATTGAGAGCTGAGGTTCAGTTATGAGTAAAAATGTCCATGAACTCGTGGAATTAATCTGCAATCTGTGAAATGAAACAACGTTGAAGCAGGGAATTTGACTAATATCATGGGTTTCGAGAAACAGATCTCTGCTAATATCAACAAAATGATTGATGTGTAGGAAAAGATCAACTGATTCAAAACAAAATTATGTCAAAGAGTCTCTATACTGCGTACTAGAAAAGCACGTGAAAGTCAAATGAGGAAGATAAGGACCAAGTCTCCATAGCTAGTCAAGCTTCCCCATTTAGATATACCTATGCAATGTAGTAATCTGTTAATGCATTAAGGCCTCGTGTCACCAGAGTATCAATACAGTTATATCAAAACCAAAAAGCAAGTACAATTCATATGGTAGTTATACAATGTCAGTTTTACTTTGTTTCACTACCACTATAATACAATGTAGGCCTAAATTAATAATATTCTCAATAAAACGACTTTCATTGGATTATGTGTTTCTAGACATACTGGCATCATGCAATATCTATGTTAGTAATAGTCGGTATAGAATGGTGGCACGAACAATTACTTTTTGTGAAACGAATTTGCTTTAACTCAAACAAGGCATTAGCTATCATTCCGTGTAAACATACTATTTGGTTAGACAGCTTTGTTACCAAACAATGGGAGACATCGAAACGCTTATATATTATAAGGGAAAATTGATGGCGAATAAATTAACTACCAACAGCATGACGTAGCCAATCATCACCCATATTGTCACTGCGTGAGGATGTTTTACCCGGGGTAATGTACTTGTGATAGTATTGAGAACCTTGACTGTCCTGTCCTTTTTACTACAAGACATATGCTATATGTTGTAGGTATACTAACCAGAGGGTATTGATAGAATTGCCGATGATTGTATGTCGGTGATGCGAATAGGGGTGCCCGGGTTAGAGCTAATTTCAACCAGTCTTGGTGGGGATTTCTCACTCTTACTCTGGGGTCTAGACCTTGCTATGGAGGAATCGTCCTTTTCCGAATGATTGAACATTAGCATTGGGATGGACTCCTCTCCGTTCCCTACGAAACAAATTGCCAGATAACATGGATAAAATGATATGATACGCTAGAAAATTGGCTTTTTTGTTTGAACATGTTTCTGGCACTGCTATCTAGTTTAGCCTTCGCTTGTCATTTCAAACGACTTCTTAACTCCCTTTTGACTTTTAGTATTATTTTGTAACAGCCGGGCGTGGTAATTCTTTACACCAAAATACATCCATCCCACTTAGGTTCAAATAAAAGCCAATTTTGAATGACTTGCAGACTGCAGTGACAGAGTTCTTATTGTAAAGCCAATTTTGCTGCAAACAACAAACAAGGGAAGGCATCAAAAGTTCACGAATTGTGGTTCTAGACCTAGATTTTCGGTGGGATTTTCTACTGATGATCCCCCAAAAGAATGCCATATTATCGCTACATGTCGTCACCATTCCGAAGGACATATCACAACAGTTATAAATATATTTAAAGTGAACTAATACGAGATGCATGAGATAGTTTTCTTTAGACCAGACATTGACATAAAGAGTGATAAACTGTCGATAAAATATGAAATAATCAAACAAGTACACGGTGCAAGAATTCACATATAAATGATAAAAGTGAAGATTTTTAATCACATACAAACTGAGTAGGGCTAAAATACTATTCTATTTGGAAAATCCTTTGAGAAAATTCCCAAGATGAAATATCAATCTTAAAAAATATCGCTCAATAAAAAGAAAATCAGTAATATATTTCATACAGTACATCCTAATAGGGTATGGCGCAGTAACTTTCCATTGTCATCCATTGATGGAAGTGAGAGTACATACAAAGCAGGAATCACAAATTACATACAACATAACATAGAGATTGCATTAAACTAGCCCCACCACCGTGACATCATGGTTGTTGAAACTCCAAGCTAAAACGCTTGGTAATTAGTATTGACTGGTATAAAAATTTCCGTATCAGTCCCAGATTGTATCATGTTATCATGATTATAATTGTGTATCATAAATTATGCATACACAGACTTTCAATAATCCGCTTATGTTTTGATGACTTCCCCTTTACAATATAAATATTTCTTGAATAATATTTTTACATGTGTCAAGTTAACATGAGATCTATTTAATATTGTATTCTAAGTTCAATTAAGTAATATGAAATAATATAGCATTAAGCTTCTCGGTAAAGTAGCTAAGTACATTAATAATTAATATGTTTTTATTAATCATAGTCATCAGCATACAATTAGTACACGTTAATTCTACTCATTACGGAGTCAAGATGTTAATGAGAAAAACGACTCAATTGTGTGACTGTCGTTGTGATAGGCGTAATACACAATCAGAAGGTATCAGTAGTAATTCTACAGTTCCAAGTAAAAAAGAAGTTAGAACATGGGCAAAAAGAGATGCTAATTTCTTGACAAAACACTGCATTTTGAACTGATATAGATCATGATATGATGATTTGGGCCTAGAAGAAGAATACTTAATCCGATTTGTGCAAATATTGAGCTGCAATAGACTCAGCCAATATATTGACACACTAACAAAAAGGGGCACTCTATCCCGGCCACTATTTAAACGTGCTCAATTCCCCACCCAGGGGCGCACATCCTTCGAATGCGCAGGGCAGATATCATCCAAGCTGTCGGAAGAAGAAAGAAACAAAGTGAATGATGTCTGGAACCCTGCGTTCGGAGGATGAGTGGCAAGTATCAATGTAATTTGTGATTTGCTATCCTTTTGAAATAGTTTCCCACACACGAGAAATTCTAACCTGCTATGGTTTTATTCCATACTCGTACTCGCTACTACACGATATTGCACTGGGTATAGAACTAACGCAAATCCCGAAGTAACGTTAATTGATCTGCGTTTGGAATACACACAAACACTGACCAATGATGAAGTTACTGACCGGATCACGAATGGAGACAACAAATCGTTAAAGTGAACAAGCAAAACATGTCATTGGTTTTAACTTTGGCACTAAAGGACCCTAAATTGAAAAACATGAAGTTGTCGATACGCACTCCTAAAGATCAATAAAGAATAGATAAAGATTTGCATTTGTGATGGCCATAAACTTGTATTTTAATGTCTATTCATTTATTACAACAATAATGGAATGATGTCAGCTCTTTCAACGTTGATCTTTATATTGGCACTATTTTCCATACTTCAAGTGAAACCTATCGAACTGAATGTCCCCTGGGATTATTTTATCCCCATCACTAGTGGCCAATTTACTAAATTACAACACTTTGACATAAATTTTTAATTTTGACTTGGTGGGTGACCAAGTTACGACGCTCCTTACTTGAACTCAATCGGAGCAGTGAGTGCCATATAGAGCGCATATTCCCTGGGGATCGGTCATTTATTTTACACCGGTTCTAGCTAAACCTAAAGAATTCATTTTCCTGGTTGATTACCTAGAATTCTAAAGAAGAATATTGTTATTACAAGGTTAAATTCCCATGTGTAATAATTTACGAGCAGTGCTATATCTGGGAATGTCAAATGAGAACTAGTTCTCCATTTCTATCAATCCGAACCATTTATACTTACTGTACTTCAGGCTTGTTACAGTGGAGGATCCAGAAGCTAACAGTGGAGGGGGGCAAATTTCGAGTGAGTAAAATATTTTGGGCCCCTTAAACCCAAAATTGGGACAAATTTTAGACCCATTCTTTGAAAATTTGGCCAAATATACCTACAAGGCCAATTTTTACAAAATTTCCCTGATTCTTTTTCTGGGCCCACAAAGTGGGGGGGGGGGGGGTGGCCCCATGGGCCCCCTTCTGGATCCGCCAATGTTTTTATATGTTAGTAAAGGTGAATGACTGGTTGTGATACGGGGCAATATAACTATACCATTGGATGTAGCATGGTCAAGACTAGGATTAAGCACATATGAGGTTACTAGAATAGTATTGTTATTGTTTGATCCTCAGTTTTGGGAAATTGAAATCGAGTCCTTGTACGCAATTTTACGAAAGAACAACCAATATCTAATCTACAATCAGTTTGACCATCTTGTTCAGTAACACACCAGAAACGTATCAGATTCCTCGTCCTTATGTGTGTGTACAAGAACCCGACTTCAATCTTAGTACTTTTACTGTCTAACTACATAAGAGGTCCATTATCATCATTCCATTAATATTGATAATTTAAGTGTAGATTTCTAGCAATGCCGTAAACTCTGTCAGTAATACATATCTAAGAAATGATAAATAAAGTTCGTGTTTTACGTTATTGCTAAAAATGTTAAATTGTGAAACGAGCGCATGTCATTCGCTCTCGATCGATCAATGCCCAGAGCAGACATGTTCCTTGATCGAAACATAATAATCCATAAAAGTAATACGTTTGATGATGTTGTTCTTCACTTATTACTTCTATGGATGTCTGTAACACAAATGAGAGGGTATGAAAAAGAAATAAAAAGCTTGCGAACCGCTATAAGTGAATATTAGACTAAATCGCATCTAGTTGTGAGGGGGGTAAATCGTTGCTAAATCGGTGACTAAAATGTACGTGACAGAAAGACTTAAGGATAGAATCTCGTTTTGCCATCAGTGCATGACGATATTTTGTTGTACGTGCAAGGGTAGTCACACTTGCCCGGATCTGAAAGGTATCGTGATTCTAAGAGTCTATATGACCTACCATGCACTGTATAGGTTAATGAAAATGTTAGGTAGAGGTAAAATGTATCAGATGGCTCATCATGACACCGATGGCAAGAAACAGAGTTGGAAGTGGGTAAAAGAGACAGGTATATCGAGCATGAGGCCAATGTGCGAACTATAGAAATACAGGTGAGTAATTTAAGATAAGTAATTTTAGGGTGAGTAATTTTTAGTCAATTTGTTAAAGTCAACCCTGATTCACCTCCCCTCATTGGTAGGTATCTAGATTAGAATGCGCATGCGTCAAGCCGGCATACAATTACGACTTACTGAGATCAGCTGTATTATGTTGATATGGTGGTACGACTGAAAATACGATATTCCAATGTCAATCCAGAGACATGCTTTCAATATAACAAGAAACTACTTGTACAATATACGTACGAATGGCAGAACACTTTCCGATTCATCTGATTCTTCGAAAAATAATAAGTTCTGAATGAAATATGAGAAGTCCGATATGTCAGATTATGGCCTGCAATTAATACATATACTGTCAGAATTGACGTACGACATATTTTCAGACTTTTACATCTAAATTTGACATTGATACGTAACTGTATGCATGACTTCATTATGGCAAATTGCACTTACTGCGAAATGGCATCATTTCTTGAATCGCGCCGCCTTGAGCTAAAGCAAAACAAAATAAAATACAATCATATAATAATATACAGCATCTTATAGTAACATGATCGATCTCAGCCGCCAATAGCTTTACAAGAGATGACAATAACATGTTGCCAAGACAACGCAAGTATTTGAAATAATATCAACGGTGTGTGGAGTATACTCTGAACATTTTGCGTTATCTTTTGGCAGTGTTTGGCAGCATGCCACACACATTCGACTTGTAGAAATATAGGAAGAAGAAAAGAACTAAAGTGCTTCAAAAGAGAATTGACCACGTGCTCGTCAATACTGCATACACTCTTCCATTTTATATGTAGATCCTGGAATTAAGCAGAAGAAAGTAAAGCAATTCATCATGCCAAATTTGCCCATTTGGAATATTGAAGGAACTTCCTTTCCAACCTACTAAATCTGATGTTTAGACACGACGTTATCGTACATGTCCATATCATTGACGACATGATTAACGCTTTGCTTGCATTTGACCTTTAACCAATTGCATATAAACAAAAATAAGATTAACAGACGGGCTACTTTCAACTGATAACCCCTCTTAGCCGTCGATTTTTCACCAGGTCCAAAATTATTAAAGAGAAAAAACTAGGGTATAACAGTCAACTTGAATTATTTTATGTTTGATTTCATACTCGTGAAGGAAATGTCTTCTGCGACTGCAATTATTTTTAACATTAGAAAGTTAAACTGCCACTTTCATGATTATGGCGATGAAGTCTTATTTTAATCAGTCGTAATTTTGATTTTAAGACTTTATGAATTGTAAAAATGTCAACATCAAATGATTGTTAGTAGCAAGGATAAAATAGTGAAATGGGCATGGGAGAGAGTTGGATTGGAAAGCTGAATAATATTATTAAATATCGGAAGGTAATAATTAACCATTTCTGACCTTTTACTTTCCTTGTCACGCTCATTTCCTTACATAACGTATCTGCAACATACTCAATTAATTGATTGTTGGGAACGAAAGGGTAAAGTCTGTGCTGAATCCATAACTTTGTACAATTGAAATAAAGATTAAAGAAATATCATAAATGGTAGAATCAGTATCCACTAACCCACTCGCTCTACCACGCGTCATCTGATAGTTGAGCGATTTTGACACACGTTAAAAATGTATTGATCTGTTATTCTATGTTGCTTTGAAATGCTAGCGTTGATTTTTTAAACTCATCAAAAGATAAACAATTATGTTGTTATAGAATGGATTTATCAAAATATTGCACATCGGATTTTTTCTAGCGCTTTTACCTTTCCAGATGAATCACATTGCCTGAGAACAGAATCGAACATAAAAAATCCAACCGGATTTCAGAGGAATCGTCTTAGTTTGTTCAAGTTTATACTCCCCAAAATTAGTTAGGTAATCCGTATTTCTCAATAGAAATAGCTTAATCTTGTCTGTATGTATCTTTGATCTTATGGGATGATAATTGGAGCGTGGACCTCTATCCCCTATGGATCTTTTGGAGGTGTTATCTCCTCCATATGCCATTTTCCAGAACTGGGGAGAGTCAAAATAGAAATGGCCATCCGGCCTAAAATGACCAACATGCCGAAGGAAAGGTATACTATTAAAATAAGACTTGAGAAATAAGAGGTGAGAAACAAACCTGGAGAATCGGTGTCATTGCCGAAGTGATTTTGAAACGTAGTCACATTTGTCCTTCAAGCTACTTCAGCACAAGATATACATGTATTTTCCAAAGTAATGATATGGGGCCACCGGATATCATTCTGATACTCATCACATCGTTCTGGCTTCAACTAGAGAGAAGCAAAACGAAGGCCATGATTTCCCATGATGGCTGGATGTGACCATTACACATAAAGCGACCTCCGTTGGCAGCTCTGCCTTTCCAGAGTGGCCATAGATCAAATATTACGATGATTGATTCAAGAGAAAACGGACCAAACCTAAACCCAAAGCTTGCTTATGATCCCGGACGAGCTAAATACGATGTAAGCAAAGCTCTCGTTAATAATTAACAGGGGATCGAGAATAACGGTAATGATTCTCGGAGTACTTATGCTGACGGTACTCGGTGTTTGAGGACGCCACTTCATATCCTTCTTCATTGGCGAACTGAGACAATAAAACTGGCTGAAACTCACTTAGAGAGTGGAATAATCGAATTAGCAAGTCCATAAGAAAGTAAATGAGCATGTTCAATCCATTGCATATGTTTGGCCTACCTTCAGGCTTCAAGCTTCTTGCAAATGGAATTGTTAAACAATCTGTCAATATACACGAAGATGAATTAGTCTAGCTGAGGGACTACCCGGATTAAAAATATGTTGAAAGGTTGCTTCGTGGATCATCGAATCTCTCGCCGAAATAGTTATTGATATGCATATTGCTGTTTCGACGATACTTTTAGATAGTTTTCTCCAAGGCAACGTGAACAAAATATTTAAGATTGTCTGATTAAATGTAGGTTATGATGCAATTTGCCTAAAGAAGCTGGGTTATCTGTATTAAAGCTCTGTAGTACAAGATATTAACCCAAGTCAAGATCATTCAGCGTACTATACTAATGCCCTATCATCTCTCCTACTCAATCTCTGAATCTGCCTCCGACATACAAGAAAATACATAGCATTAACCTGGATGATTCAATCACGTAGAACACATATAATCAGATAATAAGGTTATTAACTCGTGTTGTGGCCTGATTAAAAATATTGAACGTCATTTTCAGCGCGATGCGTTGTTATCGTAGATTCACTGTCACAGTAGCGAAGCTTTACGGGTATATTACTACCCATCAACAAACACAGTGTTTGTAGCAACCCGTTACTATACCAACCAAAAGTAATAACTAACTAACTTATCCATGATGTCGTTATTGAACCATGTAAGCTGGTAAACAAGAGAGTTTCTTCAGCCAATCAACCGTAATATGTTTTATGCCACACACTTCAATATATGCAGATGGCGAAGTGATAAAAATAAATTAATTGATCGATCTGAATAGCTGAATCAATATCCAAGATTGACATGTTTTATAAAATAACAGGATCAATCAATCGCAGAAGTCCATGATATCTCAAGCATACGGGACTTAGTCCTAAGTGTATGTGTTTACCTCAATATAAAGTAGTCCATTCCGTTCTGACTATTTATTTATTTACTCACATATTCAATTTTCAGAAAAAATTGAATTTACATTCATAAAATTGAATAAAAATTTAACTTACACTTTAAAATGATAATATGTACTTGTAAATATACGTTTAGAAAATGATTTTTATGGAAACATAATATATTTAATATTTATCTAATAAGTCTGATGGTCTAGACCATCCGATTTCGAAAATCTAATCATCTAAGTTGTTGTTTTGATCCTCTGGCTTATTTTTTCTGACCATGATTGATATTGAACTGGTCAATTACAGAACCCAGTGTAGCACTCACAGAGAGCTGTAGGTAAAACCCTGGTATGTATTTCTGGGTAAAAAATGAGCTCTTTCGATGTTATCGTCTTATTGGATATTTACTAGAAACTAGAAGAGAAATAATAGATAACCATTCCAGTTTTATCATAAGTAAACGGTGTAGCTGATACATTCATATGAATCATTCCCATCAGCGGTGTACAAGAGCAATAAAGCCACCGGTAACAGACATAGTGTTCGCGGCATCTGCAAGGAAGATTAAAACACGCCAGCGCCAGGAAGAAAACAGAAACTACAGTTCTATGTTTTCTAATATCATGGCTATATCGTGGTTTTCATGGATATCATGGTTTTAATTTAGCAATATGAGTGAAACTAACTACCCCTACCAGTGCTTGGTGATTACAGGCAGATGTCTGTGCTTATGTTCGCTACTTCTAACGCTACTGATAATCTACTGTAAAGGTAGAAATTCCCCCGTAAATAAAATGCCGCTTTAGTCGTGTCTTATGAAATAGCCTGTAACCAAATGAAAGAGAGCAATGAAACGGTTCAGAGATGAATTTGTATATGTAATGGTAACAGTTGGAAGAAATACCCATAAAGCACTGAAAACGGAACTTGATCAAATTTAAGAACGGAATAGCAGAGAATCAACAAAACCAGGGTGGCATTTTAAACGGATACAACCACCATCGATTCATCCCGACATATCATTACTTGAAAATATTTAACCAATCCTTCTTCTAAGCATTTCATGGCTGCTCGAGTTATTTTCATAATAACAATTCATTTCAGTGACGAGAATTAACTAAAAAATGTGTACCACTATAATTACAATAGTATACAGACATACATTACATCGACAAATACATTATAATATCAAAATATCTAAGTTTAAACGAAAGCTATAGAAACACAATAATATCGAAATATGGAAATTAAGGGATCCAAAGAAAGAAATAAAGTCAAAATAAACTGTACCTATTCTGTTAAGTTTGTTTTCTAGTGCACCAGGGTGGTTATGCTTGATTGCATTCATCCGGCGATTTTGTGCCCCGCCAACTTGGTTACGATTTCCACCCTGTGGGCCCTGTTTGGGTCGTATTGCCTCCACTGGTAGCACCCTCCGCCTTTTCTTTGGCAGCTTAGAACGTGCCTGTGTGTGCGAGTAGAACATCGCAAAGTTGGATACGATAACAGGGACGGGCAGAGCGATGGTTAATACTCCAGTTAGCGCACAGAGTGAGCCAACAAACATGCCCACGTAGGTTTTGGGCGCCATATCGCCGTATCCAACAGTAGTCATTGTGACTATTGCCCACCATAAGCCATCCGGGATACTAGTGAAGTCATTGTCCTTGTTGTACTGAATCCGCTCAGCGTAGAATATCAGCGCGGCAAATATAACTATACCAAGAACCAGGAAAAATATAAGTAGACTGAGTTCTCTGGCGCTTGCTTTGAATGTGTGTATCAGAATCTTTAACCCAGGAGAGTGCCTGGTCAGTTTGAATAATCTCAATATACGGATGATACTTAAGAATTCTAATATTTCATTTTCTTTTTTTAAACGAGTTAGGAGGAAATCCAAATAAAAGGAAAGCGTCGCCACAAAGTCAATAACGTTAACAGGTGCTTTGATAAACTCCCTCCTCGAGAAGGTGACGATGAAGCGAATAATAATTTCAAACGTAAACCAGGCGTTACATATACATTCTATGTAGAAAAATGCCTCGTGTGGCTCTGTCCCTGTCTTCTCCAGAGTCCAAATTGAGCTATCATTCCCATAGAGTGACATAGTTATGTTCTGGATTACTGGTACCCTCATGTCCGGGTGAGTTTTTAAGCAGAATGAAAATATTGAAACCACTATGAAAAAAACGGATACGACTGATATGATCTGGAAAAAAGAGGATAATAGCATAATATATAATTAACGTTATTTATTCAATCGGTTAATGCAATTACGAAAGCTGTTCTGACTTATTGATTGATAACGTCATGATAGAATACCATGGCCATGTATATTAGCTGCCGTTGCTATAGCATAAGTGGCTCGTTGGTGCAGCAGTTATGTTCTGATGTTTCTGGCTTGATGCCGATAGACTTATCTAGCTCAGCTACATAGATACACACACCATACTCTTAATCTAATCCTCATAGACTTGACCATTGACGTGAATAATATTAGAAATAAGGCTACTGTTACCACCTACCTTGGCTCCCATTGAGGAGTAGGGTTCATCGAATAATGCCCAGATTCTCGGCTTGACTTTCTGCCAACAGGTTAGATCTCCAGATTGATAGGATTCTTCAAGACTGAATTTCTTAAATATATCCTCCTCGCTTGGTTTGTCAGTGTCTAGATCAAGGCGGTCTAGAATGGTTAATGTCTCCTGTGTGTCCCTGTGTGTAGTATAAGTCATCCAGCAACATGGCTCTACTTGATTCGAGTCCAGCCCCCAAAATTCCAGCTCCTCTTCGAATAGGGGACCACATACATCTGTGGGGTAATGGAGCTTACCTGTTCTGTAGTAATTCAGAATCTGGGCGAATACCCCCGGGTGTCTATCAAAGAAATATTCATTCAAAACAGGGTCATAATTTGCTAACGCCTCTGTCAAACGCGACAAACGCGTCGCTGGGATCTTTTTCAGGGTGGCTTTGTATGTTTCATGACGTATTCCGCCGACATTGAGTATAACTCTGTTATCAGCATCCGTCATTTTCCTCTAGGAGACGTATCGTTATTCTATAACCGTACCATCCCACCAGGCACTTTCTGTGTATGGAATAAATATCCAAGTTTGTGATCGTTTTATTCCCTGGGGTTCATTCAAGTCATCCTTCCCAAGTTCACAGCTAGCACATGATTTTCTATCAAATCCAACACGTTCATTTAGCGGGAGATTCCTCTAAGTCCTTCATAAAATATTGTGATCAAAGCTGTAAGTAGCGTGTAGTTGATGATTGTTATTTACCGTATTCACCTCAGATGTTTCTCCGCTTATCTTTTTTGCATGTATTAATTTGAAGTCCTGCTGCAGGAGTATCGATCGATCCGGTTGCCTTACTGTGGAGGAATGGATGCCGTTCCAGTAAACACAAATCAAATCTTGCCGAACTGATGTTTGGAAACCGCCAGATGGGTTATTCTACAGAATCTAAAAATAAACAATGAACTACATTAGCATGGCGAATATGTATCCTGCAATATTCAAGTAATTGACATAGTCTCGTATATTCATTTAGTCTAAGCCCATGATAATTACCAAGCCATGCAATTTAATTTGGCCGCCATTTTGCTACAATGGCTAATCTCATATAACAATATCGCGGGGATTCGGCCATGAAGTAACTTAATGAATTCCAACTAGATACATAACACCTCTCTTTCATAAAATGATAAGTGGTTAGGTCATAATTGTAAGAGTGTTTATTGATTAGACGGCTGTTGTGATTGGGGTCGCAAAGGCAAAATTAAGTAAGAACCAATCAATATAGCATAATCGTACAACAGTAAAACAAGTGCGCATATTGCTCCAATATAATATTGACAGTGAACATGTCGGGATATTGACAATTGTACGTTTTTAAAATGCTTTAGAACAACGAACATATTAAATTGACCCATGTGAGAAGCGCATATCCATTACATGAATAACATTTTGTGACTAAGATTAATCATTACCAATTAAGGTAAATAATGTATTGTTCACGGTGTTGGACATTTATTTGAACTCACATTCAGATAGCGATGTAGATTGTAGAAGGGATATATGCCCAAAGTAATCAAACTCCATCTGTTTAACTAAAAATAGAAATAGTTTGGCCATTATGTAAACCAAAGGAAAGATGAAAGTGATTACTCAAAATCATTCACGGGAGGTTGAAAAAATTTCTTAGATTTCTTATCATCTTCTAATTTGACGTCCATAACATTCTGACAGAAGTGACAAACGTGACGTATTTACCAGGACGTTTTTAATCATCCATCGTTGTGAAATTAACGATTACCCACTCTGATCCCAATATAGAATGAAGCCTAGTTGTTAACTCTTTCCTGATCTTTATGATGGTATATACATGGAATATGAACTAATAATCGAAGATGATTGCCACTGCAGTAATTTGCTCTTTGCTTTCGTTCGACTTCGCATCTATTAAAAGAGAGCTTCGTCTTCATTGTAAGAATTTTATAACTAGACACTGCGCTCAGGGTAGCAGTGATTAACATGATTAAAGATCATGTCAAGAATTGAAATGTACTAGTATTGGATTATGGTGAGGATCTCATGGAAATGTTGTTAGTTATATGGCTGAGATACCGTTTGTAATAAAAAATATAAGAAAATACGAGCATAAAGTAGGGCTATAAGGGGATTGAGGCTAGCAAACAATATCATGAAAATTATGTTGGGTAGAGGCATAAAATTATAAAGAAAAATCGTGAGGGTGGAGGGATAGTTAAAAAATAGTAATAATCCTGAAGGGACATCAAAATAGCAACAGTAAATTTCTTTTATAAAGATCTTGTAGGGTTGACCGCAGAAATAGAAAAACAATAACATAAAGACCGTGTAGGATGAAGGGATCGTATGTCACGTTCATAAATACCTTGAAGGATGAAGGGATGGTATAACAATTTTATAGAAACCTTGTTTTATATGTCTCTGGTAAAAGGTATAGTAAAACAATTTTATAAAAACTGTAGGGTGAAGGGATGGTACAAGGATTTTATAAAAACAGTTTAGGATAAAGGGGTACATGTAGTAAACAATTTTCATAAAAATCTTCCAGGTTGACGGATAGTAAAACAAGTTCAGAATAGTGAAGGGTGGATAGATGATGTAACAGTTTTATAAAAATGTTGTTTATTAAAGGGATATTTAAAACGATTTGATAAAAAACCTTGTTGAAGGGATTTTGAAACGATTTTATGTGGAGGGATGATAAAGCAATTTCCAAAAATTGTAGGGTAGAGATGGTAAATTTTATATAAACTCTGTATGTAGGTTGAGAGAACACATTTTTAAAGACCTTGTAGGGTGAAGGGATATATATACATAATAAAAGGGAACAATTATCTAAAATTGTAGAGTAGGTCAGAGACTTCAAATATTTCAGAAAATTGAGTTAGGATGGAGGTTGCATAAATCAATTGTATCCCAAAATACGGTTGGATAGAATGAAAGTGAAACAATTTCATTAAGAAAATTATATCATAGTAGATGGAAAATGTTTACAAAGAGTATGTTTGGGTGGACGGGTGATATTGAATATTTTATTTCCTAGATAATAGTAGACTGGCGATAAAGTAACACAATTTCATTGAAAAGGTAAGATGGGCTTTATTATCTTTTGACTCGTTATGGTTCTTATTGTTTGCTGCATCTATTTTGTTCTCTCTCCATTGTGATACTATATGAGATGCTTAATACATCTAATGTACTTATTTAGTACTATGTGACTCAATCACGACTACTGTATGTTACATATCAAATCGAATCTGTTCTTCCCAGCTTTCCCAAATACTTTAATTGTGATACAGCTCCATTACCACCCCTTCAATAGTCAATACAGAATTGTATAACTCTATTGGGAAATTATGAATGTGTCAGTAGTATGTCGGCATCATTTCACATTTCATTACTTTAAAAGCGAATACAGATCTGTTAACGGACTTGTAGCGTTTTATAAGTCCCTTATGTTTATCACATATAAAGTTTGTGTACTTTGTCATCATTTGTCGCGCAGTTCTATCCGTTCATAAGGAGACATCGTTATAATATAGTTACTTAATGTGTGAACTATTATCAATTACATCGCAATAATAGATATTGTATGAATACTGTGAATGTTACAATTAGTAAAAAGTTCATAAAAGTAATATTTAATTTGATGAACACTGGGATGTTGGCAGATCTCTAATGACTCTAATTTCTGGTTTGAATATACTATCAGATTTATAAATGCAGTTACATTCGGTTTATTTATCAGACGTATTATTGCTTTGTAAATCGATGTACAAACAAAAACAAGTCGCCAAAAAGCATATGCAAGGTGACACAAAAATACAGCCCATGATTGAAAACGTCCGTGAACATTAAATATTGTCATTCATAACTAAATCTCTGCCTATCAACATCTGACCAAATTACACTCATTTCATTTGAGACCACATCTAACAAATCCTGTTTTAGAGCAGCAATTGATGAACCGGCAAAATTATTTCTTGAGTAGACTCCTCAAGGACAGGTAAAAGTGTTTGAAAGCAATCCAGAAATAACTCGATTGTTTGGCAAAAAATGTAAAGCAAGAAATCAATCTTGAAAACTTGTCTTTCTGAATAACTTTATGAGAGAGCATGCCTATATCTAGACGGAAATGCTAACATTAAAAATCCTTGTTGCCATATGAATAGACTCACATGAATATATCATTGTATCAACTTTCAAGCATTGAACACATCTACACATATCCAGTAATTTCTTGTATCGCCAAATTATTTGATAGTATAGGGCTTTATTTTGGGTCAGAAAGTGGGCAAATGGCATTCGTTCGACTTCGCCTCTTAAAAGAGAGCTTCGTCTTCAAGTTTATAACTAGACTTGCACGCAGGGTATAGTTAACTAGTCTTTGCAAAAGGAATTTTGCCATACACATATACACACACATGCATTTCATCATTGATATTTGCTCTATTTTTGTGAACACCATTTGAGCTCTTCAGATTTGAAGTTCAATTTCCAAGTGTCAGATCAGCTTTCACTATTTAGTTTGGATCTTATCATTGCATCTATCATGTTTTTAGGCTCAAAAGACAACTGCAAAGATGTAGCAATGTCAACGGTAATGTCAATAATAAAAGATAATATTGGGCTAAGAATCGAGCCCTATGGGACACCAGACTATACTTTTGCGGATTAGGCTTTGAAAATCATATACATATAATTTATGATGAATTTATGCCTTTCCATTATTTTTACATCATATTGTAAGTGTAGTTAGTTGTTTCAACATATTGATTTCATAAATGCAATAATCGATCAAACGCATAACTTACAGCAAATCAAAGGAGAACGAATATGAACTTCTGTATAAATAAAATGTCCTATGTTCTTGTGATTTTGGATTGAGATAATAATTGATTCCTGAATGGCGGTGTGAGATAATATTTCTTTGTCGTTCAGATCTCATAGGATGAGATTCGTTTTCTTTTTAACTGACTGTGCCGTGTTCATGCCTTGTTTTTCTAAAACCCTTTGAAAAAAGTTAAACAAACTTTTCTCGACAAATCGCTATCTGTATTGGGTCTTCAAGGAGGGGATGGGGATGGTTAACCTTGGCATAAGCCTTCCGCGATAACATGTAATTCGATGTCACCAAATTAAATACAAACACCATACAATAAAATATCAAGCAGTATTATATATATATATGACTCTACTGTTGTTGGTGAGCGTCCTTTGGAAGTGTAAGAGTAAAAGTATGATGCAACAAAGTCAACCATCAAGAAGATAAAAGCCATAATTTGGTTATAACCGAATATGTAATTCATACAATAGCAGTATGGAAGGATTCTTGTATACATAGAATATAAGTAATTAGGAAAAGTTGAACAGTCTCATATAGACTATACAGGGTGTTCCAAAAGTTGCAGGACTGGTGTTGGCATTTTGTCAATTTTGCACTTAGAGTCTTGAAATTTTCACAAATTGTACTTTGAAGTATTGCGACTAAACTTGTAAAGTGTCAGAAAAAATGATGAAATGCGGTTAGAGTTATGGTTACTATAGTAACATGACATTCCAATACCCGGGGCAACTTTTTTCCTGAAAATGTAATATCTAACATTTTTGTATTACTGAAAAAAGTATCTGATTCACCTATTATAATTCAACATTTCTTGCTTATTCCATTAGTTGCTTTGTTGTAAAGATGTTGCTATACAACTCAGATTCAAGTATTATTTCATAATGATAATAATATTTATTCAATCTCCTGGAATATCACTATGTTTAACAGTCTGAACAATTCACGGTTGAGTTTTTAAAAAGACCCAATTTGAAACCAGTCATCCTCCTTGATAGCGCGCCTGTCCGTAGGTCACCATTAAAGACCATGCAGCTAAAGATGAGCTAGGTCTTGGGTCTAAAACCATGCACCATACTCTTCTGATCATGCAATATCTGATTTTTACTTATATTGAAAACGGAATGCTAATCAGTGCTGTAAGACCTTTAAAGATGAGAATGACCTTCTCCAAATTATCCAATCGACCCTGCGTGACATGTCCTCAAATGGGTTTTCTCATGTGTTTGGGTCATGTATATAGAGTACTACTCTTGTACTGACCAAAGAGGAGCCTATTTTTCAAAGTAGAGGATACATAGGAATATCAAATGATGTAAAACAAATGTAATTCCCACCAGTTGTTGCATTTCAACTTTGATATGGCATGTACAAAATGATATGGGATGTACAAAATGCTTAATGTCTCTGTAACTTTTTGCGTAGAATGTTGCCCCGGGTATTGCGATGTCATGTTACTATAGCAACCATTACTCTACCCGAGTTTCATATATTTTGTCGAAACTTTGCAGTCTTAGTAACGATACATAAAAGTCCTGTTACTTTTGGAACACCCTGTATACACTAACCGCATGGAGAAATAATACTAATCTCATATCAAATTATGATATTGGATAGTCTCATGTATTTTGAAAAGTTATGGAGGACACCCGGGTTGAACAATTTCGAATGAAACAAAAGTCTAGAGGGATGGTTGAAGAAATGCATATGGAATAGTATTAGGGAGGGATGGTTGAAGAATCGCATATGAAATAGTAGGGAGGGATTGTTGAGATATGAAATAGTAGAAAGGAGGAATATTTGAAGAATCGCATATGAAATAGTAGTAGGGAGGGATGGTTGAGATATGAAATAGTAGTAGGTAGGGATGGTTGAAGAATCGCATATGAAATAGATGTAGGGAGGGATTGTTGAGATATGAAATAGTAGAAGGGAGGAATGGTTGAAGAATCGCATATGAAATAGTAGTAGGGAGGGATTGTTGAGATATGAAATAGTAGAAGGGAGGAATGGTTGAAGAATCGCATATGAAATAGTAGTAGGGAGGGATGGTTGAGATATGAAATAGTAGTAGGTAGGCATGGTTGAAGAATCGCATATGAAATAGATGTAGGGAGGGATGTTTGAATATTATAGTAGTAGGTAGGCATGGTTGAAGAATCGCATATGAAATAGATGTAGGGAGGGATGTTTGAATATATAGTAGTAGGGAGGGATGGTTAAATATATGAAATATTAGTAGGATGGGATGATTGTTGAATATATGAAATAGTAATGTGGGGGGGGGGGTGTGGTTGAATAATCGCAAAGTAGTAGTATGGAGGGATTGTTGAAGAAATAGGAAGTATGGAAGGATGGTTGAATAATCACATATAAAGTATGGAGGGATGGTTCAATAACATATAAAGTAGTAGTATGGAGGGATGGTTGAATAATCACATACAAAGTAGTAGTATGGAGGGATGGTGGAATAATCACATATAAAGTAGTCGTATGGAGGGATGGTTGAATAATCACATACAAAGTAGTAGTATGGAGGGATGGTGGAATAATCTCATATAAAGTAGTCGTATGGAGGGATGGTGGAATAATCACATATAAAGTAGTAGTATGGAGGGATGGTGGAATAATCACATATAAAGTAGTCGTATGGAGGGATGGTGGAATAATCACATATAAAGTAGTAGTATGGAGGGATGGTGGAATAATCACATATAAAGTATGGAGGGATGGTTGAATAATCACATATAAAGTAGTAGTATGGAGGGATGGTGGAATAATCACATATAAAGTATGGAGGGATGGTTGAATAATCACATATAAAGTAGTAGTATGGAGGGATGGTGGAATAATCACATATAAAGTCGTAGTATGGAGGGATGGTGGAATAATCACATATAAAATAGTAGTATTGAGGGATGGAGGAATAATCACATAAAGTAGTAGTATGGAGGGATGGTTGAATAATCACATATAAAGTAGTAGTATGAAGGGATGGTGGAATAATCACATATAAAGTAGTAGTATGGAGGGATGGTGGAATAATCACATACAAAGTAGTAGTATGGAGGGATGGTGGAATAATCACATATAAAGTAGTAGTATGGAGGGATGGTGGAATAATCACATATAAAGTCGTAGTATGGAGGGATGGTGGAATAATCACATATAAAATAGTAGTATTGAGGGATGGAGGAATAATCACATAAAGTAGTAGTATGGAGGGATGGTTGAATAATCACATATAAAGTAGTAGTATGAAGGGATGGTGGAATAATCACATATAAAGTCGTAGTATGGAGGGATGGTGGAATAATCACATATAAAATAGTAGTATGGATGGATGGTGGAATAATCACATATTAGTATGGAGGGATGGTGGAATAATCACATATAAAGTAGTAGTATGGAAAGATGGTGGAATAATCACATATAAAGTAGTAGTATGGAGGGATGGTGGAATAATCACACATAAGTAGTTGTATGGAGGGATGGTGGAATAATCACATATAAACTAGTAGTATGGAGGGATGGTGGAATAATCACATATAAACTAGTAGTATGGAGGGATGGTGGAATAATCACATATAAAGTAGTAGTATGGAGGGATGGTGGAATAATCACATATAAAGTAGTAGTATGGAGGGATGGTGGAATAATCACATATACGAGGGGTGATCAATAAGTAATGGACGCTTTTTTACACAGATACTTTTTATGGACAAATCCCTTCATATAAAGTATGGAGGGATGGTGGAATAATCACATATAAACTAGTAGTATGGAGGGATGGTGGAATAATCACATATAAAGTAGTAGTATGGAGGGATGGTGGAATAATCACATATAAAGTAGTAGTATGGAGGGATGGTGGAATAATCACATATAAAGTAGTAGTATGGAGGGATGGTGGAATAATCACATATAAGTAGTAGTATGGAGGGATGGTTGAATAATCACATACAAAGTAGTAGTATGGAGGGATGGTGGAATAATCACATAAAGTAGTAGTATGGAAAGATGGTTCAATAATCACATAAAGTAGTAGTATGGAAAGATGGTGGAATAATCACATATAAAGTAGTAGTATGGAGGGATGGTGGAATAATCACATAAAGTAGTAGTATGGAAAGATGGTGGAATAATCACATATAAAGTAGTAGTATGGAGGGATGGTGGAATAATCACATATAAAGTAGTAGTATGGAGGGATGGTGCAATAATCACATATAAAGTAGTTGTATGGAGGGATGGTGGAATAATCACATATAAACTAGTAGTATGGAGGGATGGTGGAATAATCACATACAAAGTAGTAGTATGGAGGGATGGTGGAATAATCACATATAAAGTAGTAGTATGGAGGGATGGTTCAATAATCACATATAAACTAGTAGTATGGAGGGATGGTGGAATAATCACATATAAAGTAGTAGTATGGAGGGATGGTGCAATAATCACATATAAACTAGTAGTATGGAGGGATGGTTGAATAATCACATACAAAGTAGTAGTATGGAGGGATGGTGCAATAATCACATATAAACTAGTAGTATGGAGGGATGGTGGGATAATCACATATAAAGTAGTAGTATGGAGGGATGGTGGAATAATCACATATAAAGTAGTAGTATGGAAAGATGGTGGAATAATCACATATAAAGTAGTAGTATGGAGGGATGGTGCAATAGTCACATATAAGTAGTAGTATGGAGGGATGGTGGAATAGTCACATATAAAGTAGTAGTATGGAGGGATGGTGGAATAATCACATATAAACTAGTAGTATGGAGGGATGGTGGAATAATCACATATAAAGTACAAGGTAGTATGGAGGGATGGTGGAATAAGCCATATGGATATATGGTAGAAATTTTGGAGGGATGGAATAATCGTACAATTAATAAAAGGATAATGACGTCACGATCGAAATCGGAGAAGGGTTGAAAAATTCCGACTAAGTTCGCTTCATGTTAGTTCCTGTCGCGAGATAGATTATCTGCTACAATTGAGTGGAAGCGTTCATATTGTATATTTATTCAGTAGTTAGAGTTTGAAGAGTATAATCCCGAAACATAACACAAATTAAAGGAAATTATCAGGGGTGGCATATCATGTTAATCACTAATCCTGCGATCACTTGATATTTTATAGCCATGCTTTTAGGAAACAAGTCGACCTTACGTTTGGTTCATGGGATCCGACATAATATTTTGCAACAAAATAAGCCCCGAAGTGATAATCCATGGCTAGATTATCTGACCTATTCAGCATGGCAACAAGATAGAACACCGTGGTAAAAATAACTTCTCATCCAACGTTATATAGATGACAAAGTAATAGTAAAGAATACACCCTGTAAATCCTTGGATTTTATGAAGTGCTTATCTTTTCTGGTTGTCTGTATACTGTTTAGTCGATGAGCTGTGTGTATACAAGAAGCAACGGCTGATGGAAAGAATCCTACCCAGTTCTGATTTAAATCAATACGCCATATGCATTCCTGCTTCAATACCTCAACATAAATTATGATATACATACAAAGCTCTTATTGAACCTTTGCTTATTAACCAAGCTAAAATTACTTACCATGTATTATGCCGATACATCATTTAATGCTTGGGTTAATTTATCAAGTGAAACGAATAAATGAATGTTTGGTCCTCTTAAGAAGATGTTTCTGCCGTGTTCCATAAATAATGGAAATCTTAAACGTGCGTACAATTGCAATTATTTCTTACCTTAGGTCTAGACTCTTTATAACACGGAAAAGGCTGATTTTATCCCCTCCATATTGGAGCCGTTTACGTTATATTCCGAATCTCGTAAACAGGTAGAACTCTGACGAATATGTGTTAGGGATACATGCCTGTTCATAAGTGAGAACATTCAAGTCCGAGTAGATTATCCAGTTCTTGTTTTGTTCCAAATGCTTCATTCGTTTCAACCTCAATCTATGGTAAACTCAACTCAGGTTATGGATGGATCGATACAGGTTAAATCGCGCATGCGCAACTAAGATTAATAATTAATGTGATTTCCGACATGTTCTAAGCATTCAACTATCAACTAACTAGCGCAAAGATCCAGCAATGTTTGCCAATCCCACTAAGCTTCGAGCCCTAATTTATTAGGCAAATTGATTTTATTTCTATTGCGAACGTGGAACGGACTTTCGAATATGTACTTATCCAACACCAGATGATACGTAATCCCATTAGGCATGTCACGGTACAAAGCTTATTTCAGTCTGGAAGACTTATTCCTTAATATAAAATCACACACATCGATTTTAATCACTTTTCTTAATTAAAGAGTTGGTATCTGTGATGCCAATGCTACTTAAAAATATTCCAATTTGATAATTATTAATTACATAATTTGTCACGCCGCGATCACTATCAAATTAGGTGAATAGACGACAAAATATATCTCGGCTTTTACTATCATACATCCGAATGTGGGACATGTTTAGTAGTTTCTTTTCTGTCGAAATCAGAGGTTGAACAGTTGTCCATGTATCGTCACTGAATAATTTTCCTTTTTGAATTAAAGGCGAGGGTGCACATTTTTAGCAAACTAATCGGAAGTTGTTATTACTGCTTTCATGGTGAGCAATTTTGCTAGCTTTAGCTTTGACATTTTCAGAAAAGATTTGTACGTTTGCTAAACGTCCAGGTTGAGGTACTGATTTAAATTCAGCATCATACACCGCTGTGAAATGCCTTGGTCGCATTTGCTCCGATTTTCACCACGGCGTTCGACTGATTGAGTATTTTGTTCAAAATTGAATACAATATTCAATTGAACAAAACACTCAATCGGCCGGGCGCCGGCCGATGGATCGGGGCATATGCGACCAAGGCATAAGTAAGATACTTATAGCTAGACTTTTTCCAAAAACCATGCAATATGGAAAAACATTAGCGATGATTTTTAAAAATGTTTGGGAATTTCATTGTATAGTTTAACCTGACCTAGGACGACATGTAAAATATTCCATCCTCTGATGGTAGCGTTTTTGCCGTACAGGGGTTGCTAAGCAACCACTATTATAGTTTTTTAACAAGTAAAAATACCCGCAAAAGTTAATCATAAAATCTTTGTATTTTAGTGTTGCTTGAAGGATACGTACCTGTAGTTGTACTGCTCGACGTGAGGTTTTCTAGCGACTACGGCTGAGACTGACCTCGATCTAAACATTTTCTAGAAGTTTGAAAATGAACAAATGAAGGCATGATGGGAACACAACACACTGAATAGGTACTTTTTAAAAATGCAAGTCACGTCAAACCGTATCCGGTATGGTAAGAAATTCATATCAGCATTTCCACTTACTCACAATTCCCTAATTCTTCATAGCTGATAAACATTTCTCAACTGATTACGACACCTACTCTATTCGGGTGCATAACCAGTCGACCGTGGAACATCGTACAAGACGTCATCGGACAGATTTCAGAGTAAAATCATGAAAACTCCGACGATATGTTTAACAATTTGAGTGGGGCTTTGAATGATACAATTTTTATCAACGAGTTCGTTGGCATCAACATCAGGTGTGTGAGTGGGCGTAACAGTAAAATTGGCATTATCGTATAACCATATGCCACGATTATTCGATTAATGATATGATAAACGAATTTGAAAATCGCGCCAAAACACTTTTGAATGTGGATCAGACAATATATTTGTCAATTAGGTTAAATCAAAATATTCGATCATATCATAGGTTAAACCAAATCAGATAATTCCTCGTGGTATCACTTTATCTACTCATTCGCTTCGTTTCACTTGTGTTGATATTTGATATCAACTCGAGATTGTCGATAAAAATGAAATTACTCAATATGATCTGACATTCATAATTTATTGGACAAATCTGCTATTGGAACTTCTCATCCACGATGACAAGGTCCACCGATCATGTTCTTGAGAGGACACTCCCCTCCAAAAGTTTAGCAATACGATCTTCCTTTTGGGTTACGTTTTTAAGTTTATCTTGTCGGTGTTGCGAAACTTTTGGAGAGAGTATGTACCGTGGTACGTGAATGAGTTAGACGTTCGATGATGTTACGACAGAATATTGAATGTGGTGGAACATCATTAGAGCTCTTATTAGCTCGAAATCGTATGTATAGCTTATACGGCCATGTGGAAGACATTGAGGAGAAAGCGGATATGACAATTCGTTTTTAAGTTTATCTTGACGGTGTTGCGAAACTTTTGGAGTGAGTATGTACCGTTGTACATTGCTTGGTTCAATTTCGATAAATACAACAGATGCCAAAATTCGACTATAATTAACATGGAAAATGTCACCACCTGCATTTGTTACAGATGCCCAACACAAAAAGTTGGAGACCATAACAATACGTCACTACTTGTCACGGGCGGTGACATGACAGGATACGACCTGGTAGGACATATTAATTCGAGATATAAGCAAACAGTTACCTTGATGCCATATTATAAATTCCCTCTTGAGGAGAGGTTCAATTACCACAAGGCATTAGCATGAAAAATGGCGGGGTCATTTTGAATTCAATTTCTTCTTAGTAGAGCTCTCGTGTCTCTATCGCATCAGCATACTAACATTTGAACTCGATCGGTCAACTGGTATTTTAGCTATCGAAGATTACATTTGTTAGGAAAAATACCCTCGTCTTTCCATCATGTTTAATCAACAATGCATTTAATGCTTTTGAACTAGTTTGGTAATAGCGACTTTTGTTTTAACCCTACCAACATACAAGAGTGTGCTACAACTTGAAATAACATATTTCACTAGAGAAGAGACGATGGTCTTAAATTCCTCATTCCCTATTTGAAATGTAATGTTGAAAAGGCTCTAAATGTCATGTACACACTTACTCTATCCTCGATGGTCCTGATGGCAAGATGAAATACAAAATCAAGCTCTTTGAAGTGGAAATTAAAACGATACTGGTGCTAAAGTCGGAGGGCGCAAAGGCGAACATAAATTTTGAAAAGGTTCAGATAGTTTTCAAGAGGCTAGCCTGCCACTCAGGCCTTTTCATCTCCATTTCAACTTACATTTGAAATAAAAATATCAAGAAAAATAGACTAGGGTAGGACAGATCTAACAAGTCAGCAGATAATGATGATTCAGGAGAAAATCCCCCAAATAAGGAGCAGACACAGACGGCAGCATAGAGACAACCAGTTTACAGCACCATTATATTATTAGCTATTTTTCATGTAAAGTTTGCAATTCGATTTCTCCCCATTTCAACACATACACTGGTGATCCGCTCGATTACGCTGGTTACCGAAACATCGGTAACAAAATGTCGGAACATCGAAGGTACGATTTTTCTCTTTTCCTTATTTCGCGCGTTGTAGGCAGAATCCCCACGACATTTTTCACACAAACGTGTATCAGTATCACATGTTTAAGAAAATGTACATGTTTGCGAAAAATATCTCAGAAGACAACAGAATCGTCGATTTAATACCTCACTTTAAAAGTTACATAAACGGAATGGGTTAAAAGTGCAGATCTTAATTGTTTTTCAAAATTCCGTTTATGTAACTTAAGAGAGGAATTAAATGGGCGACTTTGTTGTCTTCTGAACTATTTGTTCGCAAACATGTACATTTTCTTAGACATATGATACTGGTACACGTTTGTGATAAAAATGTCGTGGGAATTTTGCCTTGTGAAACAAGAAGAAAAATCGTACCTTTGACGTTCCGACATTTTGTTACCGAAACCAGTGTAGTCGAGCGGATCACCAGTGACATTCAGTCCGTGCATTATCATGCACCGTGGTAACGTGTATATTGCTTATACGTATATACGTATCAATCGTAAAGGGAAAAAAGTTAATTCGAGAGGCTTCGAATTCATTACGTAAAAAAACGATGTTGAGAACTGTGAGTGTCGACTGATTTAGAATTTTCTTTACTCACAATGCGATCAAAAACATGAAAAGTGAAATGCTCTAGACACCCAGAAGCTTTAAGACTACCTCGTACCTAAACTGTAGTAATTGCCGTTAAACGGAGCCCTTTCCAAAGACTAAGACCGAAAACATCATTTGAAAGGGAAGTAAGGCTTTCCAAATTTGCCCGTGTCTGTAACATGTGTAATGACAAACGCGAATATGTTAAAGTTAAAATCTAATCTTACATCAGGTGGCTATTGGCTATGAATGCAGGAATGTTGTCCAATTTTATTATTTCAATATTAAAAGGTGGCAGTACCGGACAAACTGGTTGCTTAATTTCCCGATACAATGGACCGAAATAAGTACTTTGAAGCACAGCATGCACGTTCACACGTGTACCGTTGAAGGAACAATCCGGCTTTTAAACATTTATTTTCAGAACTGGTCTTTCCCTAACAATTCTAGACTTATTAGAGTGTAAGAAAGGCTCATTCCGTTGGGAACTTAAGAAAAAAAGCCAATTCCATAAATCGAACAAATTAGGTGGCAGTGACGTCCTAACATCAGATGGTCGAGATGTACAAAGGCCGATCAAAAAGTTTCTTACCGTTGGCTCTCAATTTTATAATAAGAGGAGTTGGAAGCTCAAACTTTAACATGAGACAGGATAGTTAGTTTGCTTGAAACTGTACGAGTTTCGTATAAATTAGTTCATTGTTAGTGACACAGAGTCAATTTATATTTTCAATGACGAAGTTAGGTGGAGCAGGGTTATATATAAAATATCTGCTGAGTTTTGGTTCTGAAAATTACCGACATCGTTTAAAAACCTCTCATACGAAGGCCTTAAACATGTGTTTTTGGATCGAGTGGACAGATGTAGGAAGTACATTGCAACTGGGGATGAATATTTTGAATGAGAATGAATATTAGCAGAAAAACTAATTAAACATGATTAAACTACAGTCTGTTGACAGATGATACTACTAAGTGTTAGAAATTTCCAAAACTGCAGCTTAGCACAAGTTTTTATAAAAAAACGCTGCTCCACCTAATTCAACCATTGAAAATATGTATTGACTCTGAGCCACTACCAATGAACCAATTTGAATGAAACTCACACAGTCTCAAGCAAACTTACTACCCTGTCTCATGTAAAATTTTGAGCATCCAACTCCTCTTATTATAAAATCTAGAGCCAACGGTAAGAAACTTTTTGATCGGCCCTTGTACATATTTTAATTTGTATAACTATCAAATACATATAAGGGTAATATGGAACTACTGAAACTGATGAATATTCAAGTTTAAGGGAACTTTCAAATGCCCTGCCATGTATCTATCCTGAATTAACCACCTGGTGGTGAAACTGGTAACCACCAAATTGCATCTGGGTAATTCAGCTTACCTGTCAAAATGCCACTGAAACAAGGATTGGCAGGCATTATTCAAACTTGACACTCGTTGCATGCAGTAGAACAATTTAGTAAAAATATATCTATAAGGTTCTCTTTGGACCAAGTATTCTGTTGAAAGCTGGACATTACAAATATTTTGTAGTATTCAAGCTTCCTCAGCAGTTCTAGTCTTCAAAATATGAATAATATTGTTACCAAATTGGTCTATGCCGTACAACGAAGTATGAGTTTGAATAGGGCTTCCAATCCTACTTGCCAATGAAATATAGTTTGAAAAATTCTGATTTTCATCATTTTATGGTTTATTTCATATTTGGTAATAATATTCATTAATAATTACTCTCCGAGAGCAGGATTACATGGGATACTTCAGTAGTAAGTACAGTCATTCAACCATATCTACTAAATCTGAAAAGTTTCTTTCCAGTGACTCCTTTCCAAATGCCAACCTTGCCTACATCATGTACATTGTCAGATCGTACAGTTTCAACAGGTACAGAAGTCAATATATTGCTATTCACCAATCATGTTTATTATGCAGAACTAATTGATTACTACAACTGCATCAAGTCCATCAGTAACGTTTCTATGCTCACTTCACCTAAAGGAGTCGACATAAAGGCTCAGATTTAGACAGAAATTTTTGAATGATCTGTATTTCTTGTGCCATTCACTGGCTTTGTCTTACTAAGCTACATTAACAGATAAAGTCTGTGTGATGAGACATCTCAAAATGTTCATGTTTGGCCGTCTAATCACACATGGTACAATGGAATGAAATAAATTGTTTGAAAGAAGCATTCTCATTTACAGGTGTTAACATACTGGTTCTATAGTACATCACTTCATTTTTAGAATAAAAGTTGACACATAAAACTAAGATATACTTGACTTTATTCTTGTTAATAAAGGAATAAGATTTCAAAAGGACCTATTAGGTGGCCCATGGTCTTGAATAAAGTTGTAAGGTGATTTCAAAGTAGGGATTGTTTTGTACGAAAGTAATAGGTTTTATCACTAGGGATAAAACCTTTTCCTTCACTCATAGAGTATATCATCTTATTCCCCTTTACCATTGATCTTGATGATAAATATCAACTTATTCTAGCATAGTTTTATACCATACACCAAAGGAACTAACTGACAACTGGACAATAGACTGTAATCAAGTTATAAGCTATATTTTAGTCTGAATTCTTCGATTTGTCCATAAAACATCTACTGCATGATTACATAAAGCTAAAGTATACAACATTGGTATCTCAGATAACGAACATTCAAAAATCAATTGATACCATTACCATTAACATCACAGTACTACCAGATGAAAAGTGTGCACATTTTATAAAAGAAATCAAAAGCTATATGTTATCTACTCATTTTACTTTTTCGATTTTTACACCGTTTGAAAATCTGATTATTTTATTAAGAAAGTTAAAGATTTTCAAACAGTTGTACTGTAGTAGATTCATAGGCCTAACTCCTATGTTTTAATAATTCAGCGTCTACCAGCTGAGCTTGGTGCAGGTCCTGATCCACCAGACATGCCAGGGCCACCACGAGGGTCATCCTGGAAAAATCACAACAACATTAGTAAAAAGAATTTGACTAACAATTGGGAATAGGACAATGGGTACTGCACTCAAAAGGAACAGAAATTGCATTTCACAATCAAACATGAATACCTTCCTGTAATTTTAGTATGCAAGACAGAATGTAAACTTTTAGTATCATAACATTTGAAAACAAAACAAAAAGACTAATAGTAAAAGTGAACTTCCAGTGCAAAATAGCAGATATCGTGGGATAGCTGCAAAACATAATCAGAAGGTAATGTACTAGAAATTATACAGAAGGCAAGATACAAGCCATTCAAGAAACAGAGTACCTGATAATAGTATTAAATTCTCATATTATCTTTTGTAAGTTTTCTCATCTTGTCAAAATTCGAAGCCACTTCTGCTAGTTTTACACTTAGCATAGTATGTCCAACATCATTTCACATGTTTCTAGTTGCAAAAATAAAGTGTTACGGAAATCATAAAGGGGGCAGTTGCTACCATTATTTTCTCAGAAACAATATTCCAAAATTAATCAAGTTGCTGCCAGGAGAGATCTAATCTAGGATTGAGGTCATCAAAGATTGCCAGATTTGGATTGTCAGTGACATCTATATATAAAATGTTCAAACAGCAAGCCTTGAAGATAGGATATTAAAAGTATAGAATCAAAGATAAATTAATTCCAAGGCCTTTTCTAAACTTCAAAATAAAACTTGGCTTAGACATTTAAGATCAATAATTAATATTGGTTATCAGTACCAAGTACCAAGTTCAGTGGATCAGTTCTATAGCAGATTTTATAACAGTAATTTGTTAGCCACTTGAGTCATAGATAATTGTATTTGCTTATCAATCTGAATGGCTCAACAAATAAAACAGAAAAAATATTCTACTTGTCACCTCGGCCTAGTAATTATTATACACCACTCGCCATAATTTTGAATAACAAAGAGATGAGAATTTCGAACATGTAACCTCATCCAGTTGCAAATTATTGCATCAATCTCGCATAGCCCTAGAAAACCTTATCATAATTATTCCTTCAATAGCCATTTGTCATTTAACCTTAGACATCAACAATGATCAGTGATCTCCCCAACACTAAAGCAAGTGGGCTCAGCACCCACATGAGATTCAGAAGAGGCTTGCAATGCACCCACTTGAAAATCCTTATACACACACTTGAAAATGTGAAAAATCATGAAAAATTGGCATATTTTGACCCAATTTTGGACTGATTTCTGAAAATGAGAATTTTGCACCCACTTGAGAAAACTGAGGAGAACACTGATGATGTTGATCAAACTTTAAGATCAAATTGCTAGTTCACCTGATCTTCTTCCTCTTGTCGTTTCTCATAGTGTCCAAAGTCATCAAAGATAGAGGTCGTGTGGCGATAGGTGTGAATAATTTTCAGAACCTGTTTGCCCTTTTCAAATGGTACTTCCTGGGTGTCACGTGAATTAGTCACAGGCTTGTTCTCATTATTCTCAAGCCTGATGTGACGAAGCTGGCTATTGGGCACATCCTTCACATAGATCCATTTCACTTCAAATTGTCCCTTCCATTTATCCTGAGCCCATACTCCACTGTTCGCATTGTAATCCAGATTACTAATCATTTGAGCCATTCCACAGAAATGGCCACTTCCATTCACGCTATAGAGCAAATACACTGGGCCCTTGCCTTCCTGTTGCTTGTAAGCCTGTTCAAGCCTCTTGTTTCCATGCTCAGTACTACACCATATGTTGTACTTGATAGAACGATGAATATCGTCTTCAGAATAAGATTTTATTATGAAGAACCTTGCTCCTTTGGTGTTCACATTGTACTCCTTAGGGTTATATGAATTGGCAGATTTCAATTTATCCAAGACAGGGTGCGACACAACAGGGTTACTATTGTTTTGATTAACCCCACTAGAAGAGTTCATAGCTGAGGATCCACCATTGTACGCAGCTCCCGAGCCGCGTGTTTTAGAACCCCAAGCTTGGCGGTTCTGGGAGCCAGCTGGTCCCTGCTTAGTAGCGTTATTCTTATTTCCCCATGTGCCAATGTCCATGTTACTATGCTTACTATTAGGCAAAACTGGGGCCATTGGGATACTTTTAGGCTTCAGGGATGGTTGGGGTTTCGCAGGTTGAGATGCAATGTTCGCCCAAGACATTTTCTTAGGGGCTGATGAGGTGGCAGGGGCAGGAGCAGAGTGGGGAGCTTGTCCTACTAAGTCCTTGCCTACATTTCCACCATGCATTTCAGGGACAGTGTCCGGTTCATGATTTTCCAATGACATAACTTTCATTCCATGGTCGAGTCCATTTGCACTCATATCTACCCGTTCAATGTCTCCATTGGTCACATAACTTTCTGTGGGCCCCAGTGCTTCAGGGTGATAATAATCATAACTCCCCCTAGAGTCTTTACGATCACCATTAGCATTGCTAGCCCAAGGGTCCGTATAACCTGGGAACTCCCATCCAAATCCTGGCTGGCTGTATGGAAAACCACCACTACTGAACACTCCAGTATTTGAGACATAGTCACTTTGGGGATAGCTAAGAAATGATCCCATAGGATCACCTCCTGCTGTTGACCATGCACCTTGTCCATGATCAGCAGTGTTCAGATAGAAAGATGGGTAAGCATAGTTCATGTACTCTGTGCTGGGACTTGACATCGGAACAGAACCATACCCTTGCTGTTTCCGGCCAATGAAGACAACAAATATGAAAGAAAATAAATGTTAATGTTAAAACATGGAATGTAACTACAAAAGTATATTCAACAAATCCATTCACCTTAGTAAATTTTAGGGCTTCATAATAGGTGAAAATTATTTCTCAAAGTGTTAATATTCCAAACAATGAATATGATCTATTCTTGCTATTGTCAACCATTCATCCTTAAATCTGGGCTATTTGTTGATGAATTAACTGTGTCCAATAATTAACACATGTGATTAGTTTCATTGTCCTCTGTTTGTCAATGAATGTATTACACAAGTATTCTTAATTACAATATTAAATAGTTGATCGCAATAATCTACTCAATTCAATTTGGTGAGTTTAGCAAGTGAAATGCGAATTTGCTACAAAATGCTTCAGAATTCTTAATCATAAAGAGATTTTGCTTGAGACAATGATGTTCAAATATTTCATCAGTTACTATCAATTTAATTCAACCATATATTATTAATCTTATGTTATGCAATGTTATATTTGAGGTACTTTAGTGGCAGAAGAACAGTACCTGAGTAGGGTGTCCCAAAAAATCACTTTTTTGGAGTTGAGCTTAGCACAGTTGGGGTTTGGTTCCTTTTGGGGAGTTTATTAAGTGTGTAAAATATTATAGAGACAGATCGATGTTTCAGTTGTTGGAATTAGACCTAAAAATGTAACGTTTTTGGCAAAAATCGCACTTTTTGACCAGATTTACTGAAGAATAATGGAAACCTACCTCACCTTCTGTTCATAAAAATGAAGGCTAAATGAAAGGTTGTGCACCACATTACCACTCTAAGTAAGAATACTGCTGAGATTTGGGTATTTACCCTCCAAAAAGACTCTGAAATGAGGCTAAAAATGACATATTTTAAGATTGAAATCAATGGGTAACATTCATACGTATTACAAATGTTTTATTTAGCTATAGATATGCAGATCACATAAGTAAGTTCAGATCAGTTCTTCAGGTCAGTTCTTCAGATAAAATTGTCCATATTGTCCATTTGTTGTTTGTTAAGGTTTTTAAAATCAAGAAGCTGGCGGTGATGGTTAACCACCATCTGAACACGATCGCGGCGATCCACACCCTTACCGTAGTTTGCGAACTCGGTAACATCCTTGATTGCCCGTTCTGCACAATCGTTAACTACTTCCATGGAAGTAACGAGCTCCTTAAATCTAATATACTCTGGAAACTGATCCCAGTTGTCGGGATTAAATTCCATCCAGTGTACATCTACTTGAAAGAGGTCAAAAATTAACCATGACCTTTCCCCACCAAAGTTTTCAAGCGTGACGCCCCCTGGTCTTGTTAACAAGTGATCTTTCATTTGTGTTTTCTGTGGAGGAAAGTTCTGGGGACGACCTGCATCTATCATTACTCTGATGATCTCAGATTTCTTCTCACCCTTGATGTTGTTGTCACATAGTGACAGAGGTAACAGTTCCTCAGAGAGGTACCACATATGCCGTTTAATGGATACAAGTACCTTGTTGACGAGTTCAGGATCAGATGCCTAAAAGCCAGATGTTGGTTATTGTTCAGATTGCACATTATGATTTTGAATCTTGATTTTTCATTGTTCAATATTTTACATGACGAAAAAGAAGAATTGTTACCTGAAACTGAAGAGTATTCTCCCAGAACTCTAAATCCACCCGGGGAGCAACTGCAGGAATCATGGCCTGAAGGAAGAACTTGCCGTAAAAGAAGAGAGTAAACCTTGCAATTCTAACCACTTGTTGCAATTCTCTAGGAGTAACAATGTGTGAAGGAAGCTGGTGCCTAGTCATCAATATTTTGATGAGATATATTGCCTTTGACATAAACCGCGCATGGCTAACTGCACCTGGTCTTTTCATACGCCACTGGTAGTTGTAAATGTTACCACCCAAACCTCGTCTTTGGACCTACATACCAAGATATCTCTCAAATTAAAATCAAGATGACAAGTACTGCGCATATTACTCAATAATTATAGTAATTGTACACTTCTTAATAATAGGTGATATGTTACAGGTTGAATAATACAGGTAGAATGCATTGAGAAGTGAATACTGAGCCTTACTGTGCCATTGAAAAACACAATCAAGAGCTCATTTAGCTCCTGGTAGTCCTCTCTGATCCAATCTTTTGGAATCCATTAAACGGCATATGTGGTACCTCTCTGAGGAACTGTTACCTCTGTCACTATGTGACAACAACATCAAGGGTGAGAAGAAATCTGAGATCATCAGAGTAATGATAGATGCAGGTCGTCCCCAGAACTTTCCTCCACAGAAAACACAAATGAAAGATCACTTGTTAACAAAGACCAGGGGACGTCACGCTTGAAAACTTTGGTGGGGAAAGGTCATGGTTAATTTTTGACCTCTTTCAAGTAGATGTACACTGGATGGAATTTAATCCCGACAACTGGGATCAGTTTCCAGAGTATATTAGATTTAAGGAGCTCGTCACTTCCATGGAAGTAGTTAACGATTGTGCAGAACGGGCAATCAAGGATGTTACCGAGTTCGCAAACTACGGTAAAGGTGTGGATCGCCGCGATCGTGTTCAGATGGTGGTTAACCATCACCGCCAGCTTCTTGATTTTAAAAACCTTAACAAACAACAAATGGACAATATGGACAATTTTATCTGAAGAACTGACCTGAAGAACTGATCTGAACTTACTTATGTGATCTGCATATCTATAGCTAAATAAAACATTTGTAATACGTATGAATGTTACCCATTGATTTCAATCTTAAAATATGTCATTTTTAGCCTCATTTCAGAGTCTTTTTGGAGGGTATATACCCAAATCTCAGCAGTATTCTTACTTAGAGTGGTAATGTGGTGCACAACCTTTCATTTAGCCTTCATTTTTATGAACAGAAGGTGAGGTAGGTTTCCATTATTCTTCAGTAAATCTGGTCAAAAAGTGCGATTTTTGCCAAAAACGTTACATTTTTAGGTCTAATTCCAACAACTGAAACATCGATCTGTCTCTATAATATTTTACACACTTAATAAACTCCCCAAAAGGAACCAAACCCCAACTGTGCTAAGCTCAACTCCAAAAAAGTGATTTTTTGGGACACCCTATACCTGAGGTTGCTGACTATGCTGCATGTAGGCATCAAATTCAGTTTCTTTTACGGGCCCTTTATCATTTGGAGGATTGGACACTGAAACATGGAAAAACACAATTATTTTATATTGCTTCATAGATCAGTTATACTTTAACCTGTTGACAAAAAATTACAATAACTATGCTTCTTTAAATGCATCCGAGTATTTTTATTTATTTTATCAACTTATTCATTAGAATAAATCGCTTTAACAACAGCGGCACTACTAAAATTTAGTGTAAGCCTTCAGTTGAATAACATTTTTAATGCCTGTCCTGTCCTGTCAGTTATTTTTCCAAAGATCAAAAATTCCTTTATATCACATTTATATTGCTCTTTGAACAAAATAAACTTGAAAATCATCATGAGTCACAACATCAGAATTCTTACCTTGATTCGGTTGTCCTTTCCCTCGCTGAACAACATGAAAATAAAAAGAAACAAAACATGAGAGATATTCAAATATTATGATCATCCAAGCAGAGCTGCTGATATATCCCTGCGTAAAGTACAGCCCATTTCACTGTTTTATTTCGTTAGTAGAACCCCAAAAATAAGAAATCGGGAGACCACTGTGCAATGATATATATTCATATTGTACATGAATGACATTCGTATATTTCAGATTATTCAGTTTTTGTGCAATAAGCCTATGCCCTCTTGTAATTTTAAGAATTTCATCCTTGTAATCTTTTTGAAAATACTATGGCAGAGAAGCATCAAAGAGGCTGCATACTTTAGCCAAACTAGAAGCAATCCAAGATAAACAAATGTCATTTGTGTACAATAGGAATATATTTTTCCATATATTATCGCACAATGATCTTTACATTTCTTATTTTTAGGCTGTAGAATATGGTACAAGAAAACTAGGGAGATAACTCACACCAATTAGGATAACAATGATACATATAACAATGATACAGCCATATCACTTCGTGTAACATATCCTGACTAGAAAACTACACATAAACAAAGATGAACCAAATATAATGTTGACTACAATAGCGTACACAATCATGTTTTTCATTTTCATTTTTCATTTTTGGTGGTTTCAGAGCAGGCTTTCATTCCAAATCCAAGCTTCCTTGTGGAGTCCCGTTTCTAAGGTGTATATGATCTTTATACGCAGTTTAATAATTTTACATGTAGACAGACCTGCCTTGAATGTTATAAAGTAACATACGTATATGGATTCAATAAACGTGGCAAACTAGAACAACATCATGTAATTTTTATGACAAAGTTTGCACTCAAAAACTCCACGGCCTCGATTTATTTCCTCCTCACCTGATCAACACTCGCAGACATCACCGAAATTCACTACTAAAATAATAATTGTCCTTTACAAAAATATCCGATTCGTGTTCTTGCTATAATAGTCTATCGGAATATGGTGGTATTATACCCCAGATAGTCCAGATTGAGGTCTAAATTCGGTAGTAACACAGCAGTCAATGCGTAAATACCATCCGGAACAATGGCGGCCATGCATGTGCCTCGTTCCCGCGTCCGATCACGTGACCGGTTTCGTGACGTTTCACTTAATGATATGGCTTGCCAATACAGATATTATTAATTTATTCATTGTACACCTAACTTTATAGTCAAGAGAACGTAACGCTTTTATTCACCTGGGACAGACGCCATCCTTGGTCCAAGGGTAATTCTGTTCTTCAGTAACAAATGGAGTCCTTTGAATGAAGGACGACAGACGCGGTCACTTACCGTTTGTATTTGCTGGGAATACTGATTTTATTCCAAGGTATTTGGCCGGGTATAAGTTTTAAGCATAATTACCGGGCACATTTACCCATGGGGATTCAACGTACGTAAACCTTGGCGGGGATCCTCGGCGCTCATGGCGTACCTTTTTGACATTTGGTATGGCAATGGACCCACATTTTAGGATCTGGTATCAGAGAATGCCCCCCAAATTATGATGACTTTTGAGGTATGATAATGGTTGAACTTTCCACTTTCTGATGTGAGAGTCATAGAAAATATGTCGCATCTCACTTGTGGTATGGCATTGGTCTATAGCTAGTAGTTACACAAATCCTTAATTTGAGGTTGCTTTGGATCGTTTTCCTCAAAGATCTGCCTTCTTATAGGGGCTTTGGACATTTTGAATATTTGGTGTGGCATTGGTCCTTTTGATGAAGGGGCGGCTTTTTGGATGGAAACTTCTTCCTTCATTTAATTTATTTATTCGGCCACGTAATATAATTCACTTTGTTTATTAATTCGAGAACAATCACTCTTACGACTCCATATCATCGGACACTTGCATAATATAATCCGAGTGTCATTTTTATGGTCGTTGGCGGTTGGCGGTTGACGATCGGCGTCTGTAACAAATTCCGAGTACAACTTCCAATAGGCCTAACGTAACAAATATACTGTTAAGACAGACTCAAATGTTTTCCAAGATCATCTACAAGTTTTCAGAAGTTCAAATCTGACTTAATATTCTAGATTTGACCTTTAATGTCCTTTTCAACGTCAAAAAATGTTAAAAAGGTCAAAAAGGTCTGTTTTCAACTTGCTTCAAATTGACTAAAAAAAATTTTCAAAATCATCTACGTGTTCTCAGAATTTCAAATCTGACTTTAGATTTGACTTAAGATTTGACATTTGACCTTCAATGACCTTCTCAAAGTCAAAAAAGGTCAAAAAGGTCTTTTTTCAACTTGCTTCAAATTGACCAATTTTTTTCAAAATCATCTACAAGTTATCAAAAGTTCAAATCTGACTTAAGATTTGAGCTTTGACCTTCAATGACCTTTTCAAGGTCAAAAAGGGTCAAAAGGGTATTTTTTCAAATTGCTTCAAATTGATCAATTTTTTTCAAATCCTCTACGAGTTCTCAAAAGTTGAAATCTGACTATATATTTGACCTTCAATGACATTCTCAAGGTCAAAAATGATTTGACCTTCAATGACCTTCTCAAGGTCAAAATGGTATTTTTTCATCATGCAAAAACGTTTCAAAAGATAGGCATCGATACGGTGAACTGAATTCAACAATGTTTTTCTCTTTAACAAATTATTGAAAACATTCTGTAAAAACACGGTCCTTTATGTAATGTTGACTGATTGGCAACAATTTAATGCAAAAATTATTTTTATATATTTATTTAACTGTTTTTGTTAACATTTTTTGTTTTTTAGTGCAATTGTTTTTTGTTCCTTTCTACCTTTTCTTGAGAATGAAATAAAATATCTTTCCGAACCTTGTTGGAACAAAATACAGGGTGTTAATTAAATTACGCGACCCGAACCCGCTATATCTCGAAAATACTAGTTCAATAGTATAGTTTCCATATAGCTTTTGAAATCTCGCTAAATCTCGTTTTTCGTGAGATTTTAAGAGACTTGCATATTAGACCTCTAATGACTTACATTACCTTCTTTTAAATGGCATATTTGAATTCAGTGAAATGTTTTCTCCTTTAATAGCTTTGATTTACACAGTTATGTAATTTGAATAATTTTCTATAACAATTTAAAAAAACTTGGGCCAAATGTCCATAGATGCAATGCTAAAATTCTTTAAATCCGTGGATTATTTGTATGTCAATCAACATATGCATGTTTAATCACATCATGTACATAAACAGGGTCATCATGTGGTATATCTTTCAAGTTTTATACAGATTCAACAAACACACTTTGATAAATCATGAAATTAAGCCACTTTTCCAAGATTTTAGCATGTAAATGAATGGAGCTCTAGCCCGAGTTAAAAGCTGAATAAAAGATGGCAGCACGAGATTTCATTGATTTTTCTGCTATTTAGAAATTATCCTATTATGTTGTAGATAGTTAGTTGTAAAACATGATGCCTTGGACACTTGCTCAAAAGACAGTTGTACTAGGAAAATACGAGAAACGCAGCCAGGGGTGACTGCAACCGCAGAAAAATTAACCATGGTATTTTGGCTCTTCAAATTTGGCACTACCCTTTGCATTCGTTTGACTTCACTTCTTAAAAGAGAGTTTCGTCTTCATTGTAGTTTAACTAGACTCTGCACGCAGGGTAATTTGGCACAAATCATCTTCATTCACCGTATGGTAAATTTCATAGGTTCTGGGCTTATATAAAGATGGCAGCACCAACAGAATCCAGTATTGAGAACATATATAAATAAACACAGATCGATTACCATGCCATCTTTATTTAAAAAATTATTTCTATCGACCCTTGCCTATGGTAAATCTGTAGACTGAAAGCAAAATCACTTCATGGACTTTACAGTCATGGTCGAAATGCTTTCATATCGCAGTCAAACGCCCTGGTTCAGGCAGACTTTAGAAGGCATTTTGACCATGACTGTAAAGTCCCTGGAGTGATTTTGATAAAACTCCACAAATTCACCACACATTGAATGAGGATAATTTGTACCGAAATCTGAAGTGCCAAAAACACTCTGGTTAGAAAGTTATTTGGTTTTATTGGTGTGGTAATCACCTACGACTGCGTTTTTCGTATTTCCCTAGTACAACTGTCTTTTGAGAGCAGATGTCCAAGGCATCATGTTTTACAACTTACCAACAAAAACAGGAGCTATAAACACACAGTCTCTTCTTTCTTTTCCTGAAAAAATGAACATAATCGAATTAGTATTTTCCAGTCTAGAGTGATTTTCCATTCGCGTTTTTCATATTTTCCTAGTACAACTGTTAGGCGAGTAGGCCAAAGAAATAAAGTGAGTTTAAAATGAGTTTAAAATGAGTTTAATAGTTCAACTGACCCTATGGAAAAATTTGGTATCATAGCAAAGCTTAGAGAATTGTCCAACTCGTGTGATACATAATTTGTGTTGGAACAGGTGCCGTTGCCATGGAAACGGGCGTTTAACAATAGATGTCCTTAATAACAATAAAAGGTACAGCACCATAGTAAAGGACAGCTGGTTCAGTCAGTGTGTACCTTGGAAAGAACGAATGTTAAGGAATTGAAAGAATTTTAGTTTATATGTAATGATTATCTCAAAATTATACATATTTTATTCTTTTGTGATTATTGTGATGTCATAATGGTCTATTTTGAATGAAAAACTGTTGATTTTATATGATGCTATTAATACCATGAGATTGGATAATTATATTTGCTTACAAATGTTAACTTTATGTATATCAAATGAAAGCAAATCCTCTCACGAACAATTTGGTGTATATTTTGTTGACATTGTTTAATCATTCACTGGAATATTTTGATTAAACGCTGATTTATATTGTAAGCTGAGTTACAGAATACACCAATACAGCAGAACCGTATGTCACAATTTGTGAATTTCTACATTTGTATACTTTCTTATGGATATCATAACTCCAAGAGTATCTTGACCCTATGAGGAAAGTTGGTATCAATCTAAAGCTTGAACATTTGTCTATGTTGTGTGATAAATTTTAAATGCCGAGACAAATGACGTTGCTATGGAAACGGGCATCAAACACTAGATATACCTAATAAGAAAAAATATTATATAATCATTGCCATTAGAAAGATGGGTCTAGTAAGGATATGTATACCTTGAAATTAACTTGATCATTAAAATTTAATTTGTGTAACAATTTCAAAGGAAATGTCTTTTAACTTGATGTTGTGTAGTGTTGCTATGGAAACAGACATTGAGAATATGATGGCCAAATAACCATTTACCTGTATTCAAAATCATATGATTTTTTAGAAATAACATCCTAATGAATGAAAATATATTGTTTTTCACATTGTTTAATTAATAATTGCTCTTGTAATCGTTTTAGATATATAGGTAGATAGAACATGTGTTTTGAGCAAGTGTCCAAGACGTCATGTTTTCAACTACTAACTAACAACAGGAGCTATACATACACAGTCTCTCCTTTCTTTCCTGAAAATATGAACACAATTGAGTTAGTATTTTCCAAGATATAGCGATTTCTTTGGGTTGCGTTTTTTAACACCCTGTAGCATATAAAACGTTTTCTTAGACCTCTCAATATTACAGTTATACAAAGGAAATTTTGGTCGATTTTACAAAAAGTATGCAAAAACTTAAAATAAAATCCCCAAAATAGATAAAAATTAAGATAACCATTTTATTTCATTAACAAGATAATTTTTGTCCAGATCAAAAGTCAACCAAACTTTTCTTTGTACAATTACAATATTGAGAGACCTAAACACATTTTGTTTATGGCGTTTTGTTCCAATGAGGTTCGGATAGATGTTTCATTTCATTCCGAAGATATAATACCAATCGGATTGAAAATCGGAGCAAATGTGACCAAGGCTGCATCTTTGTATATGATTCTTTCACCGCGAGCAAGATTTATCCTAAAAAGTAGCCCGATATGGTTGATTGTAATACTTATACCGCTGTGTCCTTGTCCCGCGCACTCGCGATGGAGTTCTATTGAAATAATGGTATTAAGTGGGGATTAATTATATAACTGTAAATAATTGTGAATAGCCCCAATTTGCCCATCATGGTATACAATTTTTATTTACAAAATACTCAATCGGTCGAGCGTCGGCCGATAAATCGGACCTATATAGGTCACATTTGCTCCGATTCATCGACCGACATCCGGCCGAATGTTACAATTGAAGGTCAATTCTCAAATTTTGAACTCCCGAGAACGTGTACATGATTTAAAAAATGTTTGGTCAATTTGAAGTAAGTTGAAATAAGTTTTGAACAAAATACTGCAATCGGCCGGGCGCCGGGCGATTAATGCCTGGGTCACATATGCTCCAATCCATCGGCCGGCGCCCGGCCGATTGAGTGTTTTATTCAATATTGTATTCAATTCTGTACAAAATTCTCAATCGGCCGGGCGCCGCAGTGAAAATCGGAGCAAATGTGACCAAGGCATAATCGGGGCAAATGTGACCTAGGCATAATGTGACTCGGGCATTCCACATTAAAACAGCTTAAATATTACGCAACCGCATCGCTTGCCCCGCTGTCGTACAAAAATACACCATGAAGTCGTGACTTTTATTGCAAGTAAAATGTTATAAGATCATTATATTACATAGATATATTTATGGGTATACACATCACTGAACTGTATTCAGTCAACCCAATCCGCAAAGTTTGACTCAGTTAAAACCATAAGTTGCAAGCAAATTACACCAACCATTTGATCGTTTTATTGATTCACTTCGTATAAAACAGATCGCCCGAATAACTTTTGTAGTTATTTTGGTGGTTATAATCCCTTGTTCCAACAGTGCAGCATTTATGTGTGTGTAGCCGAACGAAAAGCTTAGTACATGTATGTACTACACAATAGTACTGGGTACATATTCGATTTACACTGAATACAACGTAATGTCAGAGAAATAGAGCGACAACAAACAATGTAGACCAGGTGGATATTGGTTGATTTTGGACATTCAGATTCAAGTCAACACTCAATCAAGTGCTAACTGAGAGGATATTGTTAGTAGCGAAGATGATGAACTGGAAGATGAAGAACATAAAGGCAGTAGTGTTGGTGGTAGTGATCTTTCTTTCACTGTTTTACATGATACACACCTTAGTGAGAAACAGGGGCACATTGGACAATGTGCAAAGAATGAGTCAACAAGATAAAGACAACATTTTAGCTGGTGCAAAAGATATATCATTTCATATGGGCGTGGCTGATGGGGAAGGTGCGTATCTGTAAATGATTTTAAAATGTTTTAAAGCGGAAATAATGTCAGGTATTCTAATCATCATTATATGTAGTTACAATACTACTGAATAAAATGCAATAAGTTGAAAATCTTGTTATGTGTTAGTTTTTGTATAATATTGAAAATAAAAATCATAAATTGACCCAGTGACCCAGTTGTCTGTTGGACGGGGCTCGCCATATTTCCCTCAGAGACCCGGATGTAGACCGGAAGTGTGACGTTTCTGCGACCTGAGTCGCCATCTTGAAAGCATTCACAACAAAGGAAAATGCCTATGTGTTGTGCGGTAAATTGTTCAAATATTTCCACTGATAGAGCTAGACTTGGGATAAGGACTTTAAAAGAAATGCCTGAACGACAGTACGACAGTCGGCTGGTGACGATAGAATTAAAATCTGTCGACAGTTCAAACCAGCTGTCGTTGTCGTGGACCGAATTCCCGGGGAATAGAACACATTTAAAACAGTGTCACTTACTATAGTTTCTGAAAAGTTTAATGCACGGCTTTTAACAATCAAAGATTCCTACTTATTATTGTCTTGTTTGTCATCCTATATCTATCCTGGGGTTGTGTTTTTTCTCCCCAATACGGGAAAACATTTTGAATAAAGAAATTTCTAATTCCGCCATCGAATAAGTAGGGTAATCTGCAGCAGTTTCGTTTTTGCTTCAACTCTTCACGCTTGCCTAGTAGTTTGAAATAAGTTACAAGTGCGCATGTGTTTTTGGAATTAAGCCAATCAAATCATTCATTCTAATGCGCATGAACTAGATTCCGAATCAAGAGGAACTGGCGCAGATTGCCTCAAATGCTGAAATCGCTCTTCAAAAGCTCTTCAAAATAGATTGGTGAATAAAAATGAATAACAACTGAAGTTAGAGTGGTTTACAGTTTTTAGTTCGATGTCAGGATATTTCAAGTAAGTATTGATTATATAGACGCTACAGTGATGATGGTTCTAGACACGCGGGGCAAGTTGTTTTAGCTGATTTTCTCCTCAAACGGCGTAGATTAAACACAATTTTACTTCCGGGTTTACCCACGACAGTTTGCTGTCGGCAATAGAAATAACACTGTCGTTATCGACAATGGAATCTCACTGTCGTTCGGGCAGTTGCCATACCATACATATTCTCTCACAAGAAACCAAATAAAACGGATTCAAGGCGAGCAATCCGGTCCCAAAAAGAGAACTGAACCAGGCCATATGTGCCGGTTAGGTCGACGCCATTTTGAAAAAACTTTTTGAATTGTATCGTATCGTATCGTATGTCTTTAATAGCTTTATAACTTAATACCATATTTGTGAAATAAATATAACATACTAGGTCTACGAGCCTTTAAATTGTTTGTTGTCTACTGTAAATACAACAAAAATACACCTCCATGGTGATCGAAATGACGAACCTTGCGTCATCGATCGCGATCATTCATGACGGGGAATACATTATCAGTTCTGCCTTATATTTATAACAGAGTGTCAAAAATCCAATTAATATCTGCCATTCGTCATTTTATTAAATAAAAGATCCGAATATGTTTAATCTTCAAGCAAAACGATCGAGAGATAATTGATTGTCAACATAAAATTAACGCATTGTCCTGTCATGTCGGTAACCAACGTTCACGAGTTGGTCAGTTTTTGGTTTTGATTGGCACTTTGGGAGTTAATTCTATGAATTGTAAGTACTATTGATGTGAACATGGTCATGTTTTTCTCGAACATGTGATATCATATTATAGTATGTCAATATGCCAAATACATCGTCAAAATCTTCAAATTGCTCCATTTTCTTGTAAGAAGTTCGTAATATTTTTCAATGTGGCCGCCCCGCTACAATTGCGCATGCGCATTTTTCGGGCCAATCAAAATGCTGGAATTTGTCGAGTCGCAGTGACGCCGCTCATGAATATTCATAGGTAGGTTATGGCGACCTCCATAATCCAGGTGAAGATCCAATACCTCAAAATTAATTCCAATATATCTGCCGATGCATAAGAAGATCGTCGCTCATACCCGGGTCATGTTTTTGATTATAGACTTATTATTCTGATGAATCATAGTTTTTACTTGAGGTTATTATCCCTTTAAGTTTGAAAAAGTTTACAATTGAGTTCTATGATTGAACATGAACGTTTCGATTTTTGTATATTGACAAAAAAGTGTTACAGTGAATATTTTTTGAAAGGGGCCACATCATATTTTTTCTGTGTAGTTATTTTGCTGCTATTTTAGATCACTGTATATCTTTATAATATACTCCCTGACTCTATCGACATCTATTCGATCATATGATAGACAGCATGTCATCTTCCAAACAAGATAAAAGTATAGGCTTAATTTTGTAGGTGCTGAACTAACAGAAAAAGAAAAGAAAGCAATGTTTGATGAATGGAGGGAGCACATGGGTGACCCCGTCTCTCTATCATGGATCATTCCGACTAAGGAGAATACAGTACCCGAAATTCTCCCAAATCTTCTAAAGGTCCTTAATGAGTACAATTTAGATACAGTCTCAGAAGTCGTAATCGTGAACTACAATGCTGCGAAGTTGTTAACGTACGAGAAACTGTTTCAACAACATGTGGTTGTGTTTAAGAAAATTAGAATTTGGATTCTCGATATAAGTGATGAACTTATGAAAACGTCTACATCTGCAGCTGTGACGGAAGGTTTGGTTGTTAATATCGGTGCCCGGTATAGCCATGGGAGGTTCGTTGTTCCTATTCATGGAACCCCCACCCTTCCGAGGTCGTTATTCCAATGGATTCGCTACCAAGAGGACAGTGTCTGGGAGACAGGCAATGGTCTATGGTGGGGTGGTGGTGGTACAACTCCCAAGTCGAAAAGCTTTTTTGGACTGTTGGGAATTCCAAAGAATATATGGTACTGTATGGGGGGATATGACGAGGTCATCAGAAGTCCAGAATTTTTACATGAATTCGCTTGTAGGATGTCTCAGTACAGCTTCGATATTCACTATATTAGCGATGTTAAAGCTCCTGATATGAAAAATCTATTACACATGGGAAAACTAAAAACAATAAGATATAGATTCAGCAACAAAGCAGAATGGGGGTTCGCTGATGTGAATATTCCGACCACGATGTGTACGAGAGGAATGTGTAAACACCTGGGTAAGACGCAGGATATTGGGTGGACGAAACACACCAACGTTATACCGTCTTACAGAGGAACTGATTGCAATTACTTCGCGGATGAAGATGAGGAATGTGACTTTCAAGCAGTCAGTGATGCACTTACCTCGAGAATGCAATGGGGATGGGAAGGGCAAGCTAGAGAGCTATTATAACATGAATCAATTTTATGCATAATTCAGTGCGTAAATCGAACAAAGCTATGGAAAACAATATTGGACAAAGTTTGAACGCATTTTGTTTCAGCATGAGAGAATTAGTGAAACAACTTACTGTAGTGAAACCTATCTATCATGTGCATTAAAATAGTCTATGAATAAAATTAAATGGTTGTAACATCGTATCACTACAGAGAAAGAGTAATGGATGTTTGATTTTGGTCACTGTGTGCAGTACTGTGGTATTTCATTGTTAATGATTTCACATTTTCGAAATGAATGCAGTTGCTTACGTCAGATCAAGCATGGGTGTTGAATATAGCCTAATTATATGCATCCCGTTAATTTGTTCTTAAATCACGGATACAATCATTAAATTAAGTAGAAAACGTATAGTTATATCGTTTCTACACTATTGTACTATTGTACTGATTCGAATGAGTATGATAAAAAACACTAAGTTGTTGAAGGTCTGTGAGATATTTCATACCCCTAAATATTAAAGGGCAAATATTAGCATTTATCAAAGCATCAACCCCCGATATTTCAGTAAATCTCCAAAACTTTATTAAATCTAAACCCTGCTGACCCTCTTACGAGGAAAATGTGCAATCGTTTTATAGATCTATACCCGGGGATCTATATAGCTCATTTCAATATGCTAGATAGATTCCAGAGAGATTAAAGAATGTTATACTAGTTCACAAGTTTGATTTTCAGTATGAAAACATCATACTTTGGTAATCCAAGATGGACAATGATATAACCATAACTGACAAAAACGGTTTACTGACGGTTATTTATCATCAGTTGATTTTCGAAGCATCTGTTAGCGTCCATCCCATGGGATTTATTCTATTGTCAGTCTATAGGAATGTGACACCCAGTTCAAAACTCTGTGTGGTATATTGTGCTTATCATTAGGAAACGTAAGTACTTCAATCGATCTATTCTATTTATTTTTACAAGCCCGACGAATGTTTGATGGGATTCTTTATGTCTTTTGCTAATGAAACATTGATTTTCCTTGCAGCTATGTACGAGTCAGCCCCCATAGCAACATCGAACTATTTAGTTCTTTTAGGTGCGATTTCACCGGATAGTATTAGTCCCCATTTGTGTGTTCGAATATTCTATAATCAATGATAGGGAAAAATAACTGGCCGCGCCGGCAGCCATATTGAATAAAGTAGTGAGTTGTTGGGAAATGCTGTACAAAGAAGATCATTCGATCGTTTCTGTCTTCAAAAACTGGCAAAACATTAAGTTTGATTGGTCAACGGAACTTTCATTTAGTCATTTAGAATTAACCAATTAAATTGTAATTAACCAATTAAATATTAGTTGGTATTGATGATACATATCGAGTATTAACAATCGACGCCTATTTACAGAGGGACATAGGCCTAAATGAAAATAAAAAGACGAAATGTGAACAGGATTATTGTTAGCTCGATCTTTTTAATGTTAGTGAGACATGACGACAGCTTCAGGTATCACTATACTGGAATTTTATTGACGTACAGTTTTATTCTGATGAAGTTGCAGTAATTCATCATGAATCTTTCAGACTGTTTTCAAATAAATACAAAAGGAAAATGAAATTCGTAATAGGATATCTTTTTTTCACATAAAGTTCACCTCGCTACTAAGACGGGATAATATATTATTTCATTAGTCATCTGAACTTATTTGATTGACGATTAGGAGATAAATAACGGCTTATAAAGCTGAGGTTTACATCAATATTCAATCAGCTTAAAGAAAGATCATAATTGGATTAACAGATCGTCGTTTCCTTGGTTTTCTGACATGAAAATATCCTCGAAATATTGATTGAGGGTGAAGTAGCTCAGGTAGTATATAGCTGTTATGCGTGAAGAGCTGAATACCAAATGTAAAACACACCGGACGATGGGTGTTGAGACTGGAAACAAACATAACGACGTTCCGGAGGTAACCGTGCTTCAGATGGAAATTGATTGTTATGATTAGAATAAATCGACATTGTTTTCAAATGATGCAGTAGCAATCAACTCGTCACAGCAATCCATACAAACGTTTAAAATCGGAACAATCACCCAATGAAGATGGATTTAGTTTTGATAAGCACTTTTTAGATAAAGAAAGGGACATCATTGATTGTTCTTGCAAAATACCCCGCACTTGATTGAATAATGCACATAGCGAAATGGCAAGTCTTCATCGGGCATTGGATGACCAACATTGGCATCAGTTTCGCTTACTCGTAGAAGTCGGCGTCAACGTCAATGCTATTGCTAACGATGGCAAAACGGCACTTTTACGGATATGTAATTACAACATGTCTAATCGGCAAGCAACATATTTCACCAAACTGCTTCTTAAATATGGAGCAAACAAAAACGCTATAGACCCCGAGACTGGCTGTAACGTTCTTGGATTAGCAATCAAACACAATCGAGAATGCGTGTGTAGAGTTCTTCTACAAGAAATGGACTTTGACTTTAATCAACAGGATCACAACGGGAACACAGCACTACACCTTCTTGCCTTGGAAGGGACAATGCCCTACATTTTGATGAAGATTATCAATTGTATGGTGAAATTCGAAATTGTCATTGATGTAAGGAATAATGAAGGCTATACGCCTTTGATGCTGGCTTGTAAACGGGGGCATCTTGAAACTGCTAGAACATTCGCAAATATTGGCAACTGTTCTTTAACAATGCGTGACAACACAACGTTCAAATCTCCAATCGATCTTCTCCGTGAGGCAATTGAAATACCAACAGATGTAGACCCTCTCAAGAATACAAAATGGAAACCAAATATCCAAGCAACTACTGCTTCGCTTTCTCAATTTGATTCATCCCATGTGACATCACGTCGACCTTCGTCTGCACTTCCCTCCGTCGGATCATCTGCGCCAACAATATATGGAAAGTCCATGCGAAGAAAACACCGTCCAAGAACTGCTCGCTTCAAGAATGTACGGAACAAGTCAAGCTCTTTGATATCTCTTAACATGAACTCATTTGGGTCGTTGGCATTGGACTCTGATGTGAAGTTCGACACAGGTGTTTCAACAAGAGGACAGGTATCAACATTTCAGAATGGAGTTGATTCCTATAAAGACTTCTCCAACCATTGCGAGTCAGTGGTAGTAGAGCGCGACCAGTCTTTCAGACCTATGTTCCAACAGTTGTTCAAGGTGAAAGAAGAATACGAATCACCGTCATTTAGACCAACTGCGTGTCCAGCGGAGCCCGAATCGTCAGAATTCGCAGAATCTGAATTGTTATCAGAGATAACAGAAAGCTTCTCTGGCACCCTGGATGAGACTACGACGGAACGACTCCGAGCATATATTGCGTTGATCAACCAACAGAAAAGGGAGCGTAGAGGGATTCCCGATATACAGAAGATCGAAGAGGCTGCCTCGGCTATATCGCTCATCAAGAAACGTATTTCAAAACGACCAAGTGGCACGAGACCGGGATCTTCTTTAGCAAAATTGGTATGTCAACTTACAACAAAGTCCGACCCGTCATCCATGAAGTCTCCCGATGGTGAAGGACGGAATTCACCTGGCAAGAAAACGATGAAACCTGGACCAAGACGATCTATTTCAGCTGGTGGTAATATGTTTGCAGATATTGCAAAATCTCTGCAATCAAATACCTCACAGAGTGCATCAAATGAAAAACTTTTTGATAATGAACAGACAAGTCCAATAGGGTCAAGGCCTACAAGTGCAGCTCGTAAACTAAAACTAAAGAATATTTTTAGCCTCAATCAATCTAAAACGAGTTTTTCATCTCAATCGACGAGTGCATCAAACAGTAATTCGAGTGTCTCACTGAGCACTGATAGTGGAAGTAGGGGTGTTGACAGTATGACCCCTATTGAAGAGCACACATAAACTATAAGTCAATACTGTCATCTCGTATAGTCACGTATATATCACCCATTTGAAAACTTGTCTTCGATCACTGATGATGTTCTAGAGTTAGTACGTAACTTTTTTTTATCATGAACCGTGTTTGATTCCAAAAGGACAACATTTGACATTGACCTAATAATATATTACAAAAATGTACATGCTTTGAATATTTTGTGAACTGGTATTTGACATTGCTGGCTCGATCAAGCTGAGATGATTCCTACGTGCTTAGAGCTCCAACACATTCTTCACAACATCAACATCCACGACCGGAATTGTATAGCACGGGGCTTCAATGTTTTGCACCGTGTCAAATAATATAAAAATAACAGGAAAATTATAATCGCATTGACTCATATCAAGTGAATATTCGCATTTGATCAAATATGTCAACGGAATCATAAATGGATTAAACAGATTAGTTTCGATTAATATGAGTTTCAACCTTGGATAATTATGTCGCCAAAAGTGGTGACATATTGTTATAGTCTCTAACTTTTTTGTGGACGGTGTTCGGCATTTGGCGTTCGACGGGTGGCGGTCGGCGTTCTTCTGTAAATGGTGACATCACATTTTGCATGTTAATGCTTTGTTTCTATTCCCTCTCGATCAGGGGCAGACCCCGTCCCCTTGGGTGGGCCCGGAAAAAAATGGGCCCAAAAAAAGTTTTGGGCCTAAAAAGGCCTTAGGCCCCAAAAAGTGGTCCTTTTGATTATTACTGGGCCTCTGAGGCCTTATTTTTTAGTCTTAATATTTCAAAATTTGGGCCCACTTTTTGGTTTTAGGGGTCCAATTTTTTTTCTCAGACCAGATATTTGCCCCCCCCCCCTTGTTGGTTCCCAGATCCGCCAATGATACCATTGCAGCAGTACTTTCGAAATAAAAGTTACATTTGAGCTCTCACAGTTGATAACTTTTGTACATGTACCTGTGCCCTTCGACTCTATATATTATTTATATACACCCAAAAGTATTGGATCCCCTCCTGACTCAAGCATATGCCAATGTCACCATAGTATGTGTCATGTGTAATTTAAAAGCTTTTCCGAAGTTACGTTGATTTTCTTCAAAAACAGTACCCAGTTGGGTAAAAATGGTTTTTTTTTTTAAAATGGGACCCAAATTTAGGGATTTTTCGGTGAAAAAGTGACCCACTTTAGCGGCACGTCCCCATATAGCCAATATATTGGAGTACCCCCCCCCCGGACTATGGAGATATGCGATGTCTGTCTCGTATGTCTGAGTGGGGTAGGGTCCCATACTTTCGCACACCCTCTATAATTGATATTCATATCAATTATCCTTCATTTAGTGTATTAAAAAATGTATAATAACATTATAAAATAAATTTGATATCCATTGGAAAATGAATAACCCGAGGACATGGAGGATATCGCAACGATATGCTGGACGATATGCGGAGGATATTGTGACGATATACTCCGCTTGTTGACTTTTGTGAAATCTATTTTTCAATAATATTATACATTTAAAATAAGTACATTAAAGTACACTAATTGAAGGATAATAAGAACATCCTATGATTATTGATTGATATTGATTATTGGAAATCGTAGTATTAGAAGGGAAAAGCTGTACACGCACTCTGATAATAGGAGTAAATCATTTAAGATTTCTTGCAAATTAATCATATACCATTTGAAGAAAAACATGGCTGTAACTTCTATTAATTTCAATATAATATGATTGATCAGGTCGCAATAAAGAAATATATAATATGTTAATACGAAATAAATATTCAATAGCAGTGATTAATATTCTTATTAAATAATGTATTTATGCCATATTCATGCACTTGTCAATATCGCGTCTCTTAATTGTCATAGAAACGTAAATACATCGCAACAGATTGTTATGGGATAATCATGACAATTAATCGTCAATAGCAATAATGCCAATGTTCTTACAATATTTTGTCACATTCTTTCAATCGTGCATATCACTTAAGATTTGGTTGTTTTGTTGTAAAACAAAAAACATGCATGGGCGTATGCTTAGAATGCACCATAAACAATGTAAATTTTCAAAACTCCCCGTACCCCCCTTTTGGGACTTTGGGTGCTAATGTAGTGATGGGTGCTAGTGATGGGAAGAATGATAATCTTTTTGACCGTACAACTGTGTTGAATTTATTTGTCTTACATTTGAACATATATCGTCAATAGGTGCATTAATTAATCCATTTGCCTAGCTGTTTGTTTCTTATTTAGTTCTCTAAATCGGAATATAGTTACTTATGTTCCCCTGAGCAAATGAAAGTCGCCATACTCGACTATTTTCCATCAGTTTATGTAGATATATAACTTTATAACTACCCATCCAAGTAAAAACAGTGATAACCTGAATCAACCTTCACATGAAACGTCATAATTAATGCGGATTAGTTATATTTCTGCATCGTGGGCCCCTAATCTAAATTGGCACGCGATCCTTTGTATCGTTTTCAAAGATGTTCGGATAATGAACGTCATAACTCCAAATTGATACGACGAGCTGATCCTAGCAACGCAGGCATAACAAGATGAGTGTTTGTGTATGTGAGCATTAATTTGGATAAGAGTCTCTTCAAATCTTTGATTTGGGATAAGTGAAATTCATTGACACGATAATGGAATTTTTCTTCTTTCATTATGATAAAGTAAATATTGCATATCGATGTCCATCTTACTAATGAGTAATGTAGTAAAATCTTTCGTCGGACAAGCATTTCAACCAGAAACTGCCAATTTTGAATTTATATGTACAGTATCATGAAGACACTGGGATATTCAGGAAAGCAACCGGAATTAGCCTCCGGTGACCATGTTGGGATTCTGAAAAAGAAAATGGCGAACACCTCAAGGAAAAGAACATCGACATTTTCCATGAAGGACCGATGGTCTAGAGAAACTTCGGATAAGTTACGGGAGAACTATTCACCAAAACCTCCACTCCGAACTACGAGGATTTACATTAAGAACGGACAAACATATTCATACAAATTAGGCATACACTTTGAAAACTTTAAAAAGTACTTAGAAATCATACATGCTGATGGAGAAAAATACGAACGACTAAAGCATGAAATGTATAAAGATGATCCAAGCGAGTCCAAAACTGACTCATTTGATCAGAATCTGGATATGATTTACAGATTATCTTCACCGCGGAAATTGAATCCAATAAGTAAATATGACCGCCCAAGGAATACTCCGAGAGTTTGTGAGTTACCTGATAAAAAGGTAGCGTTATTCGTACCAAGCTCGAAACTTGAAAGTATCTGGAAAAGTACGCTAAGAAATGGTGATTCAGCAACAGACATGGTTACAAAGAAGTACAATACGGAAGATAAGAATGTGTCAAAATCAATGGATCATATTGACAATAATAAAGGCAGTATAATTACAAGTGATAATGGCAAAAATCGGAGAAAATCCAAATTTTCAGTTTCCGCGTCCCTTCCTCCTATTAAGAGCTCTGAGACTCATAAAAATAACAGATTAAAATGTGAAACATATAACAATGGTGTTTCCTATGAAACAGATATTCCATCTATTCCAAATATAAATAACAAGTCAACATTTAGCAGCTTATCAAAAAACAAAACAGTTCACAATAATCTCACATTACAAAATAATAAACCATCAGACAAAAAATCAACCAATGCTCTACGAAAGCAAAGTAAACGCGTAGAACGACATGGAGAACAAATTTCAAATAACAATGTGTCTGATGATAAGAATAAATATGGAATGCATACACGGAAAGAAATTCAACAATCAATCCTTGGTTGTTCAGAAACACGCTCAGATAGCGATCGATTTTCCGGTGATGATCCACGAAACAAAGCTCCAAAATATCGATACATTTTTACATCGTCTCCTACACCAGTACGAGTTTATGTACATTATATATCCGAGGAACAGCAAAATTCCAAAGCCATAAAACCACGTAACATGAGCCAGAGGACGTCCCTGTCTTCCGAGAGTACGTTCAGCATCCCAAGGGCGGCGGACGAGGCAAGAGCTAAGCTGACATCAAACTCAAGAAAGTTGCTGGCGAACAGACTGGTGTATGACAAACAATGTTTATCATTTCACCCACCTGAGGTTAGCTTTAGAAACATGTCAAGAACAGCACTGGTTACCTTGAAGGCTGCAAGACACGTACGAAATCATTTACTCTGAAGACAGACCAACAGACACAACAGCGGACAGACGACTCACTCGCATTATTGATAATATTAGTTGGAAGGACAAAATCAAGCACACCATTTCTCGGATTACAGCAGCGATTCAACTATATCAAACATTATATTAAAAATAGTTTTATTTTCATTTATTTCTTGAAGCAAAATTAGTAATTAAAATATATGTGTAGTGTATATTGCAACTATCGTAATACTAAAATATCAATGTTTGTACTATTACTGCTTTGATAGGATGACGAGATTTCTTTAGATTCCAGCTGGTGCTAGCCTTTCCCCTTCTTTGATTTGTTTTTCTGACTTTTAGTACCAGCTTTATTTGAGTCTTTATTTTTGATTCTCAAGTCCGAAGTAACTTGCAATGCAACATCGGGTAACGTCTTTATTTTTAATGATTCAGATAGTCTATTTTTCGTTGATTCGGATGTCAAATATCTCTTTTCTCTGGGCTTTGATGAATCTGGCCTATCGTCTTCATCATCCGATTCTTCAGGCTTGCCAGCATTCCTTCGTTTATCTCTCTGTTCTTCTTCAGCACTGAAAACAAAATGGTATGTATGTCTAATACATGTACATCTGTATAATATACATAAAAATAAACATTATTTTATAGCTTCCAATGCTAAGAGCAATTGAATTTTTGTAAATCACAACTGGCAAAGGGCGAATTCAGGAATACGTTATAATGCAAATGAATGCCCTCGTATCGTGTTATAAAGGCCTAGTGGGGCACTCAGTATCGGCCACAAAACAAAGTTCAATTTGATAATACATGTAAGTCCTGTTGTTTGTTGTTATTACTGTACATTAAGCTTTGATTACCTTTAATACTGTGTATGAAAACTTACATGATTAAAAACTTCTGGCACTCTACTTGTCCATAACGTTCCGCAATATCCCGTGGTGTATCACCATACACATCTCTCTTGTAAACACATATGTTAGCGTTGTGTAGGGCTCTTAACACATGGATACGACCACACTCCGCGGCGCAATGGGCGGGGGTCCAGCCGTTGTCCATACGAGGGTTTCCAACAGCACCATTGTTCAGAAGTAAACGGATTACCTCAACGTATCCTGAAAAGTTAAATCACCATAAAATACGGGTCTTTTATAGGTTATGCATGTAGTAAAACAATTGAAATAACGTGATTGCAATCGGATTATATAGCAAAGATGAAATAATCTACATGTTGTACTGCCCAGGTCGAGAAAGATTCGAAGCCTGAAACTCTTGCATTGTATTAAATGCCCGAGTAGTCGAGCATGTTCAATTAACCATGTCGTGTTCTTTAAGATATGATTGTCATCGCAATACTTTTAAATCAATAAATTGTATGTACATGTACCTTTAGTACAGGCCCAGTGTAAGGGCGTTCTGTTTCCCCACTCAACATCTTTTAGATTGACATCGTATTTTCCCACCATTAAGTACTCCTCGAGTGAGTCACAGTCACCTATAGCAGCTGCCTCGTGAAGTTCAAGTCCAGATGCCATAGCGGCTATGGCCCTATATTTATAAATCAAACAAAATACAGTGTACATAGAAATGGGCTGATTCAGGATCTAGATACTAGTGTGGCTATAAGTTAATTTTTTAAGTCTGTACATGTAAATACCAAACAACGACATATTTCACAAACCTGTTTGTCTGTTTTTTTTGTGTCAGTCTAGAGATAGAAAATTAATTTATTAATACAGTATTCAATATTCCGGATGATAGAATTATGTTAATAATGTTCCACTGGATCTAAAACAAGAATTGGAGCCACCTTGACTTCGAAGTATTATTTTAACCAAATTTCTCCATGTTGTATGAGGAACTAATATCTAAAATAATATAAACAGTTACATACGTTGAACATACTATTTGATTCTGTCCAAACGCGACCCTATTGATGGTTAACAGTACGATAACATACCTGTTATTTACCTGTAAAATGCAATATGGCAGCCTATCAACGTTGTAGTAACAGTGACCTTGAATGTACACCGAACGAACTATGGGCGTGCAGATATACCCGGGAATTAACTAAAACGCATTCAGAATTCATATTGATTTTTGAAGTACGGTGAATGTTGACGAGTTTCAAAGCTCTGTTTTGTCTAATATCTGTTTTAATCACATAATTAAATTATTCTGCACAAACAATATTTTTATCCAACGTTTCTATCTAATTAAAAAAGAATAATTCGATAAACCTTGTGCCTATTGACATATTAAAGGAATATTTCAAATATTATTAATTAAAGTGACAGTATGCCTTTTCCTTAGCAACCAAATATTCGGTCCTAAAAATAACAAAAATTATTATGGTTTGTGTATGCTATGAAACATTGCGATCCTCGTCCAGCTCATGTGTAAGTTACATACACACGGAGATATTTGAACTGCAAAATAATAACGAATTTGTCTACAAAATTAAAGGAAAAATGTTGGTGATTTTTCAATATATTGGCATGGTATTGTCCCTTTAATGTTAATACTGTCTAATTTCAATCTACTTTAATTTTCTGTGATTATGCCGAAACAAAATTAATTTTAACGTTGTTTGGAAAAATATTTGGTTACTATTAACATCAACATGGCTATGTCAAAATATACTTATGATTTATTTTTAGGAATCGTTATTTACATGGTAACAATGGATTATACGTACTCAATTATGGAGCACCCTCAAACGGTCACATGTGCCGTTGATTTTGGTGAGTGCAGTATCAGAATAATTTAAACAGCGCTAGTATTAATTTATTTTTTCTGGAATATGTGTTAAAATAAAAAATAAGTAAGGTCTGTGATCGGAGCTAGTGAGTAGTGATATAAATAATGAAATCACAAGAATAAGATGACAAAGTAGCCTACACTTTTCCTTATCCAATTTCTTGACCACTTTTCGGAGTGGGCGTGGCTCATCGATAAGAGCTTACCAAATACAGTGAATGCGAATGTGTTGTGTCACCCCCATGGGTTTATCATGTCAAAGTCATGACTCGCGTGCCATGTTATCATAGGAGCAATGGTCATTATTAAACTATTGGAAAGTTGATCCCATCTCTCAGATGAATATATTTTTTCTTATATTCCAGTATTTATGGGGAAGGTCGAAGGCTCCAAAAAAATCCGTGAAGATGGCAGGCAATTAATGCTTTACACAATAATACCTGGGACCAAAAACTTAGCACCAGTACGTAATGGATTTCTGACCATATTCCATTTGAAAATATGCGTAAAAACTACAACTTAATAAGTGAACTAGGTGCCATACATCTTCGAAATTAAGCTATCAAATAATCAAGTTTTTTCATGAATATTTTCTTTCATCTTGCCTATTTCTTGGGAGATGTTTTAACATATTTTAAAAAACTTTTGCCAAGGGCCAAAGCAAGGTACTGTCCATTTTAAACTGTTTTATAGTTAGTCATTCCATTCCGTTTCACTTAAAGTCCATTCGCTTGCTCTAACACTGGTATTTCTGGCGACAAAATGAACACATGTAAAGCAATGGACGGCTTCAAGAAAATAAAAACACTTGGCCATTGGTTCATTTCCAGAGCGGTAAAGAGTTTAATGCGGAACAAGATGTGAGACAATTGACTACGGGGATAGGTTCTGAAGACGTATTCTTCCAAGCACAACAAAAGAATAACAACGGTCTTGAGGAATACTTTATAACAGGTGTGAGGCCCCGTCAAACTTTATTAATTGACCATGCTTTAAAACTCAATTCACAGCTATCATATGTACGCGTACTTAAAAGTTCATTGAATTATCTACAGGATCACATGTGCACTGTGATGTAGATCGTTCTGTTTTAAATGTAACATTCATCTCCACGACTTTTCCCTGATCGATGTACCATGATGACTTTTAATACTTACTATAAATGTTGGTGGAAATTAATCTTAAATTGATTGGTATAATAAAAATTGATAAATGTATTGGTTCATCATGACAATTTAATTAGAAAGCGAGTAAACCTTTTAATATATGACATAAAACCCCCAATAAATCCGATACTTGACCAGTTTAATAATACGGGTTTATGTAAAAAATTATGTTTATGTCAAATCAGCTGGGGTCAGTCGTTTTGGTCAGTTTGAGTGAAACATCCGATTTGGTACACAATGTTATAATTAATGTCTATGATAAACAGTACCTCAGTAGAACAATAACCTAAAACATCCATCATGATAAACCACGACATCTCATTTCTTCTCAGCCCTGAGGTTTCAGGTGAAACAGAAAGATGCTATGTCTGAGTATCAGAATGGGAAACATCGTATCCAACCTGATCTCCAATTTCCAATTAATGATTTTCCTTGAATGTCCTTGGTTTTTCTACATGTACAATATTCCGTGTATACATACGGACAGATATATTATGCCTGGGTACTGACATGTTAATTCTGAACAGGATTCTTCAATGAGGTAACAGGAAAAGTGCCACACCTAACAACCGATGACTGGGTAATTAAACTTACACCTGAACTGGCCCACTCCTTACCTCGCCTAACACAGGAGTATGTACAAAACTGTAGATGTGAGGTGAGATATGTGTAATGAGTATTAAAAGTGAGACACTTTTTGTCAAGTATTTTCTCGGCAACTGATCAACCAAATTCACTGAAAATGTGTGCAAAGTAGCCCAGGAGTACAACACGGGCTTTCAATTAAATATGAAAAAATCAAGTAAATGTGATGTGAGTACTAAGAAGTTCAATATGGCATGTCAAAAGATCCCATACCGGAGCAACCCATTGAGAACTTCAGACAGGTAGCGTTTGTACCAAAAAAGGGAATCAATTTAACAGGTAATTTTTCAGCAATGGATAAGCTAAATTCTTTGAAAACACTATTTGAGACATGTTAGGGTATCTTCAGCTCGTGCTATGAATATGTAAGAGATTGGTTACATATTATGTGAGTATTGTAGAATAGTGAAACAGTATGTCAAAATAACCAATACCAGGCCCGTAACGGGGGGGGGGGAAACTGCGTGATTTTGAAAGAATTTTTCAAAAAGCCAAAAATTCTTCCAAAATCACGCAGTTTGTCACCATTCTGAGCAATTTTCAAGTGATTTCGGCCATTTTTGGGCAAAAGTTCTCAAAAGTGATCCCCCTGGAATTTTTCAAAAAGTGAAGCCCCTTGGCAAATCCTGTCTACGGGCCTAATAAATGTAAAAGTCACTTATTAATCGTTTCTAAGCTTAAATACTTTTTCGTTCTTAATCTTGCAATATAATTGACAGATGCTATTATAACCTGATAGCTGGCATTCTCAGAGCTCCGGTAAGTGGTTTTTAGACATGCCATTTTGAATTTCTTAGTACTCCCATTACTTACATTGACATTTTTTATAAATTTACAACTTGCTCATGATCCTCTTAGTCTACTTTGTACACATTTTCAGTGAATTTGGTTCATAAATTGCTGAGACAATACTTGTCAAAAGTTTCTCAACTTTTTGAGACACTCGATATATGACACAAATTCCAAACAAATTCTTTTGTCAGGAGATATACAAGTCTCATTTTCTTATCTTATTTAGATCTGTCCCGAGGGTCGACCATGCCCAAAGTCAAATTGTATATACATGCCAAATGAGGAGATGTGCAGATTCAGCAGTTCAGTATGCATACATATAGACGAAGAGCAGTGTGATTGGAAAAAGACAAGAGACTACAGAGGTTGTATGAAAGAGTGAAAATCCAGCTTTAATACGTCAGGATCTATGAGTTTAATGGAGCATTTTAAACTGTCCATCAGTTTGTGATGTTCAGAGGAGATGTCTAAATAAAAATGTTCACTGATAAGAAACTTTTGTTTATTTGTTTCTTTCCTTACCTTCATCTCAATTTGTGATAAGGCAAGCCCTAATTTTAACAGTTTCTCTTACAGTTTTCATATCTCCAACGCTATCCCATTGTAAAAACCCTGGAGGACTTGATTATTTTTGTAAAAAAAGCGAAAAAATGCTCAAAACACATTCTGGCCTTAATTCTGGTTGTTAATTTACGGAAATGTACTAACATTAAAAAGGTTTAGAACCATTTCATTTCCTACAATCAGAAATTTTCAATGAGGATCTATAAATATCCTGAAAGTACGTCCCAATCTTCAATGTCAAACCCTGCTGCAACAACTTGATCTTGTTTTGTTCGAGTATTTCTTTCACTATACTTTTGTGTATTTTTATTTTGGTGCCTTGATTGTCTTTCAAGATGAAGCTCTTTCAATGTTGGTTGAACTGGGTCAGTGTGACAAGGGGATTTTGTTTGAGCACAGCCTGCCTGACTAGCTCTGTGTGATGAATTGCACCGAGGTTTGAGAATGAGGTTTTCTTCATCACTATTTAAGTCAATTTCAGCTTCACCTGGTTTGTGTTCCTTAGTCACATTTTCAACAATATCATCTAAAGATAGAGTTTTATGGTCACTCTGAGATGTTTTTCTTGCTTCATAGTGTTGTTTATTGTGAATATTCCTGTCCATATCGAGTCTCATTAAATGTATCCTAGGGAACGCAGAATCCGCAGAGAGTTCGATAGTGTCATCAGCAACTGGAGGTTTCCTCTTGGCATCTGAAGTTAGAAATGATTTGTCATCTATATTCAAATCGATATTCTAGGAGCAAGGAAGAAAATTATTGATACCTGAATAACCTGATAGTCACTCACTTGGCAGCATTTTTAAGTGGGAGGATGACTTGGACAATGCGTCCTCGAACTCCCGTGCAGTGATATATCACTGCGGCGGGCAGGTGTCTCACCGTAAGCATGGTAACATCGTAATAAACAACTGCCGTGATTGGTTCTAGTCCCATGCTCAGGTCGCGTGATTGTAAAATTTAGACAATTTCATTGGTTGAATTGCGCGTATTAACTAATAAACAACACGTGCGGTAAACTTTTATCAACACAACTTTTACTCAGAATTCCTTCCGCGGGGATTTGCTCTTATATTTCATTGATTTTGGAATATTTTGACAAAATAATTATTGGTGAACATAAAAGAACATATATTTTATAAGTTGTGTGAAAAACAAGTACATCTGTGACAAAAAGGGGGACTATCTTCCCCAAATTTTGGGGATTTCATAATCTGCCCGCCGCAGTGTCTATACCGAGACACTGCATAGGAGTTCGAATGCGTCCTAAGTTTCTACCATTTTGTGAAGACATTTCCAATGAGGAAGTCCACCAAGTTCCCGAAATGAATATGCTACCAAAGTGACATCATGATAAACCAAAGGTGAAACAGAAAGATGGTATGAGTATCAGAATTCCAAAGTGAGCACACATCATTTATTTAGAATTTTCTGCCTCTCTCCAATTAAGTGTTATTGTTTATAATGTTAGTATGCGTTTACCCAGACTGTACTTCATTTGAATTTGAATTGACTTTATACTTCTTGGTTGCATACAAATACCTATTTACAAAAGGGTAACCTAGTAGTAGTACATGTTATTGCAGTTCAAGGACAATGTCCAAAGGAACTCAACATCAATGGTGTAACAACAAGGCATTAACATGACAAAATGTCACCACCTAGTTGCTCACAATATTAATAGTTCAATCTTAAGTTAGATTTGAATTTCTGAGAACTTGTAGATAATTTAAAAAAATTAATTGGTCAATTTGAAGCAAGTTGAAAAATACCTTTTTTGACCCTGAGAAGGACATTGAAGGTGGAATCCCAAATCTAAAGTCAGATTTGAACTTAAAAACTTAGTCAATTTGAAGCAAGATGAAAAAGACCTTTTTGACCTTGAGTTGGTCATTGAAGGTCAAATCTTTTTTGACCTCAAGAATCTCATTGAAGGTCAAATCTATAGTCAGATTTGAACTTTTAAGAACTTGTAGATGATTTTGAAAAAAATTGGTCAATTTGAAACAAGTTGAAAAATACCTTTTTGACCTTTTTTGACCTTGAGAAGGTCATTGAACGTCAAATCTCAAATTTAAAGTCAGATTTGAACTTCTCATAACTTGTAAATGATTTTGAGAAAAAATTGGTCAATTTGAAGCAAGTTGAAAAAAGACCTTTTTGACCTTTTTAACATTTTTTGACCTTGAAAAGGTCATTGAAGGTAAACTCTTAAATATAATGTCAGATTTGAACTTCAAAAAATTTGTAGATGATTTTGAAAAAAATTAAAGTAAGTATTTAAGTTATTGGAAGTTGTAAGAATTTGTTACAGACGCTGATTGCCAACCGCTGATCACCGACCACCAACCCCCATGAAAAACGGAGACCACCACAATATGACCATAACAATATTGGTGACATAACATAGTAATTAACTCTTAAATTAGGTCATTTTCTATAATACAAGGGAGACTATCTGAGTGAAAGCATAATATACATGTATTCACCTCAGTCAGTTACAACTTCCAATAATGTTATGTAACTGAAATCTATTAATTGGACAAAATCAAGATCGATTCATACTCACAAAAGTTTGTTAAGCCACTTTTTCTGACAGGCTCTTCTGTAATTGAAAAGAAAATTAACATTGTATAAAACCTGTGTACATTGAACATTTCTGCTGAGAGAAAACATTGTTAGTAGGTGATCATTACAGAGAAGGTAATTTATACAGAAATCAGTAGAGTATGTGTGGAGGAAGGGTGTCCCCTAAAGACAGGTTTTACTGTATATGGCAGATGGATACAATATATTTACAAAACTTGAAAATTGGACATTCATTAATTTAGTACTATACTAGTGGTATTAGAAAAAACAATAATGGTGTATTGGAATTACAATACTGATAGTCTAAGATACATGAAAACTTCAGTGCAAATAAATACACATTTTGGAGAAAACATTACCTATTTAATACAGTTTTATACTCACTTGCAGCTCTGTCCTCTGTAAGACAATCTTTTATCCACTGTCCTATTACTGATGCAGCCCATCCGCTGTTGATGATGTCATAATGATGGAACTCCTCAAAGTCAATGTGTGTCATATTAAGGCTTATCTCGAGCTCTTTGATACTTTTAACCTGTGGATTAAATAGAACAATATTCAAAGTCATGAAACTTGCATAGTAATATCAATGATTTATAACAATGAATCCTTGCTTATGGAAGTTGATGCCCAGATATCAGATATGCATTTACTATAGACCTTTCCAATAAATCCTGGCCCATTTAGGCTCTGTTAAGTAATCAGTGTGTCACTGTGTATTCGGTGTTACATGTATCCCCATGATCTTTTGTCAAGTGAGTTAAAAATTCTAATTTTCACAATTCTGAAATTCACAATCTTTCATGATTTTCTTTATTAACAGGTGAGTGCAGTTTTCCCTTGTATTCCTTTAATGCAAGAGGAGGGAAAACCCCATGATTCAATTGATGACATACAATTTCCTCCTTTGTGCACCTCCTTTCCCGGAAGTATGTATATTTATACTTCCCTCCATCTTGGTTTTCAAATTGACCTAGTTTTAAACCAATCAACGATCGACTCGCTAAACCAATCAGCGACAATGTCATCTCAATAGAGATTTACATTATTAAAGCGTATGTCATCTTTGAACCCTGGGGTTTCTCCCCCTCTTCTTTAATGCTGAAGAGTTCACTGAGGTAATTAACTTACATTGGCATCTACTAGAATAGTACTTACATTTATAAGTGTACCTGAAAGATTCAGAGATTCTAAGTTTAGCCACTTCAGATACTTTTCCACATCTCCGGATATCCTCCGATTACCTGAAAAAATATGATTTCAAGTTAAATTGTTCTCATGAGAATTTTAGATCCTAATTCTACCTGTTTTAATCAAAGTATCCCACATGGGCGAGAAGGGGCTCTTGTGAACCCTCCCCCTTACCTCAAACCCCATACCGTTATAAAATGGATCCAAACCAGGAACAACCCCCTTTTTAAGAGATCAACAGATGTGTACACAGTTCCCAGCTATAAGCTGTTAATCATCTATATGCATAAGGTGTAAGGTAAGTATATAATGAGATAGTAATGATAGCAATAATTGTCAACATCAATTAAAACCTGTGGCCCCTCTTGGTTATTTAAGAAACATTTTGTCTATGTGTTAAACCGTATACATACTTTATTGTGTAAAATCAGAGTCAGACTTACATGAAACATCTAGATAAGCTAACTGACGCCATCCAGTCTCAAACATCCTGTAGGGAGCAGTCAATTTTTGTATTCCTCTTGATGACAATAGGTTTCCCTGTAAAGACAACTTCCTCAAACTGAAAATAAAAAAACAAGGCATTAACATGCAAAATGTCACTACCTGCCATTTGTTACAGATGTCAAATGCCGAACACCATCCACAAAAAAGTTGGAAACTTTAACAATAATTGGAGAAATATGTAACTGAGCATACTTCTAAGAACAATCCCAATTGATTAGAATAGGGGTTCTTAAACAAGCATTTTCACTTGGTTTTCAAAGCTTTTTGTTACCTCAGATCTTATGTCCTCTACTCTTATTTCAAATAAAATGTTTGTTAGCATACCTGTATATGTATGTACTACCCATGAATATCATTCTTAGTTTTATGTGTTAACATATAAAAAAGATGTCATACTCAAAGGTATTACAGTTGTAAATGTGATTTTTATTTTGTCAAACTATTGATGACAAGGAATGAATGCATCAAATGAGATATATAATTTATAAAATTAAATGTTTCGAATTATCATATAACTGTTTAAAATCATATACATACTGCATTAGCTGTCCAATGTGTTGAAGAATTTCACTGTCATCTCTAAGTTTACACCATCCTATGTCTAGCTCCTCTATATAGGGAAACAAAGGCACAATATTGGGCATCTTTTCCAGAAATAAATTACTTTTTCTCAAACACAAGGATGACAGCAATTCATTCTGATAGGCTTCAGAAAATAATGTGATGGTGTTTTCCGATCTCAAAGCTCTTTCCTTGAATGATCCAATGTCACATAAAGTTTCAAATATTTCTTTGCCGATAATGTCAGGAAAGTCAATGAGCGATTCAACAAGGTGAATATGATGCGCAACAAAATACACACATAACTTCTTTAACAAAGGAACATTTTGTACACTCTTGGTTTCTTTTTTATCAGGATCTGTTAATTCTTTTGAATCTTCTTTATTTGGCACTAAACCTCTCTGCCAAGACAAATCTATCACACATTGTTTTTTCCGCTTTGGTGATCTTTGTTCGTAACCAGGAGTTGATCTCAGTCGCCCATGTTCCAGGATGTGGATTGGACCAGGCTCAGATAGCTGTTCAAATATTCCTCGAGGGAAATCTTCAAATGCCATTTAAGCTGGAAATGAACGGCAATAATTGTCAAACACTTGGATGAATGGTATAATATATTGTCAAAGTGATCAAGGTGCAGCATACATGTCAGGGGTTTCACTCTGAATTTCTCGCAACAGGCTAAATAAATGAAAACAACAGGCAAAATTAATGGGAATCATAAATTTAACATGGGAAAGATGAAAAGTCCCAAAAAAACAAACGATTTTGTGAAAACAACCAATGAAAATCGCCTGTTGCCAATGAAACCCCTGCATGCACAGAACCCGCATACAAGTACATGAATGCCAGATTGTCCACACAGACTATTAACATGTATATGAACATATATACGATATGTAAAGGCATTGGCAGTTACAGTGCAATCGCTCTGGAAAAACGCACGTGACAGTACCCCTTTAGAAAATATGGTCCGACGCTCCTGAGAAAAATGTCGCTCTCAAAGTTTTCAGGATCTTAAATTTACCACATAATAAGACTGATTGAAAATTATGGGAATTTTATATTGATTAGTTAATTAACTTTATGAAGTGACCCAAAAATGCCCAGAATTTTACACAGAATCATTGCATGGCAGGATCATGGGCTTTCAATTAGACATCTATCCAATATTTAGTACAATCTATGGCAAATGGTTCTGCCTGTGAAGTGACAGTCGTATATCGTTCTAAATTGACTTCTAATGGGCTAACTTTACAAAACTTTGAATGAAAATAAAAAGTCACCAAAACTTTATTTTTCCCGCAACCAATTTGATTGGTTATAAATCAATTAACGCAATAAACGAGATCTCGTTTAAATTTGGCATTCCTGGCAACGAAAATAAAATATTCACTTTATTATCAAATTATTACGATACTCAGGAAGATTTCAATAATGTTTGACGTGGCACTTGCTAATGCTGGTGCTCAAGTTGTACTTGCGACATCAAGTGATGAAAAACACCCTCCGGAAAACATGATAGACGGGTAAGTAGTTCTAAAATTTACTGTTTCACATATTATCGCCCACTTAATTTTTTCCTTTTTCCAGAGTATGGGTATGAGTGAGATAGTGACTCTATTTTAACATCTCATTTTAATGGAAAAACACTTGCATTTTAGACTACGTTAGATAACAAGTTTTAGCGCTCTCTCTCCCAACAGAAGTAAAAAAAGCACAAGTGAAAAGTACAAGTGATATTTTTAGTACATGAGTTTTAAAAACAGCAACAAGTGATCAAAGGCAGCATAATAATGCCAAAGTGATCCCGGAACACCTTATAAGGAACACTGAAAAGGACTAAGAAGAAGAAGAAGAATTTGCATTCGTTTGACTTAACTTCTTAAAAGAGAGCTTCGTCTTCACTCTTTCAAACTAAGCCTGTGAACTCACCGCGCCAATAAGTGTTCGTCGGCCAAATTTGACCGACGTTCTTTATGGTCATTTCTTCTGACGTCATCGTTGAGTCCGGAATTGACCAATAACATGCGCATATTTAATTAGAACGCATTTGGTGTATGTTTCTTCAAGCTAGCTGATTGGTGGAAGTTCAGCGCGAAGGTCAAAAGTGATTTACCCAAACTGTCACCGGTACCCGTCGTGGGGGCGGGCGAGGCTACTAAACTGTAATATGGTCTCTACTAGGCAGAGTGTAGTTTAACTAGACTCTACACGCAGGGTAGAGTATGGGCAATCTGAGACAGGTTGTTTATTGTCCAAAAAATATCTGACTTGAAATAAATGCTGATATGATATAAGGTTCGCTTTTTCTCATTCGCAAAACTTGGCCCTATGTCTGCAAAAGGCTATGTTGTGAAAAGTTCCTAGACTTTCTCATTTCTTTCTTACATTTTTTTACATGATCCAATTAAAAAAATCAGGTAGAAGTAAAGATCGATAATCAACCGTACATAGTGGAAATATTGAAGCATACTGTATCTCTCTTGTAAAAATATACCGATCCTTTGTATTGATGCTGCAGATAAGGCATTTTTAGCAAGAAAAATTGCCATACATAAAATTCCTGGGGATTTTTGACTTCGTTCACATGTGGGCCCCTATTAGAATGGTCTGAAGGGTCTAATTTCAATTTTCTAAACGCCCTGGGCACTAATTACAAAGAATATGGTACATTAAAATAATTTAGCATCATAATACACAGGAATTGCATGCATTTATTTGTTAACATTTGGTTTGATTATGAAGGATCTGTACATGTATTGTATAAATACAATTAATACATGTATCTGTATAGAATTTGTTATTGTATTGCAGTCAAACAGAAACATTCTGGACATCAACAGGGATGTTTCCACAGGAATTCATCATCTCATTCCAGCAGCTTATGAATGTAAATACAATCAAAATGGACACATTTAATGGTAGGTTTCAAAAGACTAGTATAAATGGTAGTGTCTGTCAATGTCAAATGTTATTATCCCAGCACAGCAAATGTAGTCCAGGATTGATGAAGGGAAGCCTTCCATTCATTCATCCATCCATCAGTTCATCGGTAACTGGTCAAGTCGTACCCAAGACAACTCGTACCCAAGTCAAGTCGTACCCAAGACAACTCATACCCAAGTTTATGTTTTGTTTTCAGTCAAGTGTTGGAATGGGAATGGGTATAGATATTCGTATTATAATTGTTACATACAGTTCAGAATAGTTTGAAGTATGTAGAAGAGTTTTTGGAAGAAATCCATTTAATTTTTTGACATTTTGAGCTTTGAAAAATTAAGTGTCAATCTATTTTGACTATTATTTTATATTGGTCACAGATTCACGATGTTTGAAGGAAGAGACCTATGTTTATTCCACATATTCATAATCATTGTTCAAAATTATAGAGGTATTTTTGTCTGTTACTGAGTGTTTGGAACACGTGTCAGATCTTCAAGATAGTATTATTAAAAATATAAAGATTTATCAAAACTTGGGCCTAATTTCTCCTTTAACAGATAATCTATTTATGATTTCATATTATCAGATTAAAGAATGTTAATTCTAAGAAGTCACATTCATAAAACTTAGCAATAAAATATTCTCAATAATATTATATTATTCATACATAATATAATACACTTCGTATACATGTGCTCAAATATAATCCAATTAAGTTCAACATGGAAAAGAAATTAACAGATTAAACTCTGTAAACTTTATGTAAATGCACTTAGCTAAATTAATTGTTTGATTCATTTGTAGAAAAGTTACTGTTGAAATTATATTCTTTATATATATGTATGACAGAAAAAGTTGAGAACAAGCCCTTCAAAGCACTTCTTTTATTTAAAAAAGGTGATCCAAGTTAAAAAATGATTTGCTTAGTCCATTCAGAAAAAATGCCTTCTAAATTCAGAAAAAATATTGAGGCTTATTTGAGTCACATATTAACAATAAAACATTATTATACAGACTCAATTTGTTTTCCTAATATGAACCCATAATACTGAAAATAAACTTGGGCATTAGTTGTCTTGGGTACGAGTTGTCTTGGGTACAAGTTGTCTTGGGTACAAGTTGTCTTGGGTACGAGTTGACTAGGAAGAGGTTCATCTGTCTGGTTGATAACTAAAAAGACAGTTGATAGATTTAGGTCAAATTTTATAGGCCAATGTAATTTCTGAAGTGCATTGGACAATAATTCCGAACTGAAAGGATAGGTATCGATATGGTGAACTGAATTCAACAATGTTTTTCTCTTAAACCAATTATTGAAAACATTTTGTAAAGAAACACGATCCTTTATGTAATGTTGACTGATTGTCAACAATTTAATGCGAAAATTATTTATATATATTTTAAATAACTGTTTTTGTTAACATTTTTTGTTTTTTAGTGCAATTGTTTTTTGTTCCTCTCACCAATTCTTCAGAATGAAAAAATGTCTATCAGAACTTGTTGGAACAAAATAGCATATACAACATTTTCTTAGACCTCTCAATATTATAGTTATACAAAGGAAATTTTGGTTGATTTAACAAAAAGTATGCAAAAAATTAAAACAAAACCCCAAAATAGTTAAAAATTAAGATAAACTTTTTATTCCATTAACAAGACAAGATACTTATTTAAAATCAACCAAACTTTCCTTTGTACAATTATAATATTGAGAGACCTGAACACGTTGTGTTTATGTCGTTTTGTTCCAATGAGGTTCGGATTAGATGTTTCATTTCATTCCGAACATGGTACCAAGAACAAAAGAAGTGTCTGATGTGTTTTCTTAAACAATATAGAGAAAAGTGTATATATATATATTTCAAATTATTATGTTACCATCCAAAAAGATGACCATTAAATTGACGATGTGTAAATTTTTCAGATTTTTTTGATGACTGGTTTAAGAGAAATGTGTTTTCAAAAAGTTCACCATATCGATACCACTCCTTTGACAGATTTTTGATTTGGCTTTTCTGAATCCGCCAATCCGTCAAATTAAAACGTGAGCCAAATTAAGTGTATCTACAGTATCAGATTTGGTCCTTTAATAGTCCAATGTGTGTTGGGAATAGTACTTTTGTTGAAGAACAAATTTTCAATATGGCTGCTCAATTCAAAATGGCCACTACTTTATCATAAAACATATGAATTTCGATAACTCAAATATCACTTAAATTCTCTGAATTAATTTTGCAGTTGCCATGAGTACAATTGTTATTTTTATCGTGTTACATGTTATAAGTATGATTGTCATGTGAATTAATGTTTCTAGTGAAAGGACTTCAACTAGAAAGAAGTGTGCAGAATGAACCCAATGACTTTCAACCACTAGACGAAAAAGGTATTTTGTGTTTCATAGTTTTACTTATAACAGACTTGTATTGATGAACACCAATAATGAATAACCCTAGTGAAATAATGGTAAAACATTTTGATAAACATTAGATTTCCTTCAATTTTGAGAGATGCTTCTTATTTATTAAACAAAGTACATGTATTTGATCCAAATGAATGAAGTAAGGTCAACAACTGTTGAACAGAAATCTTTACATTTACTTGTGCTTGTGCAATGTTCCGTGTATCCAACACTGTTTACATGACTGAAAATTTGATCATTTCTCTCAAAAGAAAGCCTTATGCCTAGGTCACATTTGCTCTGATTCATCGGCTGGCGCCTGGCCGATTGCAGTATTTTGTTCAAAACTGATTCCAACTTGCTTCAACTTGACCAAACTTTTTATTATGTCACCACCAAAAGTGGTGACATATTGTTATGGTCTCCTTTTTTTTATGTCACCACCAAAAGTGGTGACATATTGTTATGGTCTCCGTTTTTTTGCGACGGCGGTTGGCGTCCGGCGGTTGGCGTCCGGCGTCTGTAACAATTTCTTACAACTTCCTATAACTTTAACAAATACTGTTTAGACTGACTTCAATTTTTTTCTAAATCATCTACATGTTCTCAGAAGTTCAAATCTGACTTTAGATTTGACATTTGACCTTCAATGACATCAAGGTCAAAAAGGTCTTTTTTCAACTTGCTTCACATTGGCTAAATTTTTTTTCAAAATCATCTACATGTTCTCAGAAATTCAAATCTGACTTTAGATTTGACATTTGACCTTTAATGACCTTCTCAAGGTCAAAAAAGGTCAAAAAGGTCTGTTTTCAACTTGCTTCAAATTGACTAAAAAATTTTTTCAAAATCATCTACGTGTTCTCAGAAATTCAAATCTGACTTTAGATTTGACTTAAGATTTGACATTTGACCTTCAATGACCTTCTCAAAGTCAAAAAAGGTCAAAAAGGTCTTTTTTCAACTTGCTTCAAATTGACTAAATTTTTTTTTCAAAATCATCTACATGTTCTCAGAAATTCAAATCTGACTTTAGATTTGACATTTGACCTTCAATGACCTTCTCAAAGTCAAAAAAGGTCAAAAAGGTCTTTTTTCAACTTGCTTCAAAATGACTAAATTTTTTTTTCATAATCATCTACATGTTCTCAGAAATTCAAATCTGATTTTAGATTTGACATTTGACCATTAATGACCTTCTCAAGGTCAAAAAAGGTCAAAAAGGTCTGTTTTCAACTTGCTTCAAATTGACCCAATTTTTTTTTCAAAATCATCTACATCTTTTCAGAAGTTCAAATTTGACTTTACAAGTTCTCAGAAATTCAAATCTGACTTAACTTTGAACTCATAATATTGTGAGCAACTAGGTGGTGACATTTTGTCATGTTAATGCCTTGTTCTAAATTATGTACTAGTTCTCATGAGTTCACATCTGACCTCAAATTTGAGATTTGACCTTCAATTTTGAACAAAATACTCAAACAGCCGGGCGCCAGCCGATGAATCGGAGCAAATGTGACCTAGGTATTAAAGAGCATTAACTTGGAAGTAGTCTCAATAAATGGCCTATGAGTCATAATGTGCCTAATTGCATTGTTAGTTTAAATCGGATGGACTTATGTCTTTAATCCATTTTGTATTCCAGATCTGGTTAGTACAGATGGACAGTTACAACACAATGAATTCAGCTTTAGTTCTACAACTGCACAACATTTGAGAGTTGTTATAAACTCTGGCCATGATCACTTCATTTCAGTACATAAACTACATGTAGATGGTACTGCTGTGCATAATTCATAACTGATGATTATATAAACTGCATGTACATACTATACATGTAGGCCCGAAACCAGCTTTTGCCAAGGAATGTTGACTTTTCAAAACATTTGACACTGTGACCAATTAATTACTTGCAAAGTGCCCAGAATGTTGATGAAAACTGTATGATTTTGTAAGATTTTTGACCAACTCCTCCTCCTCCTGGCTACGGGCCTATGTACATATAGTACAGCTGTAATCATAACAAAGGGACTTGCTTTATTGGCCGAACAAAGCAGAATAGTAGATGTCAGCACTTAGTTTTTATTATCCCATCAAATGCATGAAATTCAATTCAATTTTTCAATTCAATTCAATTATTAAATTCTTATATAATATACACTATAAAAACAAGCCGCTAGACACCCTAGTGGGTATATGTTGCGGTTTAACAGAAATCATTAAAATGACAACTAGACTACATATAAAAGAAAACACTTATATTATGTTATATGTAGGTATATAAAAATGGTATTAACAATTAATCTAAGGATGTACAATGCAAAAATGTTACAAAAATCGGGTACCAGTATAAAATCAACAGTATAGTATGATATTGGTATTATACATTATCGATAGATGAGTAGTTTTAAAACTTTAATTTCCTCAGTCAAAGCTTGTAATTGAACAGCTAGAGATGTATCACAATTAGCATTGAGTTCCACATTAGATAAAAGTTTTGACTTAGCTGAGACTTGAGGAGAGGTTGAGTTGGATGCATTCCCTTTAGTACGGTTATGATGTGGCATTGTCACAGATTATAATCTTGGAATTAATCAATGTTGTAGAAACTATTTGTCATAGTGTAAATATGGGCCACTGTACTATCAAATATTTTCCATCAAAAAAACTGTAGAGTTAACTGATCAAATTTCCAAGATATTACAATATAGTATGTATAGTCACCTTACATAAGTATTTCCAGATTGTTTATAAATAGTAATCCATAATTGTTTTGCTTGTAATATCCCTCATCACACTAGATTTTGACTAAACATAGCCAGCAAATATTTTTCTGACTTCCATGTTTTGACCTGACCTGACCTCAAATGCCAGTGAGATATAGAGAACCTCTCCATCCATTTGTCTGTCTGCACATTTGTTTTTACATATACATTCAGGCAATAACTCAAATACTGTTTGCCGAATATTGTTTACATGTATTGTCCCATGTGAGCGTAAGTTCTACTCCAAAGCCGATTTTCAAAATCGATGAATGAAATAAATGTACTTGAATATTATATATGGTCTGATATTATTTATTTTTATAGGCCTAGAGTTCAAAGTTCTGTATTGTATTAAGACAAAAAATGTTATTGTAAAATTGCATTCTTAATTGCTCTGCAGAACATAAAACATACAGTGTTAAAGTGTTAACATACTTAAGTGTCATGTGCAATTGTGTTGTAAAGTTATTTTAAAAGCAGGTACAGTTGTACATGTATTTTCAAGTATGACAGCAGCTTTGCTAGTATCTTATTGTCCTTAAATCATCTTAAAGTCTTTGATAGGTCCCCAAAACATGTTAGCGTTTTCATCAGTGTCATAAAAATAGTCAGAACTTGCTTTAACAAACTCCTGACATGATATTTTGCCATTTCCATCCGTATCAATGAAGTCAAATTGAGGCTTCAAGTAATCGGGGTCTAGGCCATAGGCATCCCAGAAAACCTTGTATTCTGCCATATCAATGATACCATCTCCATCCAAATCCAGGACTCCGAACCATTTTTCACCCCACTCATCGACTGTGGGTGGGCTGTTCGGATCATTTCGATAATTATTGTCGTCAATGATCCATTGTGTTATGTTGGTCGCGGTTTGAAAATATGACGGCATGTTTTCACAATAAAACGTAAGGACCTCCTCAGCTTTGGCTCCTGTGAGATTTCCTGAAATGTAAAATTAAAGGAAATAAATTGGACAGAACGGATTTGCTTACAATACTATACGTTTTGAGACACAGTTTACCCCTTTAAAGGAATAATTGCTTTTAGATGAGGTGGAAAACGTAGAAATGAGATACCCTTACGGTCAAGGAATAAAAGACGGAATTCTCAGTCACGCAAGGGGTAGCAGTCAATACTAGTGTTAGTCAAACGTTTTATTTTTAATTTTATTTTATAACTCACTCTTATATTACTAATTCATTTTATCAATGGGATCTTCAATGGGATGAAACACTCTACTTCTAGAACTCACTGTACTGTTTCGATGAACATTCACTCTATGCATGAAGCCAGGGAGACGATGTTAAGGCATTTTAACTTTTTGTACATGTAACTTTTATATTACTCGTTTTTACCTTATATCATTGTATCCATGTAACTGTCTAAATGAATAGACGCAAATAAATAACAAATACATACAGTAGTTGAAAATAAAAATATCTTATATTCACCTATTTTGATAATCTTCTCAGCTGCAGTCTTACAGTCCTCTGCGTCCCACACCCCATTCTTATTGAAATCATTCACCATCACCTTGGTTACTGTCTTTTTCAGCCAGAATATTGGGATATCCTTAAGTTTACCCATATCTACTGCATATACTGACGACATGTTTAAGCTAGATACATGTAGGTTTCCTTCTCTAGTTTTACTCCTTTTCATTCGAAAACAAAATAACAAATGATCACCTTTGTGATTATATGGTTAAAATGACATTGGATCAAACTGACTGACATATCCTAGTTTAATTCCTTGGAACAAGTACAACTTGGCGCGGTACGGGTGCTGCCATTTTTAGTTTAATTCCTTGGAACAAGTACAAATTGGCCGGGCGCTGTCATTTTTTGTCTAGTAGTGCATGATAACCCGATCATCTAAAAAAGACGGCTTAATGGATTTCTTGGCACGTGCCAACAATAATGTCAATTTAAGTAACAAGAAACATGTACCATTCAAAATATATATTATTATAATTTGACCACCGAAATTTCTCTCTAGTCTCCGTTTTACCAGATCTTTTCTGAAGTTTTTAGTTGCACTTCATTTATAACGGTAGACCAGACTTTAGACCAAACTTTTATACAAAACACTAAACATGTTGGAATGGGAATTTTAGTCCTCTGGTTTGGAGGAAAAATAGAGAAAGGGAGTAGATTTCTTGGAAACGTCCCTTATTACAGCCCAAAGTCAAACACTGTCAAAGTAGCTTTTGAAATCTCGCTTACAAATTGAAAAATGTTGAAAAACCCAAGTTGAGAAGTGTACCCCTTCCCTTCTTTTGATCCCCATTTTTGTAATTTTCGAATTTTCCATTGTTACTACGTTTTTCTTGTTAGTGTGTTTATAATGATAATAGTGCTCAAGTGCCCGTGAATTAATTTTTTAGGAGACATTCATTGCCATGTCTCTTTAAAACACAATAAAGCACTGTTGTGATGTATTCTATTTTATGGATTAAGCAAATGGCGTATCGATTTGTCTGCCCCTTGATACAAACCCAATTTTGGTAATGAGCGTAAAGAATTGCTTAAATTCTTGAAATTCTCATGAACAATCTTGATCACATCCGAAATTGCATTTGTTTTTGGCACTTCTTGTATAGTTTTAAACTTGGGTTCAAAAGGTTAAATATAAAGTATGATTTTATGTAAACCACGCCTATACTTTTCGCCATACCTGAGACCATCATAAAATTATGTTAGTCTCAGGCCATACCTAGCGAGGCAAATGAAATCTGAAAAACGATTAACATTGCACGTGTTGGCTCATTTTTGCAAATGAGAGCAATATTTGAGTTTAAAAAAATTGTGTAAAAATCTTGACCCCATTGGAAAACGTAAAATGAACCTTGTGTTGGTTAGCAAGTTGGTAATGCCCTGGTCACATTTGCTCCGGTTTTTACTAATTGTAACATGGTCATTTTTACATTTTTATATTTCTACTATTCATGGTGATCAATCCCCATTCAGGTCATTTTAACAGGTCCCTTTGCTTACTTTTGCATCAGTGTGTTAGGTTTTAATCCCGTTGTTTATGTTCTTTTGTATGTGCTTTGTATGTTCACTTTCACTTACTTTTCTTTTGTTTAAACCTGTTTTGTATGTTGTGTCATGCTGTGTTTGTTTTATGTTATGTTTTATGTTCCATATTTGGTATTATTCACTCACACCTGAGTTGGGGTGTTGCCCCAGTATTTGTCAATAGTTGCCTAGAGGTATATGATAGATTGTGTACAGAACACTGTGTTTTGAAGTTGGAAATATATATTTTTTGAGACATTTTACTTAAATCTTACGTTTTATTATTTGCCACCCACGGCCTTCCATCGCCCATTTACATAATCAAGACCAAAATCGTACATCATTAATTTCCAAAATAATTTGTGATGTGATTATAATTTAGATGATAATACACAGTTTAGCGTTTACTTTATCTCAACGAACCATTCACGTAGTATTTGAAAATATATATTGGCAAAAGCTGGTTACCTTTAATTACACAACATACATATAGCCAGACAAAAGTTAACATTTTAATAAGGTCTGAAAGTTGTAACAATATTCTTGGGAATGGTTCAGTGCGCACACTAGTAGTAGTTTAACATCTTGGGTATGACGTTCCAACTGTTCTGGGGGTAACATTAGACATGTCATATGTCTGGATACTGCTTGGATAGCCATCCAACATAATGTTGCAACCAACATTCCTCCTGGCGTTGAAGCATACTGTGAAGACAGCGATCTCAAACTCAGGACTTGCTCTCATATACCTACAAGGCAAATGATATACGTGAAACTCATCAAACTAACTAGGGTTTGGATCAGCATGTTCATTCAGCGCTTGATGAAATTGTATTTTTCTGTTTAACTGAATAATTTAAGTGAAAATGACATGACTTGTGATTTTAACTTACCATCCACCAATTTCTTTGAAAGCACCTAGCCAAGAATGAGAGACGGTCAGAATTGGATGAGGCTGAAATAAAGAAAATCAAATGAAATTTATTTTTACGCGATTCTACCCTAAATGTTCCATTATCAATTTGCAAAGCTGCTCGGGAATATAAGATCTTCTCCCTGTACATGTGCTAGCAATCTGAAAACTTTGAATTAATATATTCTACAGGACTTCTAAGTTTGAATCCTTGATTCGTTGCATTCTTACATTACATCGCTCAATTTCCCCAAAGAGTTCAGTCTCCCCGGCCTGTTCCTCCTGATAGTATTGGACCCAGCTATGGAATCCTGTGATGCCCCCATTACGGATCTCACCCACGAACACGTGCTCGAACCCAGAGCTATCCATGGCTCTGCCCTGAGATCTAGAGTACTTTAGGAACCACGTGTCTTTCAATTGTTGGACAAATGAGTTTCTATCTGAACTTGCAAAACCTAAAAAATAATTCAAGGCAAAACTAAAATTAGAAGTGGAATCTCATCATAGGATCCTCTAGAGAATTTTGTCCCAGTCTGCATTATACATGTATTTATCTGACCGGACCTTAATTGTGTATCACAAATAACTCAATGCCCCCCCCCCTTATTGTGCTAGCTGATCCTCAGTCAATTGCAAATCAGGCAAAGGAGTTAGGGTCACGCAAGACGCAGCTCTATAAACATGGAGAGGGTAACAGCTCGTTGAACGTACATGTATTCCATAATCTTCTTTTAAAGAATATATGTACATTTCCAGAAAGATAAATAACAGTTGTCCGATCATTTCTGACACATACCATGAGTGACGAGGAAGTCCCATGCCTGCTGCATAACATCTGTGTCAAGAATAGCATTTATGAAAGCATCTTCCTCTTGTCTACACTGAGCGCAGGGAGGTTCTTCGATTCCTATTTCGGGAATGTAGTTGTCCAAAAGTGCGCGGAATGCGGCAAATGTTGGTCGACTCAGTACGGATGGGTTGACATATGTGTAGAGGCTGAATAGTGAGAAGTATACTTCTAATTTGAGGAATTAAGGAAGTTGTCGGTAAGATCAGAGACATATAAAACACGATCGGGTGAGAAGCGATCATTAAATATACTTCAACAATGCCACCATCAACACATCGAAACACCTTGACAACCGTAAAGTCACATACCGTTTTCTCAAATGGCGGACACATGTTCTTATTCTATTCGATTCTCATTAATAACTGCATATTTAATAGGGCACTTAGATTAAATTCCTTTAATACAAAAATCATCAAAGTGTCTTTCTACTCATCATATACTCGAAAATGTTGTGCCATCGGAATAAAGTCTTTAATTTTTCCAATCAAAATATGACACGAGACAACGAATACTGTATAAACAGATAAATGACAACGGTAAATGTGGGTCAAATGTGCAGTAAAATCGGGATGACAAAAGGTAACATTTGACAACGGTATCTAAAAAGACAACGGTAACGTACTGTCTAGGTCTAGTCCCCGTTGCCATTTATCCTATGTTCCATTGCAGTACATTCAACATAGTATAAGTTGTTGAATGATTTGAAGTACCCTACAGGATATTGTGCTCGAGAAATTCTGTCTTGGTACGAGAAGAAGTCCAATATTTTCTGTATTGCTACGGAGATGATCAACCCCGTACCAATACAAGGTGAGGGTTCATGATCAATAGATTAATTCTTGAACAATCTACGTATGACATGAATTGACAAAAATTAACCATCTAAGACATTTTCAAAAGTCACCGCTTTCATTCCATAACGTATGATATTATAATCACCATCAGTACTTCGCTCTCCAATACCAACTTACGTTGATCCACCCGTGCTGAACTGTACATCATTATTGCTCGCTCTATTGACATCACTACTCCACAGAGATTCAGTGAGGGCATGTAGCTCAACATTGCTCTGACCTAATATAAACGAGGAGAGATAGTATAAATGTACATGGTCGTCCGGTAGGTCAAGTTCTAGACCACCGAGTCGAGGTCGAAAACATAATTTTCCCCAGATTTTCAACAGGCCCAACATACGTTCCTTATGTGGTTGTCAACGTGACGGTTGTCAAGGTGACAACGTGACTCTACAGATTGAAATTGATGCTTTTCCAACTTGACCCTTGTAAAACGTTTCATTGCAAATATGTTGTTTAACGTTTTTGTATCTTTTAAGTGACATGGTAGACAACATTTTACAATGTGTGAAAAGACTCAATGTATTGTGACATGAACATTCCTTTCAGTCGTTGTTTCCTTAAATCAACACTCAATGCTGCGCACCTCGTGCAACTTTTGGAAAGCAACACCTTCAAGATGGCCATTCTACATTGCACCGAGTCCAGAGCTTAAATCCTTAAATAATTTATACGGATTAGTGTTGAACCGAATGAACCGTGTCTCAAAGCTAGGATAGATGGGCAGAATTTGCACTTAAATGAGATTTTCAATGGAGTTATCTAGAACGATTCTTTTCAATGGAGTTGATCCGAATTGCGACAAGAAAAATGCCGTTAGCCTATTGTACTTTAACAACATTAAACTAATTACCGTATGCCACCGTGGCAAGAGCTAAAACACCAGCTACTATCAAAAGTTGCATGTCCTAGAAAAGAAGACATACGGTTATTTTCGATTGTTTTCTGTTAATGGTCTCCTTCCTTATTTACGTTGATCGAAATCAAAATTGCTCTATCAGTTTATATATTATTTGTATTCATTTGCGTAATTGTACATCGATTACTTACCAAGTATTCCTAAACTTAAAGTTACTACTTTTTTTGCAAGTATACATATACTTATATTAACTATAATGATAAGGCAGAGAAACAACAGCTGCTAATTAAAACGTACGTTGCATTTCATATTTGGTCATCGACAAGCAATGTAAGTTGCGCTGTCTCTACGGATACGTTTTTACCGATCCTTTAATTCAAGTCTCATAAACAATCATTGAGACTTTTTGTTAAAATATACACCAAGGATAGGCCTCCTTATCAAAACATTTCTACCAGGTATCATGCGTGGAATGAATAGCCAGTGCCCAGTGTATCATTAGTGACACACTTTTGTCAAAATGTGTGCCTCTAGCTCTGTTTCTAGTGAAGCTGGATGTCCAGAGTTTGGTTTTAACTAGCGCCTCTAGCTCTGTCACTAGTGAAGTTGCATGTCCAGAGTTTGGTTTTAACTATCGAGATACAAGGTTTCTCCAGTATTTCACTAGTGCATGTGATAAGTGAAGTCACTAGTGATATGTTCTCTGGTCACTACTATTACTACTATCACTTCTTAAGTGACAGTTGTTACCTCTATGCTATAGACAATATACTGATGACTTCACCAACTAAAATGCAATGTTGGAAAACTAGGATGCCGACAAAGCACCAGTGCATTAGTTACTAGTATTGTAGCTCATCCAATTTTAAAAGACTATATGGAAACTAATACGATACATGAAAGAACAAGACGTAAGACAATACACCAACTAACATCTTATATCAGAGTGGTCTGCAGACAATACACCGGTAGCTCCACCAACTAACATGCTATATCAGTCGTCTGCAAACAAAACACTGGTAGATCCACGATCTAACGGCACATCTATTATCAGAGAACATTTGTACACTGGCAGTTCTACCAACTAATAAATATTAAATATTTTCACCAATCAGCTGAATTGGCCAAGTGATTCCTTCCACAGTTGAAAAAGTGTACTGAACAAAGAAACACTTTCCTGACAAATAAGAAAGATCAACTCAGATTTGAAAACCATTCTATCATAGTTGTATTTATTTTACAAATCAATCCACCTCAAAAGTGTACATATTTACATTGTTTACAAAAATATTTCTTTTCACATACAAACAAATATCTCTACTCTAGTATATTATCAGCTGTTTTTATACAAGTTACACACATCGACGTGATGTACAAATATCAAGATGAGTGAAAATAAAATTCATATATTATCATAACAACTCTTTAAATTTTAAACAGATTTTATTGGTTACTTGGTATGCCTTTTGATCATTACAAAATGTTTTTAAATTATTTTGATTTCAATGCATTTTGATATTTTAGTGTTGCATCAAGCATATGTGTGGTCCCTCACCCACCTACACAAAGATCAGCTGATAGATGATGCATGACTATATGACTCTGAGATCTAAAAACTTGATTACATTCTCCATCCTTCGATCATAAGGCTCCAGACATCATCCAAAGGGTGGATGTGTCCTGCATTTGGAGGATGGAAAATCTGATCTCCTTTCCCTTTCCCTGACCATGACGATACTCCATTACAGCAATTTTGAAGCAACATTTAGCGATAGAAAGTATATTTTATCATAGTGAATTTTGAATTTTGCTATGTTTTACTAAAGAACAAATACTAGATAGTAAGCTATTTGTTTCAAAGTTAAATGGGTATTAAACTTTGAAATAAATAACTTTTTAATTTTTTTATCTCTCAAACTATATGTTGTGTTACCTGAGCATTTCAGCAATATTTATGAAATTCCTGACTATTCTGGATCAGGAAAAATGATTTTGGTTTTCTTTGACTTTTCCCTGACTGTAGGAACCTGCTTCACTATCAAAGGCTCTGGAATTTTTCGCAATATATATATTATTATCATACGAATATATTGATCAGATAATATTATTTTGGCCAAGAGGTATTGTAATCATTCTGAAATTACTAAAATATGATCTGATTTACCCTCACAGGTTGGTGCAAAAATAACATTTAGTTTTCATTTAACAGAAATGTGCAGAATAATATAAAAATTATGTAATCAATATGAATGGCCAGAGTGATGATGAGCAAGTACATACTTAACATTCATGTAAATTGTGCACATGTTTATATAACATGTACTTCAGCTGACAACTTAGCATTCATGTAAATTGTGCACAAAATTTCTTTATATAACATGTACTTTAGCTGACAACTTAGCATTCATTTAAATTGTGCACATAATTTCTTTATATAACATGTATTTCAGCTGACAACTTAGCGTTCATGTAAATTGTGCACATAATTTCTTTATATAACATGTACTTCAGCTGACAACTTAGCATTCATGTAAAATGTGCACATGAATATTTTAAATAACATCTACTGCAGCTGATAACTTTAATTGACATTCATGTAGATTGTGCACATAGTATATCTAGCATGGACTTCAGCTGCCATTATAGTACATTAGTACTAGGTTTTATCAAACTGTACATTAAATGTATTCTGTCCATTTTTGCAATTGTCTATACATGTACTGTATATGTACACACATTGAGTATAATGGCTTCAGTTTGTATTCATGATCTCCATCAGAATAAATAAATACTACATAACTAAATATCACAGAACAACAAAATGAAACTGAATTTGCAAAAAACAACTTCAATGTGATGATTGTAAACACTTTTAACAATCATTTATTTGTATAATCCAGGAAAAAATGTATGAATCTAAATTCAATTTATTATTTTCATATTAAATTGTCACCTGTGTCAACTGTGGCTGAACAAATACTTTCGAAGGAAAACTTTCAGCTGAGTGTGTGTACATTATACACGTAGGACTAAATATGACATATAGCATATAGAAATGCTATTAATATAGCAAATCTTCGTATAAAACATGTAAAAGGAAGATTATTCCTCCAATGAGCATATTATACGGGTTTACAAAAACTGTAATGCATCCAGCCACAATGTCTTTAATATTACACACAAATAGTGACTGCCATTGAGGGAAATAGTGCAAATATTTTCTCTGCAGCCTCGTGAACATGTCAGTGGACAGGGTATTCCCTCAGGCAAATATGGCAGTCACTTTTTGTATATTATCATATATCCCATATGTACCACATAAACAACGTAAGAAGTCTTTTAATTTGAACATTTAATGCTAACAGCCTTTAAAGGCATTTTGCCACTCGACACCTATAATCTTTGCTAGCAGGGAAGATAAAACATACTATTCTGGTCACATGATATAACTGGTCATTCGTACTTTTCATCTTCCTTGCTAGCAGGGAGTTAGGACTTTCCAGGGAATAAGCACATCTATTTCATATCATTTGATCATGAATAAGCCAATGTCAAGCATCTAAGATACATATGGTGTATATAATAACATATACTGGAAATATTATATTTAATTTTCTAAATTTAATTTCCTAATATATTACAAATATTTCCACCCTATAGAGCCAGGTTCTCCAGTATCCAATTGAAAAGAATGAAAATTACTGTACTTCACCTTAATTTGGCGTTACATGTACTTATTTTGGTGGATTTGCTGTTTTGAACATGAAAAGTACCTGGAAAGGCAGCTACTTAATTTGGCCAACTTTAACAATTAAGTAGAAGTATATGAATGTCTCACTGAATGGCACTGAGGCATGGATGGATAAAAAGCAAGGATGGATTTTGTAACTTGAATGCTGTTTAATTGTTTTGACGCCAAAACCTTGCAATACAATATAACTGTAAATGTACCATACACATGTGTACATTTTGCCCAAACAAGCGCATGGCACCAATGTTACCGTACAACCTTTTTACATATTTTCAAATTAGTCTTATGATCTAATAGGATACGAGTAATGAACTTATAATGCATGTCATCTATACACTTCTTCATTAAATATGAATTCATGTTTGACAAGGCATTAAAATGCAAAATGTGACTGCCTGCCATTTGTTACAGACTCTGAACGTGAATGACACAGTCCACAAAAAATGTGCAGACCATTAACAATATGTCACCACTTGTGAATCATATTTTACTTTACTTATTGTAATACACAAATATATACATATTTCCCTCAATATAGCTGCTCTTGAAGATCAAATACATGTAGCACTGTGGAACACACGATGTGGCTGTATATGACATAACCTTATCTTTAACTTATTGTCCTCCAAGACAGAGATACAAGGCTATGAAGATCCATATTCCCTAATGTATTTACATATTTACAATAATGTCTCAATGTTAATATTTATTTAACATTGCCATAAGGGCTGTAACCTAAAGGTTTCGAAAGCACTTGGTCAAATGCAGTATTAATTATCAAATGAAAGACATATGTTTGTCTGTATCAAAAGTAACCTGGCAATGACCATGATGGAGTGGTTTTTAGTTCAAGCCCACTTATCCTTGTGTTTGTATTCTGAAAGTGTTCACAGGATAATGATACCTCTGATAATCTGACTCCATTCATAGTAATATATCGTAAACGAGTTTGTTACTTTCAAATTCATCACTTTCCACTTAAAACTCTAAAGTTTCATAACATTAGCATTTTCCTCATTCAAATCTCTCTTTATTCTGTACTTTTGATGATTTGGAGATGGCTCGCTGAGATTTGTCATTGAGGTTGGTTCATCCCTGTCAATATCTTTCTTGGCTGGACTAGAATCTTTGGGTGCCTTGTAGAGAACAAGAGCCAGGATTATGAAAATTAGAGTCAATGCTTTCCCAATGAGAGAGGTAACCATGAGATATGTACTCATGTTACCATTGTTGTATATATAACAGGAGCCTTCCCCTGCTGTTGGGGATTCATCAGAGGCTTTCTGCCATAGCAGGCAGGTTTGGTCGATGAGAGCACCCAGTAGAATGGGGCCTGGTATGGACCCTGGAACAGAAAATTGACACTTATATCATCTTCAAATACAGAATATATGATTTAAAGATATAATGGCAGTGCAGTTAACTTGATAAGACCATCTTGGCTCAGGTCGCATAATACGATTGCCATGGTTGTGCCAGTACAGGTGTTCAGTACAGGTAAATTATAGTAAATTGGTAAAGTTACATGTAGAGTGGGAACTCATCTCAACCATGGTGGTTATGACTTTGATTAGCAAAGCCTGGCATGACTTGATTAAATCCAAATTGATCTGACCCATAGAAAAGACCTGAAGAAAGTTTTAATTGAAATGTCATTGTAGACTACAAGGAATTTAGTATTATGTAACTTTATGTTATACTTAGTTTTTAGCCTAACTGTAGACTTACCTAGACAGCGTATCAAGATCCACTGTATTCCAAGTGCAAATGACCTCTGCTCCTCTGCTACACATCTGTGGAAGAATATTAAGTATTTCAGACAAACTGTTCAAATATTTCAGAGAAACGTTTCATTAAAATGAATCCTAAAGCAATTGTTATGACGTGTCGCAAAAAGGTGGCGCATTTGTTTTTTAAGGGTATCGCGTGAATGTAACTTTGATTCCCCGGATTATAAGATAATATTCTAATTAAAGTTATATATCATTTTAAAGCTGCTTCGATGAAGTTTTTAGATCAACTACACTCCGTTCACAATTCTTGTGCGTTCTTTTTTAAAAAAGAGTTTTTTACCAAAACATCTGGCAAATATGCCCTGTTGACACGTTACATTTTGAATTATTTTTCGTCTTTAAACGCTCATAACTTAAACAATATATGACTATTATACTTATTTTTCGTCTTGATAAAGGTAAATAGAAGTTTTATTTCAAAGGATGAATTTTAGTAAGCGTCCCATATTGTGACGTCATAGAGTTTGAAAAATAGAATCTGTTGACAGCGACCTTTTTTGCTCATTTTTTGTTACCTTCAATTTTCCAGGTGTACATTAAACAAAAAATAGGAGATCAATTTTTAATAAATCATACATGATTATTTTGCTCCTAAACTCTAGTTTATTAATAAATAGTTGATTTTGTTCGCTAAAGTATATGTTTTCTGGAAAAGTGGAGGACGAAAGGTTTTCAAAATTCATTAAAATAGGGCTAATTTACGCCATTCGCCTATTTTCAAGCACAGCAACACGTATATTTATTTCACCTAAAATATCAATTGATTCATGTTTTATGATGCTCCTAGCCCATTAACAATATATATATGATATCAGAGTTATTCGTCTAAAATGTTTTGAGATATAGAGGTAAATGTGGAGGACGAAAGGATTTTCATATGTGTACATTTTTCTCAAAAACGTCACGTTCTATCATGTTAAAAGTGAGGATCCTCTGGATTACGCCACAAAATGTGTAACAATGCGTGCGCGACCCTTTTGCGACACGTCTATGCTATTATTAACAGTGACCTCAGATTTCAATCACCAGCATTCGATTCTTTTCCATTGCAGAATTTGTTCTTATTAAAATTACTGATCGGTGACCATAAAAGGCACATATTACTGTATGTGTGGGCTGTTACTAACATTTAAAATAGATCTAGACATGAAAATTGTGCGAAAAACAATTTTAAAATCTGTTTTTGAGAACCACCTGATCCTTTCTATCAAGAAGCTTGTAGTAATTACTATACATATGATGCTCTCTTTGAGAGTTCAAAATCATCAATTAAAAATGGTAGTTCCATTTTAAATGTTAACCACATGCGGTAATCTTATGGTAGTTCCACTTTAAAATGTTTACCACATGCAGTTCTTGTGTCTCATGGTAGTTCTACTTTGAAATGTTTACCAAATGCAGTTACTGTGTCTCATGGTAGTTCTACTTTGAAATGTTTACCAAATGCAGTTACTGTGTCTCATGGTAGTTCCACTTTAAAATGTTTACCACATGCAGTTACTGTGTCTCATGGTAGTTCCACTTTAAAATGTTTACCAAATGCAGTTACTGTGTCTCATGGTAGTTCCACTTTAAAATGTTTACCACATGCAGTTACTGTGTCTCATGATATTTACACTTTAAAATGTTTACCACATGCAGTTACTGTGTCTCATGGTAGTTCCACTTTAAAATGTTTACCAAATGCAGTAACTGTGTCTCATGGTAGTTCCACTTTAAAATGTTTACCACATGCAGTTACTGTGTCTCATGATATTTACACTTTAAAATGTTTACCACATGCAGTTACTGTGTCTCATGGTAGTTCCACTTTAAAATATTTACCACATGTAGTAAGTGTGTCTCATGGTAGTTCCACTTTGAAATGTTTACCACATGCAGTTACAGTGTCTCATGGTAGTTCCACTTTAAAATGTTTACCAAATGCAGTTACTGTGTCTCATGGTAGTTCCACTTTAAAATGTTTACCACATGCAGTTACTGTGTCTCATGGTAGTTCCACTTTAAAATGTTTACCACATGTAGTTACTGTGTCTCATGATATTTCCACTTTAAAATGTTTACCACATGCAGTTACTGTGTCTCATGGTAGTTCCACTTTAAAATGTTTACCACATGTAGTAACTGTGTCTCATGGTAGTTCCACTTTGAAATGTTTACCACATGCAGTTACAGTGTCTCATGATATTTCCACTTTAAAATGTTTACCACATGTAGTAACTGTGTCTCATGATATTTCCACTTTAAAATGTTTACCACATGCAGTTACAGTGTCTCGTAGTAGTTCCACTTTAAAATGTTTACCACATGCGGTAATCTTATGGTAGTTCCAGTTAAAAATGTAACCACATACTGATTTATCTCACCTGAGTGTACATGAGAGAGCAGGCATAGTAGTCATGAATGTGAAGAATATTATCAAGGCAAATACAGGCAGGAAGACATAAAGCATGATACAGTCACTGGCACACTTTCCCTCAGTTACTTCTGTGGTAATGTTGCCACTGCTCAAGGTGAGGCTGCTGTTACTGGTAGCCAAACAACTACAGTTAAGGTATGTCTGGAATATAGGAGGATAGATGAAATATGTAAAATGGGCTAAGTAGAGTCGATGGGGTAAAACAAATTGGGACTAGGGTACATGCATTACAGAATATAATCATATAGGTACTACTGGGCCCATTGGTAGGTGTTCAATATATTTTTTGAGATCAGATACATCTTTATTGTGAAATTTCATGCCTATTTTATTGTTTCAATGTTAACTGATTTGATGTAATTTAAAAAAAATATAAGTGGACATAAAAGATATATGAGGGGGATCAATAAGAAATAGAACAACAAAAAAATGATAAACAGACCTTTCCAATAAACACTGTCACCTTTTGGTATATCAAAGAAGCTATAATATAGATTGTCGCAATTTTTTGTAAAAATAGGATATACTGGATTAACCTATTGCTATTGATATGTATAGGGGCTCCCTAGTACAACCTATGACATCACCAATCTAACCAATATTTCAAAGCTTCTTTGATGTACCAAAGGGTGGCAAATTTTTTGGAAAGGTATATTGGCTTGACAAGATCTTCACAACTTATTGATCACCCCATGTTACTTTTAACCCAGACCAATAAAGTGAAACCTGTAAAGTAGAACAGCTGTAGAAGTGGAACACTTCAGAGTCCCAAGACCAACCGACTTAATGTTAAAAGAGCCTCTGAAAGTGGAACACATCCAAAGTAGAACACCTAAAGGTATGAAAGGTGTTCCACTTACACAGGTTTTACTGTACTAGTATAGTGAACCAGTACACCATGAGAAGACACTTGCTTCTTAGAATCAGAGATCCAAGCTAACTAAATGAGGACCTATTTATATAGTACAGTTTGATATCAGTATATCATGCATATCACCACCGTCTTGTTACTATATGGTACCTTACCAACAGATCAGATTGCTTAAATATAATTTAAGATATTTAAAATCATGGCATTCAATCTTATACTGAGCTATCATTCTCACCCTACAGTAGTTCAATAAGCTTTAAATTCTGAATTCCTCAGTATAAAGAAAAATTCCTTTGCAAACATACATGAGGAGTTAATGAATAATGAAGGCAATAGAAATGTCATACTTTTGAGCCTTCCTTTATGGCAGTGCAGCCAGCATAGCATGGGGAGAAGTACATCTTTTTGTTGGACCCACACACTGGATTATACCTCTCTCTAACACAATTACAACCAGTGTTACATGTAGAGTTCAGGTTGATATCTTCTGGAGAGAACTCACTGGAAATTAATATTCAACAATTAAGAGTTTAGGCGCTCATAATCATTTTGGTCATGTGATGCCAAAATATACTTTATTTTGTGTAACCCGAAGTTCATACATCAAAACATACTTGAAAAAATATATTATGTCATCTCCAAACGGAGATAATATATCATATTCAAGTCAGGTGGACAACCCTTTATATGAATGAAATATGAGTTTGATAACTGCTTAACCCAGAACAGGATAATTAAACAGGCTTATGTTAATGTATCAATTATAATTCAATTTTAACGGTGTTGTGCACATTTTTCCCAAATATAAATATGCATCATTCTACATAAATTACAACAGTATTTAACAACATATCATTTCCATAAACACATCTTCTTAAGTTGCACATTGGTGTAGTCAAGCAACAATAGATCACATACTTATACTTAAATTAATAGATGTCACTACCATACAGCGTTCAAGTCCCCTTAATTCGTTTGATGCCAAAAAGCAATCAGCGATTGCCTAATAATAGGTCTTTTTGCTTCTATTCAAGATGCCACTCTTTTTTCAATTTTCTCCTGCTCCCAGTGTTCTTTAGTGATCTTTATGTACATACCAGATCAAAGAGTCAATCCTTACCTCATGCCATTGTTATAACTTGTATTAATCCCACTGAACGGAATGTCATTGCACTGAATGAAGAATATAAGTAACAGGAGGAGAGATATGGACGAAGTTATGCAGCACATCTTGATTATACCCCTGCACTTCAGTTTGAGCTTTTTCACCAAATAGCCACCAAATAACGTACCTCCACCCCCAGCTGGGATAGTGGCAAACCCTGGAAAACAGGTGGTTAATTCATTAATATGTTTATGTAATAATTCAGATACTGTTAATAATACAGATTTCTATTTGACTGTATTTCATAATCATATCATTTGATTATCTGTGATTTTGGTTGATCAATAAATAGAACACTGTACACTGGGAGTTAAAATAGATGGCAGCACTAGTACAAAAAATATAGGTAGTAAAATGACTTCAAAAGTATGTACGACACTTTCTCAGAAGGCATCAAGCAAACAAAAACAACCATGACAACATTTCTTCATTAACAACCTAAAGCTGAATGAAGTTTGAAATTCTTATATGCTTTTCTTGGTTGTAAATAACGCATGATGGCCAATGCTATACACTTGACATACTTCTGTCCTTGAATCAACACTGAGCCTCTCTTAACTATTGTTAAGAGGTTTTTGTTTGCCATTTGTACTACAGATACAATGTACTGTAATATGCATAGTAAAATAACATAAATCATTAAGACTGTAAGAGGTTTTTGTTTGACATTTGTTCTTTCTACATATACAATGTACTGTAATATGCGAATCAAAACTACATATTAAATCAACCTTCAGATTCTTTTTTGATTCATAAAAAGGGAAGTAGATAATATTCAAAAGTGATTTACACCAATACAATCTTGTTACCTTGTCCTAAGTCAACAATTCTCTATGGCTTATTGAAACAAGGCATTAACATGCAAAATGTCACCACATGCCATTGGTTATAGACACCAACAGCTGAACAACAATTACCAACTGTTAAACACCAACCACTAAATGCCATCCACAAAAAAAGTTGGAGACAATATGTCCCCACTTGTGGTGGTGACATAATAAAATATTTACACATAGCGAGGCAAGGTGTGTCTGATTCCAACCAATCCGAACACAGTATTTCACATATGGAACAGTGTGTGAAATAATCAATAACACACTCAAGGTCACTAGTTAAACAGTTGTCATGGGGATGAATGGACTTTTCACATTGGATTTGATGACTTGCCAACTTGAACCTTGCAAAAAAGACATTGAAAATGTGTTCTTTTAGTAATTTCATTCTTTTGAGATGATTTTGTAGAAAATATTTTGCAATGTGTGATAAGAATTTAAGCCCAAGACTCAATGCATTGTGGCTGCTTCATTCCACTCAGATGTTGTTTTCTAAACTTTGCATTCCTGTTGTGCAGTCATGCAAAGATTTGGAAACAACATCTTCATGGAATGGTTCAGCACACAATGCAAGGCTTAAATCCTTAAATACAAAATCAACAAAATAACAACATAAACACATGACAAATTGTCACCACCTGGGTGCAATCAGATAAGTGCCCAATCAGTCACAAAAAGCAAACAATCAAAGTCAGAAACATTTTTGAAATGTATATTGTGATTAAAATAGGAAGATAATCTGAAGTAGCATTTTGGAAAGTATACTAATAGGATATCTCTGTTCCCACATGGGGGAGGAGTAGTCGCGATACCGCAAAAATCCCAGGGTCTAAAAATTTCCTGGTGAGAACCTTGATGAATAAAACTAACCCACTTAACCACTTAAATTAACTTAATAAAAACATAAAACTTACCCACTAACATGCCTGCCCATGAGGCTGATATACTGAATTGGGATTCAATGAACTTTGGAATGAATGCTGTGAAGCCACTGACTAGTAATGCTAAAATGATAAATGAGGAATATATAATTAGTCATCAAAATTCAGCAAAAGCATAATTTTCTTATGCTGCTACAGATGCAATGACTGTATTTGACAAGATTAACTGGTTTACCAACATACAGATATTTGTACAATTAATGTAATAAATATAAGTTGTTCATTTACTTTATTCATCAACTTAAAGAGAGAATCAGATCTAGCGAGCAGCCTAACAAAAAATTGTTTCAATTTTAGAATATTTCTGACTAATGTCATTCCTTTTCATGTCTATTTTCTAAAAATCCTCAAAGTGCACACTTTATTTCAGGAAAACTAAAGATTTTTACAATAATGTATTATCTTTCTATAAGAATGGTTACCATTCTTATTATTTGGGAGAATTTAAACATTTTTAACCCATTTTTGAACTTTGAATCCATAATAACTTCACCAATTTATAACATATCGTGAATCTTTTTGGAGAAATTGTATTTGAGATTGTACAGAATATATTGGTATGTCAATTGTACATGTTGTTTGTAATTTTGTCACCCCTATAGATCTGATTCTGCCTTTAATTATAACATCATGACTGGTTTTACTAATAACAGGCTCAGAATTATGAAACTGGTTTTAGTGTTTTCCTTTGTGTTACCTGTACATTTTTAGATAAACTATGATCAATAAATCGATAAAGAGACATCTTCATACCATACCTTCTGTTGCTCCACTTAGGCAGAGGAACATAAATGTTGGATTAGTGAGCAATATCTTTAATGAGACAGGAAAATCTTTAATGCTCATACCAAACCCTGGCTGGGAAGTGGCAGACTCCGAACCTTTATACACTTCTGATACCTTTTCTGCACGGATTTGAGCACTTCCTAAGAAAATGAAGAAAAATAGTTAAGTCATTGCCAAAAAGTCATTAACATTGCTGATGGCGAGGGTATTTAGACAGTCATTTCAATAACCATGAGCATTTTCTCACCATAAATACAACATATTCAAAATGTTTTCCAATCCTCCAAATATTATTAACCCAACTCTCTGAATATCCATGCAAAGACCCTACCTTAACAGACCTTAAAAAGATCTTTGAATGAGAATTTTTGAGAGGTGGATTGATATTTCTAGGACTACCTCAGACAAATTATTTTAATAAAAATGTTGTATATATGATCATAGGAGTGACTTTCTTAAATCATCTGCCAGACAACATCTGGTTCATACACAGGCTTAGAAAACTCTGATCTACACATATTTGCAAAAATCGTCAACTAAATTTTATTTAGAGGAAGAAAAAAATTAGTTCCCAACCCTGATGAATTAGCTATGCAGGCCAGGGAAGTAATATTCATAGATACATACATGTGCACCATAATCAATATATGAGAACTAATAACTAAATACATTAACACGTACATACTTCATTTTAATCAATATTTCAATTCATATCATCATATAGCTCAGTAATATACACAAAGCATGGCTACACATAGATGAATATCACGTAAAGTCAAACCTTGAATTATTTTTCAATATTGTTTCATATTTTCCCTTGTTATGTTGTATTCCCCTCTTAATGTGAACACTTGTCAGTACAAGCAGTGTTCACCAAGTTTCATTGTATATTTCTGATTCTAATATGATACGTGACGTCACACTGGCTAGAACAATTGATTTATTGGTCTACATAGGAATATGTATGACCACTAAAATTCTTAAATGCAAATAGTTGTGTTTCTTGTCTGTTTATCATATTAGAATCGTAACAAAGACCTCGATCTTATGATTTATGTCAAATATATGACCTCAAATCTTATTCTGGCCATTGCCAAAGACCTCAATCGCTACACGATTTCGGTCTTTTAACAATGAACAGAATAAAATTTTCGGTCATATATTACGCCATAAGTCATAGAATCTCGGTCTTTATTCTTAAGTATTGTACTCACCTGGGAGGGATTTAGGGAAGCCACATAATGGTAAGGCAATAGCTAATGCCAAAACTCCACTTATTAGAAAGCCCATCCACCAACAACCAACCCACTTAGGGTCTCCTGGTTCTATTGTAATGCTGAAATGGAAGAGATTCTCATAATTTTCATTCTCCATGTTATCGATACACCAGGTGCAGGCTTTTGTCAATTTTAGTACAAACATTATTCTAATTGAATTTGGAATTTAACGATTTTAAACTTTTTAGTTGTAACTGGGCAGCATTGAATTATTGGAGGTAAATCTGGGAGATACAGATTCATAAAACTTGCTACCCCAAAGAGATGGGGAGAGCCCTTTGGAGTTTCAGTTCTGGTAAAATGATAACAACTGACCAACTTTGTGCTTTCTTTTGTTTCTTCTTCACATCATGTACCAGGTCAATGTAATCTTTAATTTCATGTACTGTATAGTGTTAAATTGATCAGTTAGTAATCATTTAACATATCAGACACATCTCGTATATATTATTACCTTGATAAAGTTGTGGCCCCAACATCTGTCCAGATACCCAGCAACTGACTGCCTGCTACATAGCCCACTGCAGGCCCCACTATAGCTAGTGCATAAAATAAACCTACAAAGAGAAATAGATATTTATTAAGAAGTGATGTCTCTTTATCTTAATCTATATGCTTAAGTGTTGTTTTCAGCAGCTGATGATAGTTTATTGAGGCTATTAAGGAGCATGCTTGAGTTATTCAAATATTCCTGATTCTTGAAGAGGGTCCCATGTTGAACCTAAATACTTTAACACTCAAGGCATATCTAACACATGTCTTTATCAAGCAAACAGGTCTAATTCTTTTTAAAAAATTGACAATTTTCTGAAAATAAAATCTTTTTCAAAAACAAGGCCAGTCTAAAGCCCAACTCATTTGTAATTTTATATATTTATTGCATTGATAAGCGAAGGAAGGCTGAGAAGAGAGCAGGTGAGACCACTTACCTATATAAACAGGAGCTACTTTTGCCTTGAGATTTTCATCGAGATATGTGACACCTAAAGTATATAGTGGTGCTGCACCGGCACCATGGAATAGCTGGCCAAGAACAAACACTAAGCGGTACATGGAAAGACTCTCTGTCGAGGCACTAGTGGTAGAGTTACTGGAAAAAAATGCATCTGGAATAATAAGAAAAACATCTGAATTTTTAAGATATGTTTATTTTTTGACATGAAGTCAATTTTCCACTGTTTCTTTATTTATTTTATTTTATTTTTTATTTTTTTTTTTATTCCTTCATTCTTATTATTATGTACATGTAAATGTAAATATAAATATGTACATGTAAATGTACTGCAATTAATAATATAATAAAATTTACGTAAACAAAAAAATACACTTATAGTTATGTTGTAAATGTATGTTGACTAAATGAATGTTGAATAAAATTGCAATTGTTGTTGATTGATAAAAGAATGAGTAAGAATTAAAAGTGTATGTAAAACCAATGCAAGTTTCTTTATTTTACTGATTCACAGATACCAGATTTTTTCAATAACAATGTTTTGCAGTGGCTTCGTATCATTTTGATGGTTTATAGCTGTTGTATTGATATCTAATATGGCCTTTTGTGCTTCATTATATTCAGAACAGTTTAGACTACAATAAAATAGCAGAAATATTTTTTTATCATGTAATCTTCCTTAATGAAATAAATCTATTGAGAGAAGTTACAGCACACGACAAGAACAATTTAAGAAAAATATATTGATAAAAATTTAAGAAAGATATCTATTTCCTTACCATCGTCTAAGCATACATTATCTGCCACAGTTTCATATTTGTATATACTAGTTGTGAAGTGGGGCAAAGCAAATATAAATGATCCCAGGGCCAGCAGAATCATTCCTCCTCCCAGCCACATGGGCTTGTGGCCACTAGGCCTACCTAAAACAAAAAATATAATATACAGGGTGTCAAATAAATATGTTCTCCCCTTAGCTCTAACATCCACGTAATGTAATATTTATTTTACACCCTGTACATAGTTAAGTACTCTGGATGCACCACATAATCTAGGCATACATGAGGTAGCAGATGCATCATATAGTTGCTAGTCTATTATATTTCTGTGTCTAATGTGCTCCTTAGATTTAGTACATACAGTAAAACCTGCATACAGTGAACACCTATGGGGTCACAAAATTTGTTCACTGTAGGTAGGTATTCATTACAAAGATAAGTTTAAGTTAGAAGAGTATGTGCAGAAGAAAGGTGTCCACGAGAGACAGGTGTTCACTAGAGAGAGGTTTTCACTAAGACAGGTTTTACTGTATTCTTAAATGTTATCTTAACCTAGTCATCTTATGTGGTATAAAATGTCTCTTATTCAAATGCATAGAGGCTCACCAATTTTGTAGCAACATTAATAGTTGGCTGTTTGTTGAAATATTTTGAGTTATTACATGTTGTTTTGCTTGATTTAAAATGTTTTAAATAATTCATTCAATATAATTGGCCTCCTGAAACATTCTCATAGTAAAACTCATAGATCAACACATTTCAAATGATAGTATAATCATGATATCATTTAAATAATATTGAAAACCCTGTTATTGCAATTTACACAATTTTGATCATTTAAAAGGAAACTGCTTTTCATAAATATTTAGTATTTTTATGGTTGTCTAGTCTACCCCTCATTTTTTCTGAATGTAAGTAATTCAATCCCTGCTCTAATACACATATCGACCATTCACAAGGACACACGGAGAGCTTTCACAGTTGATTAGGCTCAGAGTTATTGGAAATGATTACGATCAATTTTGTACGACATGATGAACCATTCTAGCATACTAAACAGGCCGAGTTGAAGATATAAATTCTAAAAGTAGAGGTTATGATAAACCATGTAAAACAAGAGTACAAATTAGACTTAAGGGACTTTTTGAATTACCCAATTGTGACATCATAATTGCATAGACTGCTTGAGGAGCTCATTGCCATTTTCATCCAAAAATGAATATATCGAAAAAAAATCAAAATAACCTGTAATTTGTCCCATCAATATTTTGTTACAAGAACATTCTTTTCTGTAAATATAAGAGCTTGAAAAATTAACTGCAAATGCACCTTAAAAAGTGCACATGTCTACTTACTAATAATATTGTGTAGTTGGTTAATTTAGAAAAGAAACTTTGTATACATGTTTGTCAATAGTGCCAATTGCAGGCTTCTATAAATGAGCCTCGCCATAGGAAAATCATTCTTATCACAAAAATTTAAATTGTGCTACAGAGCCAAAATGTGTCCAAGATTAAACAAGGCACTAACGTGACAAAATGTCACCACCTAGTTGCTAACAATATTATGAGTTCTAATCTTAAGTCAACTTCTGAGAACTTGTAGCCAATCTTGAAATGAATAAAAAATTAGTCAATTTGAAGCAAGTTGAAAAATAGCTTTTCGACCTTGAGAAGTAGCTCAAAATATCAGATCTAAAGTCAAATTTGAACTTCTAAGAAGTTGTAGATGATTTTGAAAAAAGTTGGTGAATTTGAAGCAAGTTGAAAAAAGATCTTTTTGACTTTTTTTTTACCTTGAGAAGGTCATTGAAGATCAAATCTCAAATCTAAAGTCGGATTTGAACTTCTGAGAACTAGTATGTGCTTTTTGAAGTCAGTTTAAACAATACTAAGTTATTGGAAGTTATAAGAATCTGTTAAAGATGCCTACCACCGAATGCCAGATGCCAACTGGTGAATCCCAGATGCCAACCACCATCACAAAAAGTTGGATACCATAACAATATGTCACCACTTTAGGTGGTGACATAATAAACAACTTTTGCTTATCCAAAGAGAGCACTACAACATTTTCCAAAAGGAAATATCTAAATCTGAATTCCATCAAACCCTGGTAGACAGAAATAAGATTTTGTTTTTCCTTTCATCTCATAAAAAGATTATGGCGTATATACTAACTCAAAATACGTACAAGGGAAATCCTATTTTTCACTTTGGAGAATTTAGACAAGATACTACCCCATAAAGATATCATTCATCTATTTTACATATCATTTGGGATAGTAGATCTCATAACAAATGGCTGCTTAATTGAAAATATTGCTTGAAAATTATACCCTGATGCTCAATAGAACCAAAAGCTTCGAAAAAGTCTAATGATTTATGAATGTTAACAGCATAAATGGTGTAATAATGGAGGCTATGTCGCTTTCATATATTATATTCCAAGTTGTGCTTGAGATTTATGGATATTCATAATACTACAAAAGTGCAATCTGGAATCTTTTGCTAAAAACAGAGCAGAGGGGGTCAGACAACTTTATAAAGTAATGTAGCTAGACTAAAGGTTTATATAAGGTATGAAATACCCTATTATCGCCCATATATTTACTGTTCACAAATCTCTAAAGATTTTTTAATTTGAGATATCTCCTCTAGGAGAAATTGGGAGTTTTGTGCATTTATAAGAGAGACTACGGTATGATGCAAAGTAAGAGGAAATAGTTGTACTATCACACTGGAGTGCACAAAAAAATCAAACTGAAGGTAAACCATCTGACATTTCAAAATGGTCAAAATTGTATGAGCTTGTTGCATATACATGAAGTTCCATTGTCATCTCTCGAGCTGGGACAAATAGTATACATTTTTCAGCTGTGAACATATTTCCAGTTCATCTGAGAAAACAACACCAAAGGAAGTAGTGCACTCTCCATTATGCCAAAAATGCATTAATGACCGGCAATTTTCCCTGGGAAATTAGATTTCGTTCAGTTCTCGTTTCTTCAGCCCTGGGCATTAACGGTGGTAATAATACTAATCATAGATACTAGTATTCCGTAATTCTGCGGCGTGGACGGAATTTGACAAAACTTCAATTTTTTGCAGAATCCCTGATTTTCATGAAAATCCCGCGGAATTACCAGAATTTCCAGAAATTACATATTTTACGATCTCCTACCTTTGCGGGATATTTGAAGAGTGTCTATTTATGTCCAACAATCAATCATTATTGAGTACAAGTACGATTTCACCGTGAAATTCAACATTCTATCACGTTTAAATTTGCTAAAGCGAGTTCGCTAATGACGCGCAGTTCTTACCTAGAAAGTAGCTGACTTCCGTTTCCGTTGCTACGTCAATTTTCATCGTTTTAAAAGATTGCAGAATTTGGACTTTTTTTGAAAATTTGTGCAGAATTTCGATTTTCTCCTTGCAGAATTTGCTTTTTTTCTTGCAGAATTTTTTGCAGAATTTTGATAATAACATCATTTCTGCGGGCAATATTATAAGTTATTGAATGACTTGAAGTGCAATACAGGATATATTCTGCTCTAGAAATTCTGTATTGGAACGAGCGAGATGAAGTCGAGTGCCAATACAGAATATTGAGAGCAGAATATATCCTGTATTGCACTTCAAATCATTCTATAACGTTTTTATTGTGTGATCCTCTGTATTGCTACTGAGAATGTCCCCTCCGTACCAATATTTTCTGCCTCAGTAGCAATACAGATTGGTACAGCACAAGAACTGATCAATCAGAAGGCTTCATTTTACAGATCATATGATAAAGTGAAATATTGTACCTTTGGCCTTTGGCCCTCGGTCCAATATCACACTATATTGCCTTTCGAAATGACGTTATTGTACTATTTTTGTGATAATGAATGAAAACCATTGGCCTCTATTGGGATATGCTGATATCCTCATGTTAAGTCAATGACACAGCCCTATGTAAGTCAATTCAACCTTACTGAACTAAATGATCCCTATCTGGCAGCCTATGTGTGCCCGAGCATTCTATTCTTCATGTTACACCTAAGAATGATTCATTTTGACCATGGAGGTATATGCCAATTATCGCACCTCTTCCTTTGAATCATTTAGAGACATATCAAGTCCAATGCATATACATGTACATGTAGGCATGCCAGTAGGTGATATCATTGTTGTGTAATAGATGAGGTAGTGTGTTATGAACAAGTAACCATAGTAACATATCTGGTACATACCTCCAAAATAGCTAACTGGTATGAGGCATAGAACTGACATAATATCATAGGAACTTGCTATAATTCCCGTCTCTGTACTTGACAGGTCAAAGCGACGCTCTATGGTTGAAATCACAACACTTACAAGTCCATTCACCACCAATCCCTAAAATACAAATGTTATTATATACATGTACATGAAAATCATTTAACTCAGGAGAAAGCTCATGACCTTCATTTCAAAATGATCTTATGATCGATCAGTTATGTGAAAAATAAACTGTTCAATATGTGATACACAATACACCTATTAACAATTGATGAATCTGAAAATGCCAAGAGATAATTTGCGTAAAAATTGTACATTAGCAGTAATTGAGGCAAGGATTGACGCAATACTTGAGTGATTTGGAAAATTACAAAGTGTCAGCAGAAGTCATCATGATAATTGCATTTTAATAATTAAATTCAATGAACAAAATACAATATACCGTATTCTCTGTAATAAGTGTGGAGTATGGATGGAACGCTAAAATGGACATTGTAATTTGATTGGCAGCCACCAAAAAACATACATGAAAACCAATTATGTGGAACAAAACTTACATCAGTTCTTAGTCATCTCAAAAAGTTTGAGACCTATCTTGATGATAATAAATGAGTTATTACACTTTAAAATCAGTTAAATTTTTGGCCCACCCTGTACATGTACATGTAGGGTGCATAACACATGTCCAGCAGAAGATAGAAACATACACAACATATATATATTCACATCTAGGCGCAACACAATTTACCTGTATTGCTCCTGCCCAACACAGACAGAACAGCATGAGCTTTGCATTTCGAAGTCTCTGGCACCCCGTAGGTTGACAACGGCCCCACCCACAAGTCTCATCCCCCTCTTCTTCTGGGGAGAGGGAATTTGACTTTACGCTACCATTGTTATGTCGGCTTTCAACGTAAGGCTCACGGAGGAAAGCATCAGAATTGCTGTGACCAGAGACCCCGTTTTCTACAGGATTTGCAGCCATTTTATTGAGACTCGAATATCTGAAAATAGATAATGGTTTATTGTAATAGAACAAACATAATGGCGGTTTAAAGGTCCATCTAATTAATAACAATAATCACAGTCTTTATCTTCCATGGTAAGTACCTGAAAGAGAGGCTTTGGAATAGGTTATACTCCCACTTCCCATAATTCAAAAAAGTAAATCGTGGCTAAGTTATTCATTAGACAGCAATTTCAGATGCAGAAATAAATATTTTTACAATTTCAAACATCCCATATACACCATTACAAACTATTTTTCCTTTATTCATCTTGAATCCACCAGAGCAGAAAATGCCAGTTTATGATTGCACTTTTATAACCAAAGACTCACTCAAGACATTTTATTTGGGAATTACTTATTCCTTTGGTTTGGTATCTTTTGGGACATTAATATATGCACTATCATATCAGATTACCAGAATATATATCATGTACCCAAACCATGAATAAAACAAGGGATATAAATTCAGTGTCAGCAATGACTCTCAGCCAGTCTCTTCACATTGCTGACTTATTTTTATATTGTTATGCATAAATGAAATATCCACCTACTAATGTTGTCAAGAATTTATCTTAAGACAAAAATCAAAAGATTCATTTCATCAGAATAACTAAACAAGTATAAAAAGCAAAAGATTAAAAGCAAAAATCAAATAACCAAACTATTAAAATCATCTACTTGTATATTACACAGATTTTGACAGATATTCCTGGTGCAGTACAAAATTGACTCAACTTAGACAGGTACAATCATTTTAATGAATATAATAACTTGTATTGTTTATTAGGAATCCAACAATTATAATCAAACAATGTGTCGCAGGTCACAGTGTATCCCAATGATGTCAGAGTGGCAATGTTAAATTGTATTGATGGAATGATTTCCCTGTTGAGTGTTATGTGACTATTGCATGAGTCTAAACATTCCATTACTGTCTACATCAAGCAATCATTAGTAAGATCAACCCTTTTCAAGAATCTGATTTCACATATTAAAAAGTTTCACCTGTACTCTTTCAATAACATTCAAGAAACTAGGCATTATCATGCAAAATGTTACCACTAGCTATTTGTTACATGTGCCGAACACCAGCCACTGAACACTATCCATAAGACATGTGATATAATATGTGATAACAATATGTCACCCCTTTTGGTGGTGACATAATTAAATCGTAAGTTGCTGCATTTTCTGTTTTCATAAGTGGGCAGTTATTTATTTTCAAATATTTAAATTCCAATGAACAGGACAGCTACTTCTGGGGTCTAAACAACTGCAAAATTCTATAATAGTAAGAGGGTACTACCCTGCTTTCACTAGCCTCTGAGCACATTGGCAGACCCAGAAGCTAACAAGGGGAGTCCACATTTAAAATCAGAACAAGTGTAGAAAAAATAGTTGAAAGATTAAGGCCTGTATTGGATAATTTGGCCCAAAAACGCCACATTGTGCCGAAAAGGCCCACAAATCGAGGCCAGGTACAAAATTTTGGGCCAACACTGTTTTCTGCCCCACCCCCTGGAGCCACCAGTGGAGCATCAGGGTAATATGGAATCAATAAACTTCTTGACTAAAAAAAGATGTATCAAGGGTTTATATAAAAACCTTCTCTAGAACGTTCATGCTGAAATGTTACGTTGACATTATTTACAGAATATTAGCATTTGGTTCAGAAGTTCAGGTGACTTGCACGCACTAAACAAATATTTTTTGAGGACTATCACAATGGTAGATGTCACCTTGGTGGTCACATAAAAAAATGGTTGGTTGTACTGAACTTGACAAGTGTCACTGTCAACTAACAGTGTCACAATGTTAACTAACAGAACACTATTGAGGAGTGGCATCCTACCACTAGTAATAATGTTCACAACCAAGAAAAATACCAATTCAAGAAAGACTGTGCCATATTTGCAATTCAAACAAAGTTAAAGATGAGAAACATTTTGTATTTTAATGCAAGGCTTGTGAATCAGAGATTTTCATTTTTAACACCACATATTGAACAGTTTATAGACATATATGTTTTCAAAACCAAGAATCATGTTAACAAATTTGCAAATAATTTGAACTGTACTTTTAATACTAGAAAAAAATCAAATCCATATTAAGGCATTAATTAAGGCATGAGCATGTCAAAATGTCACTTTTTATAAGGTTATATCATGGTGTTCTAATATCTCAACATTGCCTGATAGCTAAAGGGAAGAATAACATATTCACAGAATAACAACAAGTCTGTATGACTATGAGACAGTCTGGAGTAAAATTGTCAACAACCCAATTTTTGAACTTTTGACATACTGGGTAACTGATAATATACTATTCCTTATTTTTTCACCGAGGTTTATTTCAAAACCAATATTCATGAAATGAAAACATAAGAGACACTTGCACTATCTGGTTTATCACGCAAATAATCAATGGATGGGGAGCAGCTGATTTCTGGTAGAAAATTCAACAAACCTGCGAGATTTATTTACAAATAAATCGGTAAATAAATAAGCGCACAGCCTTAAATTTTCAAAAGTGGGCCCAATTTTGGGGTTTTAGGGCCAAATTATTTTTCCACACTTGCCTTTTTCAGGCTTGAAATTTGGGCCCCATGTTAGTTTCCAGATCAGCCCCTTACCATGTACCTACTCATTTAGCATTTTATTCATGTACTTTCTCTCATGAACTTTCTCTTCTCTTATCCAGCACAATGCATCAAATAAACATCTTGGATTTTGAAAATATGAAAAACAAACATCTGGTAATTGAATATTCCACAATTTCTTTTCCTGTATCAAATGACAACCATTGTTAGTCATGAGATATCAATTTACTGGTTTTAGAATAAGACTTCAAGTAAATGTTAATACAAATATCCTTCTTCATCACTACTTCAAATGGCATAAAAATAGGTAAATGTACATGTATCATGATTGAAAATTCAACCATGTCCACAAAATTAGCCAAACAAAATAAATAAAAAAACGAAAAATAATTCTCTTCCCTTCACCCATCTACAAAAACATGATAATAGGAAATATTCTAGCATAAGATTGTTTTGAAATTAACTATAATAAGGTGACAAGAAATTGTAACACAAACAGAATATTAACAATATGATTGTGCCACTTACCAGCTTTAACTACACGCAGCTTTGACAGAACATATAAACAAGTTACAACAACATGATGGATCAATGGTTGATTGATTGATTGATGGATTGATTGATTGAATTATTGGTTTACTGACTGGTTGATTGATTAATCAAGGTCATAGATTTGTTATGGTCGTTTAATTTCAAGACAAAATTAAAATGATCCCTAATAACAACACCATTTGAAAGTTATTTTTCTCTGAGTAGATTTTACCTTGTCATTAATTTAAGAGCTTTAATCTAAAATGCATTAGGCTACATGTAACACTTCAGTTATCTCCCTAGCACTAGAGCAAATAGTACACGATTGAAAATCTGAAAATTACTACCCTACACGCAGAGTAAGTTATAAACTACCCTCTGCCAAGTATATACTATATTACTGTTTAGCAGCCCCACCCCATGACTGTTGCCTATGATATGATAGACTGCATCATATCAAACCTAACACACTGTGCTTTTCTCAACCAATCAGTGATCTAGAAGGAACAAGTGCTAAATATGTGTTCATTGACTATACAATTATGCAAAGGAAACAAGGCATTATCATGACAAAATGTCACCACCTAGTTGCTCACAATATTATAAGTTCCATCTTAAGTCAGATTTGGATTTCTGAGAACTTGAACTTGAGAATTTTTGAGACCTGGATAATTTAAAGCAAGTTGAAAAAAGACCTTTTTGACCCTGAGAAGGTCAATGAAGGTGAAATCTCAAATCCAAAGTCAGATTTGAATTGGTCTATTTGAAGCAAGTTGAAAAAAGACCTTTTTGACCCTGAGAAGGTCATTGAAGGTGAAATCTCAAATCCAAAGTCAGATTTGAATTGGTCAATTTGAAGCAAGATGAAAAAAGACCTTTTTTGACCTTGAGAATTTCATTTAACTTCTGAAAACATGTTGATGGTTTTGAAAAAAATTGAAGTCAGTTTACACAGTATTTGTTAAGTTATTGGAAGTTGTAAGAATTTGTTACAGATGCCAACTGCCAACCACAAACCGCCATCAAAAAACGGAGACCATAACAATATGTCATCATTTTTTGGTGGTGACATAATTACAATATATAGAAAGTCGCCAGCTTGGTGAGTTCAGAGATTTATTGTAAATTAAGAGTGAAGATGAAGCTCTCTTTTAAGAAGCGAAGTCAAACGAATGCAAAGTGTAGAAAATGACATGCCACCCTGTTGAGTCAATTTGTATTGTACCAGTGATCTCCCCAGCATTAAAGCAAGTGGGTGCACCACCCACAACATGTAACTTTAAAAGAGAGAGAAACCTGATAGTTCACTTGCACCCACTTGGAAATGAAAAAATCATAAAAATATGCATAGTTTGACCAATTTTGGTCTGAATCGTAAAAATGAGAATTTTGCACCTACTTTAGAAAAAATTCTGTGGAAAACCCAGCTAACCCTACAATAATGGTGAATAATGAAGTATTTAAAAACCAAATCAGGTGAAAAAAATTAAGCACCTTAGAGACAAAAAATCCTGGGGAGAACACTGACGACCTAGTAATCTTCTACTCCATTTACTACACTAGCCTCTGTGCCTTAGATAAAATATTTATAGTTATAGTATTTATACTGTAGTATTTTTAATGAAACATTTTGATTTATTCCTCAATAAATGTTAATTGGCAACATTCCACCTTGTTCGTTACCATGTTTAAACATCCTATACTTCACAGTAGAACCTGTATATCTGAACACCTGGCTAATCCAAACACCTCCCATTCTGAACACTTTCTTTCGGTCCCATTTTTTCCTCCTGTTGACTCCCATGTTAAAAAACCATAAGGCTATGTGGTCAAATGAACTATAAATATGCAAAAACCTTGAAATGTGAACACGTTCTAATCTGAACGCTTTAAGCCAGTCCCAATGGCGTTCGGATGAGACATGTTTTACTGTACTCTGACTTCCAATGATTAACTACAATAGTAACAATACCCTCTGAATTTGAAGTCATCAAATTACATGTAAGTTACATTTGAGGCTGTTAAGATCCTAAAAATTTCAATTTAATCTTTCAATGCCTTTTATGGTAGTTTGAATGAATGTTAGCTCCCAATAAAAGTCTGATTGTTGGATAAATATAGGATGGATCAAAGGATTAACTCTAATTCTAAGGAGTGTAGACAGTTAGGCTCTTTCAAAGGGTAAAATGCCATGATGTTTGTTTTCTATATGGCATGATCCACACATAAGTGAATCAGTGATTATTGACGCAATAACCATAGAGAGAACATTGGCACTGTGTGATGAATCAGTTACCCGAGTTGATTGCTTTTTTGTCAGTTAGCAAACTGGAGGATTGCAGCAGAAGCCCTTATTAACAAAATTGTCTATGGATGTAAAAGGCAAGATTATGAGCAATATCGAAAATGTCCCAGAACATTCTTTGGTAAAGCCATACTCTAATAAACACATGACGTATTGATTGAGTAGCAGACTTCGTTATTAATGGAAAACATTGTCCAAACAGAAAAACAACTCTTATATGCCTTTAGCCATTTTCCAGGAACTCTCAGCAATTTATTATATTCATTGTACTTTTAAATCTATAGTAATAATAATGAATGCGATTCCTTGGATCATATGTATCTGTTACCTAAGATTATCCTTGATGTAATAACTGTATTAAGAATCATTCCTCAATATCCTTAATGTAAGGGAGAATTCTGTTTTGTGTTGTGATTATCAAGAATGTCCACAATTATTCAACTGCATATTAATATGGTGAATAATTGTTTCTCATTTGTTTTGTTTTATTGCCAAACTGCTTTGTTTAAACAGAATATTTTATTACCCTATTATGTTTTTTCTAAGTCTCAGGGGGTTTTATTATACAACTATAAAATGTTGCCTTAAGGTAGTTATTCACTGGGAAGTAGAACTATCATTGGATAAATTTATCCAATGATAGTACTACTTCCCAGTGAATAACACCAGGGGGGATATTGTCAATCCCAATCCCTCTTGTGAAAAATCATATTCACCTCCTGGGAATTTCTGACAAACAACACTTTCTATTTCATTCAGTTTGGTTAATATAGTGATCTCTCTGTCCTCGGAAATATCACATTGTCCCTCCTAATAAAACCCATATTCAATCCCTCCAAGTAAATAACCTCTATAAATACACTTCATTGTAAAGTAATTTTAGGCCTCCAGGTGAACAGCTACCTTAAGTATACACAGACTTCAATTAAGCTGAGGAGTCTGCTCACTCTGTTGATCAAGTCAACAATGATATATAGAGGCCTATAGAAAATTCAATGAAAACAGGAAGCTTTAATTTTTCCTTTCTTCTTATCATTGATTGTTTCTTATTTCTTATGAAATGTAGGTCTCGGTTTATATAACTACAATACTGTTTTCATCCAAATTGGTCATTGCTGTTACATAAAATGTGGTAATTGTCCTAAATGTGATGAATATGTATGTACAGAGTTGGCACAAATAATTGGTTAAGTCATGATAAGGTATTTATGTGCAGTATTATAATCTTCTTTCTACATGTTTGGCTACTACATCTATTATTTTTCATGAATAGCGATTATTGATTATTGATAAACAAATGCAATACTAAAGTATCAGTCTAATAAACTTGCATACCCTCTAATATTAATATGACCTTTGGAGACATATAAGTCTGTATAATGGCACACAATCCAGTCAATTTAGTATACCAAGGGCAATTACAATGCTTAATGTACTTCTCAAGGTGATATGTTATCCTAACCTACCATGATTGTATAACATTATCATTTTAGTAACAAAATCCATTAGACTAGTCTTACCTTAATTTCTGCTTTGCCATAGTAGAGCTATAGATTAACTTAATCTGTCCATTTGGGTATAGTCTATATATAAATGACCACTGTATGAAGGTTATTCGTGATTAGTCAAAGTCATCTCCATGTTTTCAGGCCCATTGTGTTTGTTCCACTAGCAGAACTTGGCATTCAGAACAGAGGCTTTGCCATGTACTATTTGTATTCCACGTTGACCATATACTATTTATTGATATAATTTGCAAATAAACCACATGTTTTTCAGAACGAGGCTGTAATATAAATAGCAGCCAACAGTTGTTAGCAATCCAAAGCAATAATTCCCCTATCAATTATCTCCATCCAACACAAGCAGAGACATTCAATATTTCTTATTAACTCCCTCACTGTATAATATATAAAATACAATTTTTTCTCCTCTTTTGTTTGATTTCTCCCTTAGTAATCTAAAGCAGTCTGATTTCTCTATACATGCAATATTCAAATTGTAGCACAGGTAACATGTGTTCAGTTAAACTCCTGGAGGCCATCATTCACTTTGTGTTTTTTTCAACAGCTGTTTAGCCTTTATCTTAGTGACAAAATATTACTGTCGAGTTAAAGCAATAAAAGCACGTTCATAACCCATTAATTGATAAAGGTCCTACATATATTTTTAAATGTTTTGTTTTGATCAGGTTAAACTTAAAGTTATACATACATTTTGTTCATTTGTAACATCAAGACATAATCAGAAATTCTCAGTTATAATTAAACTGAAATTATATATTCTGCAGCTGATAGATATAAATCTCTAAGAAAATGAAAACCTATATGTTTGGCATTATATATAAAACAAATGGCCATCTAATATGGGACTTAATTTTCTACTTATACTTATAATACTTATAATAAAAACCCCAATTAGGATTATACATGTACTTGGAACCATTTCATCAGAAATTTATTAATAACTTCATCCATGTATTTCATTCCTTTATTCATCCACTCTATTTGTTTACAAAATTATACAGTAAAATTGCCAATATTCTTAAATACACAAAAATGAATCTTTTTATTCCTCTTTAATCCTGCAAAATAAAACAATGCCTTCGAAATGCATCTTTAATTTACTGTGGCCTAATACAAGTATAATGTAAGAGAGTACATGAGCACTTAAGATCATTACCATTACCAGACAGTTGCACTGTAGATGGAGTCAGGTTGGAATTGATTCTATGGTTCTTAAATTAACAGATTGTTTATTTCTGTACCTGGTTCATGCAATCTTATGTATCTTACCCTTTACAAGAGTATTTCATATAACTTGACTCTTCACATTTGAGTCAATTATTTGAGCTTACTGAATCCTAATTTAACATTTCTACTGATAAGTTCAATATGCTGCAAGTGAGATTGATAGGATGATACCCATATCAAAACTGTAAAATCACATGTATTGTATAATTTCAGACAGACAGGTGTTTATATACAGGGCTGAAAAATCATCTGAATTGTACCAGTATTTCTACAATGTCAAACTTAAAAACAGCAGCGTATACCCAGTTCATTTTAGAAGAGCCGACATCAAACCCATGTATTTTACGCCATTGATTAATGCAATATGACTTTCCAATTAGGGAAATAATTATTTCTATAATTCATGTAATTCAGCTCAAAGGTTCTTAAGCAATTCCTAATGCACTCATGCTTTGACATAAATCTTAGAAAATGTCAGAGCAACCAGAAGATTGCAAATGAGGCCAAGTGAAGACATTTATAACATGTAAGAAACATAAGAGAATCCTGTAATGGTGAGGATATGCCAAAAATAACTTGTAACTAACTCATTAGGCAAATCTTGGATTTTATTTAAGGAAGCTATACTTCTAGGAATTCTAATATTAGTTACTTCTGCTTCTAAAGGCAGAATGAATCTAACGAATCAAGAAACGGTACCTATCACTTACAGTAGCTATATGTATCACCTTTAACTATACACTAGTGTAGAATGAAAATACATACTGGATGTCCTTGTTCATCTTGTTAGAGATATAAAATGGAATATATTCTCTCCTTATCTCTACTACATAGTCTCCTTTGCCTTCTAGGCCATAGAGTTCTGCTTTGGAATCAAGGCATGTATTACCATTCAAATCAAATTGTAGTCAAAACTTCTAATATGGTGCAGCTCCATATTATGCTACATGCAAGTGTCAGTGCAGTAAATCATAATATAAGATTAATCACAATAAACTAATTGTATAAAGACCAGCTTAAAAGCAGACCAATATTATTTTAAGAAGGCTATTACACAATATTTTCTAAATTCATATATGCTGATAATATTATACTAAACTGCCAAATTTTTAATTCTAAATATAAAATATATAATAAAATGTTGAAAAAGCTGTGTTGTATATGTCATGCTATTTTCAGGTACAAAAAGGTATATGTACTTGTTGCCTTTGTGAGGATAGACAATTACATGTACATTACTGATAGAGTAACTTGAAGAGATTTGAAGTATTGGCCAAACATTGTAAACAACCTACCAGCATGTCAATATGATGAAGTGTAAAGCACTGTGACCAACTGCAACTGATGACTGAGAATTATAACTGTGGGGATATGACCAAAAAATATGGCCTAAATATTCTATAGAAATGTCTGTGAAATTAAACTTTGCATTTAAGCATGCTTTATCTTTCTGACAGAATTTAGAACTAGCTGTATGAATAAACACACTTTTATGAGAAAATCATAATTTCCTTTCTATATTCACCTCCTGGGAAATTCTGCCAAACAACACTTTCTATTTCATTTAGTTTGGTCAATATAGCGAGCTCTCAACCCTCAGAAATATCATATGTCCCTCAGAATAAAACCCATATTCAATCTCTCCTAATAGATAACCTCTAGTATATACATGTACACTTCAGTGTAAGTTTAATCTCCAAAAAATAAATCCAAAAATTAAAAATCAGCTAATTTTTCTGAAAATCAGGAGAAGGTGGCTTTATTTCTGGAAAAATCAGGTTTCTAAAAAATAAGGGTTATTTTGGAAAAAATCAATTTAAAATTCAGGGTTTACCTTCTGAAAAATGTAGAGAAAAATAAGATTCCAAGAAGAATATCGGGAGAAAATCAGGATTTCTAGAAAATCAGGAGAAGAATCTGAGTCACGAAAATTAAATGCACAATTTGAAATACAGAAATACAAAGATAAACTATTTGTAGGAAATATATGAATAAAGTTATCTTGCAAAACACCATTAAAAATATGAACTTTAATTTAAAGTTCGATGATGGCAATAGAAGAATACAATGATGACCCTATGCAAAAAAATTTATGAATTAAGACTAAAATTCGATAAGAGTTCTACAATTAATTTACAACTTCATTGATAGAGAAATTTTTCTAAAAGGATGTTAAAAAGTGACAAGTTAATGATTCTTTATAGACAACCCACCTATAAGTTTAATGGAAGCAAGGCAATAGATATTAAAAGTATACTAGCATGCCATCTTTAAAATGGAAAATGTATTACATGGAAGTTTTATAAAAAAAATGTGCACAATACTAAACACACTTAATTTCTAAAATAAGAACACAAAAGTATTCTTTGCCCAGTTAAGCATCTACTAAAATAATACTTATAATGCGTCTTGATGAATGTGAACATTAAAAAACATGAACTGTAGTTTAAATTGATTGAGATGTATTGATTTAGTCCGACCTTATAAAATGTTCACCTCAACTCCAACACATGCAATTTAACACTAGTGTTTTAAAAGAACAGAAAAAACAGAAATTTATACAGCTGATGAATTTGAGATTAGGTTTAAAAAAGAAATCAATTAACAGTATATAAGATCTGAACTTTCAGAGGCTGATTCATATATGGTACTATTCTATAAAACATAGCTAGTATCATTGTTATATTCCATTACAATATACATTAATATCATTATGATTTTTTTAGCACTCAAAAAATCAACCTGTATCCTAAATTGCTATGTTCGCTTGTGGATCAATTACTGAGACATTGTAAACAAAATGGCTGCCATGCAAATTACCCCAAATGCCTAAAATCCATCTGTTAATACATCAAGATAAATTGAAATGGTTTTTTGCTACCTTGATAACATAATTTCTTGTGGCATGCACCTGCCCATCTGAACAAGACTTTAGCAATGTAAGAATTCCCCAAAAAAATGAAAGAGTCTTACCTTCCTAAATAGTCAATGTTTATATATCCACAAAAAGCATCATCTATGTGTTGCAAACACTTCTACCCTTGGAGCTTCACGAAAGTCATGTCCTCAAATTTGAATCGTTATTGTGAATCTGTATTAATTGTCTTGCCATACACTGTCCCTTGGTCGACTATGTCCTCATAATTGTATGCTTATAAAGCTCTTAATCATCACTGGAAACTGGAAAAAAAACAACAAGGCATTAACTTGCAAAACCCTGCCATTTGTTACAGAATGCCAACTGCTGAGTGGCAAAATACATACTGTTAAACAAGTATATTCCTTCAGTAGTGTAATATTCTTGATATGGAACAAGATGAGCAAAATGACCTAGCGCTCCTTTATATGCAAGATACATCTAAAACACATAATTCAATTTCAGACAGAACAAAGGCTTTGTCTATTTGATATTTATGTGCGCCAAAAGATTCATTCTTCTCAATAAATAATTGAATCTTCCCTTATATATCCCAAATTGAAAATTTCCCATCATGTAAAGAAAGACAGAATTACCAAGCAATTTGTACGGTGTCTTCCCATTTCGCCCCTTCCCGCTTTGCCCCTTCCCATTTCGCCCCTCATTTATTCCCATTTGGCCCCTTCCCATTTCGCCCCTACCCATTTCGCCCCTTCCCATTTTGCCCCTTTCCCAAATTGCCCCTTTCCCATTTCGCCCCTTCATTCCCCCTTAGCCCCTTCCTAATTGGCCCCTTCCCATTCCACCCCTTCCCATTTCGCCCCTCATTAATTCCCATTTCGCCCCTTCCCAATTGGCCCTTTTCCCATTTCGCCCCTCGTTCATTCCCATTTCGCCCCTCATTTATTCCCATTTCGCCCCTTCCCATTTCGCCCCCTAGGTATTAAAAAGAAAAATACCTAGATACTGACCTTTGACCTTGGAATGACCTTGACCTTAGTTCACTTAATCATGGGTCACAGAGGTTCACAACAGCCCCAATGACCTTAAATCAGGCAAAGGGGCAAATGGCAAAGGGGCGAAATGGGAAAGGGG